TGAGCTGTTGAGGCCCACGATAATATTCCAAGTTTTTTTGATTGGTAAAGACCACCATAGGTTCAACAGGGGAGAGGAGGTAGGGGTGGAAAGCCTTAAGAGCATGAATTACAGCAAGCATCTCGAGATCATAGACCTGGTACTGCTGTTTGGCACCCACCAAGGACTGTGAAAGGTAGGAACACAGATGCCACTTGTCATCAGCTCCTTTTTGGGCAAGAACTGTGCTGGTACTGAGTTTAGAAGCATCCATGAAGAGGGTGAAAGGCTTCGAGAAGTCAGGGATAGTGAGGACCAGGGAGGAGCATAACAAATATTTCAACCTTTCAAACATGGAATTGCATTCTGGAGTCCATTGGTAGGAAACCCCTTTCTTAGTAAGGTTGTGAAGAGGTCTGGTGATGCTTGAAAAGGAGGGGATAAATTTGCGATAGAAATTACAGAATCCAAGGAATCTGCAAAGCCCAGTAAGATTGTCAGGGGGCTTCCCAGGTACTAATGGCATCAGTCTTCGTTGGTGAAGTCTCCATACACCCTTTTCCTATAATCATTCCAAGGAATTCAATTTCTTTGGCCTCAAAGACACATTTGCTAATCTTGAGGTGAAGGCCTTCTTTTTCACAGATCATCAGGAACTTGCAAACCCAAGTTCAAAGATCTTCCCTTGTTTTGGCATGGATGGTGACATCATCCATGTATCCTACCTGTTTCCCTCTTTGAGACTCAAAGGTTTTGTCCATATACCTTTGGAACGAAGGAGGTGAGTTACACTGTCCAAAGAACATTACCATGGGTTCAAAAAGGCCCCTTGGCATGATAAATGCTCCTTTCCACTCATCTTCTTCCTTAACCCAAAGGTTAGTAAAACCCCAACGAATATCAAACTTGGTGTAGAATTTGGATTCAACAAGCTCATCAAACAGAGCCTGTGCATTCGGCAGCAGGTGTGCATCTGGGATGGTGAATGAGTTTAGGTAGTGGTAGTCTTGAATTAGCCACTTCTTCCCATCTTTCTTTGCTATGAAAAACACTGGTGCCACTTGAGGCAAGGTCAACAGTCAAATCTTTTTACATTTAAGGTTTTCATCCAGGAACTCATCTAAAACTTTAAGTTCATCAGGAGACATCAGATATACCATCGCTTTCTTCAGTTTGAAGTCTTCATGGAGTCTAATCTCATGATCCAGTCCTGGCTGATGTGTCAGGAGCAGGATATCATCTTCTGCGAACACCTTGGCAAACTCTTTGTAAAATTCAGGAAGCTTAACTTCCTCCTTTCTGCTTGCTAGGGCAGCCTCAAGTTCTGTGGACAAAGTGGTTTTATTAATTATAACCTTGGGGGTTTTACCTGAGCCCTGTTTTACCACTCCCAGGGGTAGACCAGGAGATTCCTTCATATCATCCAAATCCTTAGGATTTAATGATACCTGTCCAACCAAACATGAGCTTTTCTTCTCAGGTACATACCCATCATCCCAGCACATAATTTTGCCAGTTTCCCAGTTCATTCTTGGTTTGAACTCTTTTAAGAATGGCATCCCTAGGAGGATGTGTTCTTTTCCAACAAGGGGCCCCACATAACACTTGACTTGAACAGTGCACTCCTTGATCTCCATCTTCAGGGTTACCTTTTGGGTCACCCATTCCACATCCTTTCCAGTAAACAAGGTGGTCTTGAACTTGCTTTTCACCCAATAAGTTGGGATCCCAAGTTTTTGAACCATTTGTTCCAAGATAAGGGAGACTTCAGTGCCTGAGCCAATACAGGCCCATATTCCTGCCTTGTAATCTGGTAGTATGACTAATCCAAGAGGGGAATGAATTTGTATATTCAATTCATCATCTATAGGAGTACATTTAGTGGATAACACAGCGACAGGACTGACTGATGCAGGAAATTCATCAGTCCCCTTTAAAAACCCAACAACCTCTGTTCCACCAGATTTGCTTCACAATCTCCAACATAGGCGGTCTTTGTTCCATCCTCCAAGAGGACGATGCAGACATTGGATAGTTGAGTCTTCACCTTGACTTTACAGTCACACTTGATGTGACCTTCAGCTCCACAATTGAAGCATTTAATTTTCAAGCTGGAACATCTGACATTCCATTTACATTTGTCGATGTCCATCACATCAGGATCTCAGGAGTTTCCTCAGTAATAAATGAACTTTCTTTCATACTGAGATTCCTTCCCTTCTAGGATGTGCTTCATAGTGATCATGGTTCTTGCTTCTCCTGCGCACTGTATCCACTCAATAACTGTGGAAGGGGCATGTCCAGAATTAAGAACCCAATTGCAGTATTCTTTCTGCAATCCTTTTCCAAAGAAGATCCCTGCTTCACGTGATTCTTCTTTGAGCTGAGCCTTGTTAACAAGCCCTGTAAATTCGGCAATATAGGCCTCGAGTTCTTATTTGCCTTGTTGGATGTCCAAGAGACATAAGATAGCGAGGGTGGTCTGATCACCTGACTTGAAGGTTGCCTTCAGCCTTTCAACGAACCTTTGAAAGGTGTCAGTGTAGTAAATTGTTCCATCAAGCATCTTGTTTTTGTTTTGATAGTTCTTTGCAAACAACATGGCAGCACCCTTAGTCATATATGTGAGTGCAAATGAAATCTTGAGAGGCTCCAAATTGTAAACATGCTTGTTCAGGTTCAAGTAACCTTTGACCTGTGTAATCCAGGTCTGAAGCCCATTGTGGCTTCTGTCATATTCTCCAGGATGCCTGACATTAAACTCCCAACATCCATTGGGTGGGTGGCATTCATATGTGTCATTGTCATTGGCTGGGGCCTTACCCTTACTGGACCCTCTGATGGGGACCTCTGGGGGGATTACCTTTCCAAAATTTCGACAATACCATTCACATAGGGCTGAGTCCATAGGCATACCTGTTGGGAACAGGTCACTGTTAGTTGCATGCATAGCTGAGCAGAGCTCCTCTGCCATAGTGACTCTTTGTTCTTCCAACCTCTGTCTCAGTCCCTCTTCCGAAATAGTCCTTGGGGGCATTTCAGGAACCGAATCTCCATGACCAATTGTCATGGACATTTCTTCTTGGGTGTGAGCTTCTTGTTCTTCTTTGAGGACTGATCCAAAAGAAGTCTCAGACTTCTGATCATCTTCTTCTTCTGAACTAAGCATGACTTCTGAATCCCTAAACTGGGATAGATAAGATAACCAGGGGTTTGTTGTGGTAACTGAAGGACCAAGCCTTCCTAGCGGGATGGGTGGTAGTGGGGGGTTCCTGCTGAGCCCAAGAGGATTAGGATGAGGAGGGACTGGGGGCTTCGATTTCTGAGGGTTAGACACTTTTACAGGTAGTGACAATGGAGGCTGAGGGAGGATTTATTTCTCAAAAGAAGCCTATCAGCATAAAAGGGGTAGTTGTAGTGCATGAGTGACTTTATGCATAGGGAGACACGAGTGCTGGCTCTAGGGAGGTGATCTATTAAAGCCTAGTGGCTGCCTGTAGAGCAATGAGACTGATTGAGAGTAGAGGGATGCTTCTTTATCTTGTTATTCAAGGAAGCAGACGAAGGCAAGTTAGTCTTTACATGTAGGGAGAGCAACAAGCCATGTGTGACAAGAGATATGGTTTGTTGAAGTTCAGTAACCAAGGATGAGTAGACTTTTTTCAAAGAGGTCAATGAGTCCCAAAAGCTGTGTAGAGTTTTTCGATTTTGTTATGCCTGAGTGCAGTGACTTCTTCAAATGGAATAGGCATGACACATGCAAGGGGGAGTCTATGGGCCAAACATATCATAACCCCTATGGCTCAGTTATCTCTGAGGTCTGACAGAGATTTGCTCCTTCTGGTGAGTTCTTTTGAGATCACACAGAGGAGGGAATGAGGATGAAAGAGAAGGAAGTTAGCTGAGTTGCAAGCTATCAAAAAACTGAGGATACATGGTAATGTACACAGAACTATATACCTCCTAGCACAAGTACCACACCAGTCACAACAGGACACATTGTGACACGTATCCACAGTAATCAATGAAACAATCAGACAAACAAATAAGTCAATGGGAGTCATATGGTGTCATATGATGAGGATAGGCAAGGGAACAAAGGCTATACTGGCTGCACAATCAATGCGCAGCAAGGAGCCAGACACCAGAGCTATAGTACAACAAGTGAGCAATATAAACAAGTCAGAGATGAGTCATCGGACAAGAAGTAAACCATCAGAGAGGGCAGTGGAACACTGGATCAAGTGGGAGGTGCAGCCTCAACAGGTATTGGAAATACCTTGACAGCTGGAGATCTGAAAGAGCCTTGCAGCATATGAACCCCTAGGATGGCAATGACTATTAGAGACACAACAAGGCTTGTGACACACATGACCATGAGAAGTTGAAAAAGGAAAGACCCCTGACATGGGCATAACAGTCTGCTCATTTCTGGTGAGAGCAGTGTGCAAGAATACAACTTGAACACTAAGAATAACTTTATGATATAGGAGGCCCACAACAACTGGCTGTTGCCCAGGATCGCTGAAGAAGCATGAACTCATCAACCATACCATACCAGTCAGCAGTGTGCATAATGAGGTGCTACGCAGACTTCTGAGCTAGGTATTATGGGGACAGTGCCAATGGAATGCTTGGATGGGACTTCTTCCTTTCCCCCCTAGGTACACTTTAGGTCCACAAAGCTTCATGTCCTGAACAGCAGTAGTGACTGTGCTCATGCCTCATGGCAATTCTACTCGCACCACCTTGTTTAACACCCCCCACCTCCCCCCTTAACCACCTCAAACCACTTTGTGGCTGGAGGAACCATAACAGGTAAACTGCATTGGCTGGATTCACCTCCCTGCCTCCATTCATTTGATCTCACAGCTGAATAAGATGCAGGTGATTGATGTCTCTAGGTTTGAGAGACCTAGGCAGACCATAAAATGGCCTTTGAACACACCTTCAAGTGTCCATCTACTGCACTTGATCAATAAGTATATTGGGAATTTGGCACATCCCCATAAAATGAAAAAGTGACTTTGGCATCTACTCAAATTGGGGATGGGATGACCAGCTCAGCTGCCTGTGTGCACCAGTCACAAGCAATCTCTTGTACACTGTATGTTACAAAGAACCTAATGTGGTTTTGACTTCAGAAGGGTTGGGGGTCACACTGTACAGTACTTATCCTCTTCCACTGCAGGGCCAGTGTCCAAGCCTGTCATGTCAGGTGTGGCAAACTTCTTACCAACCATCACACCTTCACTCCCACATTCCCTGCCAGTGTCATATACCCTTTGCAAGTCCGGTTTGAGTGAAAACATGTCATCAGATAATGGCTTGCTGCGAGTTCGAACCCACTCTGGTCTGGAGAACCAGACCATTGCACACAGTACATCAATGCCAGTTACATAGTTGTTGATCAACCACAGCAATGAGCCAATGAGTAAGAGTTCATCACTAGGAACAATAGTTGTGTTGAAGATGATTAGTACAATGTTGAAGATTAGAGGGAAGATGAAATTGGTGGCAGAAATGTAAAAGATTTGGTGGATACAGGCTGGCATTCCACCTGCTGCATGATGGGAAATATGTGCTGTTCAGTCCACCTGCAAAGATATGGGAAAACATACTCATGGTGCTTTACCAAAATCATGCAGACATGGAGGTTATAATGGAAGAGGGTAACAGAATACCCTTTCAGAAAGGAACCAGCTAGGACTTTGAATGAAGCATTTCCAGTTTATCAACTCACATGTTGCATCAGGAAATTAACACTTTACTATTTTTGACCTTTTTGTGACTTTTTTTGACTTTTTTGTGACTATTGTGACTATTTGTGACTTTTTGGGAAGGAACCTACTATCTGTACTTTTTTTTTGGCCATATACAGCATTTTGAAGAATGAAAAGAGAACAGAATCTATTGAGACAACTAAGTGATGATATATCTAAGCCAAGAAGACTAGAAAATGTCTGAAAATTCAGAGATATTGAGCCATTGGTGTGATGCACACTGTCTGAGAGAAAAATCACAATATCTCTTTGGAACCTCCATCAATTTGAATGTATGTGGTATCTACTGAAAGCTATGAATTAGGTGGTTTGAACAAGACCAAAATCAGCAAGAAAAGTGCAGCCATGCCTGCAGGACATGGGTAATGATAGTAGATTCCTTCCCAACAAGTCACATTAGTCACAAAAAGTCAAAAACAGTAAAGTGTTATTTTCCTGATGTGTCCACTATTTGCATCGTCCATTCTGCGACCATATAAGGGTTACAAAACCAGGTGCTGTCTTCACTCTGGGCGAGACCTTCTGCAGTCGTCGCAGAACCAACATATTTGTTAAAGAAAAGAGTCTGCATATGGAATCAGTGGATAATCAACCTAAATATCGACAAGTAACACACAAGAATTACTACTCGGGCGCATTTGATGCAGAATGGGAATGCAAAGATCTTCAATAGAGTGGCCGGGCGTGTACTGGAAAGCGGATACAGTGCAAAGAGGCGAATTAACAATATCGAGTCGCATAGTAATGGTGGGAAGAGGGTGAAAGCAAGTCCAGCAAGGGGGATATTTGGCGATAGCCAATAGGGCCGACCTACTGCGACCTTCCCTTCGCTGAAGCCAAGTAATACGCCCATTTTTAGGACGATGCAGATAGCAAATACATTCAGTGGGAACACCACACAGCATCGAGACTCCTTGGTGGAGAGTGCAAGAAGGACAACAAAGAGGGCAAACAAAGAGGCAGAGAAAGCAGCATGTACCACGGTAGAAATGAAAGCTGGACGTATGGTTTTGACGAACGCATTAATGATAGCTTCTGGATCCGCCACTGAGGACATTGGTGAGAGGATGTGGATCTGGAGGCAAACACGCACCACTAATATACTCTACTTGATGGATTGCTTATTGCCCTGGCTGGTGTGCACAGCCCATGAAGGCAGGTTCTAAATGGATTTAGTACTCCTTCCATCAAAAAGACTAGTCTGAACTCTCTAAGATCAAAGATCAGTGGCAAATAGGCATATACCTTCTTCCCTCATAGCTGAAGAGCGTTTTTTGCACTTGTACTAGCACCTTCATATTCCATCTCACTGTCAGTTGGCCAACCTGGAGCCACCTTTGGTTGGTAAATAGTTACAGAATTGAAGTAGCAAGACCTGCTAAAGCTAGCGTTGTTACCAGTGTAGCAAACACGAGAGACGATCGATAGGCATCTTGATTCCAATCTTGCGCCTAGTATTGATGGAAAATTGGGGTGTTGGTCATGAAACACGACAGACGCTTCGGCCATTCCCAAAGCTGGAAGAAACGATTTAGTCGCAATTAGGAAAGAGCTGCATGGCAGATATGGAGCTGTCCATGGACATGCGTGCTTCGGAGCGCGTGCAAATACAACAAACGACTGGGGATACGACTAGTTCATGTGAATAGAATTGTTTGGCAGTCGGACTGTGGTATCTGTTGGATTTGGACTCAAAAAGCGGAGGCAACATACAAGACAAGGAGAACACACCGTTATGAAGCCAGTTGCCGCCGTCACTGCGCATTCAAGAGGTTCGCACGGCACCGCCACCTGCCAATTTCTCGTACATACTACAGCCAGGTCCTTCGCTGGAACATCCAGTATATCTTCCGTGTGGCGTTTCCCTACCTTTTCGCAACTAAATGCTCTTCGCAGCTAGAACATCCATATGTTCCTCCTGTGCTGCTATCATCACCTCGAGTCGCCATAAGTGCTCTGTAGCCATCAGGCAAGAAGATCAATACACAATCTCATTGCTGGTACTTCTCAGGCGTCAATCTCAGGCGATTCAGATTCAGTCTTCTCAAAGGAAGGAGTACCAACTCTTTTTAGACTTCGCCTCCATGGGCTATGCAAACTTCGGGCAATGATCCAGCACACGAGGTAGGGTATCTCACCAACATCTTCGGTGACTTATTCAGATGCCACAATTAATGGGTTCGTCAATGCCGTACTATGTCTGAGTCCTCTTGTTCGACCAGAAGGATGCCATTTTATTGACTGTCACAAGGCATCGATTCAAAATATATTTGCTTTCACGACATCTGCACTACTCCTTGCAGATTGGTCACCGCTTCCTACACCTTGCTTATCACACAGGAACTGTGTGGTTAAGTTGACTGTAACCACAAATCACAACTTGATCATTTTACTGCGCACTGGCAGCCAACTAAGGAATATACTGATGTATAGGTAGGAGGCTGTTGTATAGCTGACACCCGATCATCTCGGCCATTCCTGGTTATATGGTTCAGGCGCAGCTGTCAACACCGACAGACCTTTTAAGCACGTCTTATGGGAACTTTCACCCGACCACCTAAGGTATGGATCGGGTGACTTGTACGTTTCTCTGTCCAACAGTTACCACGCAAACTCCTACGCTGGCTGAACGTGATCACAGGACGATTAGTCCCAGAGACGGGTCTTTTTGCGACGCGTTCAGACATACGATTGCGAAAGCTGGGAGCCAAAAAATTCTGTGCAACCGGGTGTGGTCAAGAGGTCATACCCTCTGCCAGTTCTTTCGGATCTTTATGGCTTCCGATCAATGCCTTGCACTCCTCGAGCGCACTCAGTGCCGTTGGATGTGTCGAGTATTTAAAGGGGGCCGTTGCACTCCTCCTTTGGTGAAAGCCTAGATACAATGAAATCACACCCACACTCACATGATAAATGGTGAGCCTTGATTGGTGGGGGGTTGTGCGCCTATGACTGTTGAGTAGATTTCAAAACGGGCATTCACCAGTGCTCGATAACTTACCACAATATCTAAGCTAGGGTTCACTCACCTGTCGGTGCTCCTAACACCAATTCTCCATCTTCAGAATAGGTCCTTTCTTCCGCTCGTTATCTAAACTGTCATGCGTAATTTTACGGCTGTAATAGACCGGAAGAGCATTTATTCTATGGACATGTTGAAAGCTCAGTGAAGCATGATTCCCGATAAGAAGGGCACTCCACTAGCGTTTTCCCCATTTTTGGAGAAAAGACAAGTTATGAGGAGAATCTGTATACCTGACTACGTTCTTCAACGCTTCACCTGCGAAAGCACGGCTGGCCGTCATTGCAGTGCCGACCCCTGTCCCCGCTTTAGTAGACTTGGAACCACCGTTCTCCTATCCATCAGGGTCGTCATTTCATTATGAGCACTGCCGAGCGACTCAGTAAGAGGCTGCGCGCTCGAGCATGCAGGGGTTCCGAATCCGGATGATGACGAAGATGTGGACTCGGCGGCCCTCCCACAAATCTGCGCCGCTGGACGCAAGTTTAATTCGAGACGTTCCCGAAACTTCCCGAAACTTCACGTTCATTCATGCCACTGAAGGTGCTACCTCAGCGGAATCCCTCCGGCTCACGTGCAAACGACAGCACTAGCTCGAACTCCTCAAGTCTTTTTGTCGCTTCAATTTTGCGAGCACTTAGCATTATTGGCTCTGATCTGGGCCAACTGAGTCTGGGGAAAGAGACTTCGGACATTGCAGGCGATGCCTTTCTGTTTATTTGTGGCAAGAGCTACTTGCAAGAATACACCCTGGAGACCAAGAACGACTTTATATCATAAGAGATCTAATTGGCTCTTTTAACAGTGTATCGGCATCCTTAAAGATTTGGATGAACTGACATTGAATTGATGACTACTGCCTAGCTGATCATCGAGCGTTTGTAGAGACCGACAACAACCCGCGCAGGATCGCTGAAGAAGCCCGATCTCATCCACTATTTGTCTCGACCTTACCGCACCAGTCAGTGTTCATAATGACGCGCTACACAGATTTGCAAGCTGTGGGCTTATGGGGACAATGTCAGTAGAGCGCCTGCTCCTTTCTGCTACAGGTACACTTGACGTCCTCCAAGCTTCATATCCCCAACTGAGACCAAAGGCGGACCAGATGTCGGTCACCCCTTGTCCTCGCGTCATGGCAAGTCTACTCGTGTCAGCTTGGTTCTCTAAAATACCACCCCTCCCTCCTCGATTAAGATCAACTCACACTGCTTTTTGGTTGGGCGAACGATAACGGGTAAACCGTTATGGCTAGTTTTACCTCCCAATCTCCGCCCACTTTGATCTCGCAGTCCAATACGTTGCACGCCACTGATGCATCAAGACCTGTTACGAGGACCTGGCTAGACCACGAAACGGTCATTAATCACCCCTTCTGGTGCGCATCCGCTGTAATCAAGAATTCGGCGCGTCTGCACAAAACAAACAAGCGACCTTCGCATCTACCCGATTTGGGGATAACCCAGTGACCCACTCGCACCAGTCACAAGTAATCTCATACCCTGTATGTTACAGATAACCTAATGTACATAGAGTAACCAATCATTTCAAGAAGTATCACATGCGAGTACGCTGGTGAGGACACGAACGAACTAGGACAAAGTTTTGATTTCAGAAGGGTTGGAGATCATACTGCATAATACTTATCCTCCTCCATCACAGACTCAGCCTCCAAGTCAGCCGTGCCACGTGTAGGAAACCTCTTGCCAACTACTAGAAGTTCACTCCTGCACTCCCTGCCAGTGTCGCGTACCCTTCGCAAGCTCGGTTTGAGCGAAAACACGTTGTCAGATAGTGGTTCGTTGCGAGTCCGAACCCACTCCGATCTGGAGAACCAGACCGTTGCGCATAATACACCAATGACGGTTACGTAGCTGTTGATCAACCATAGCAGCTCGCCAGCGAGGAGGAGCTGAGCAGTTGTGGCAAAAGCTGTGTTGGCGATGATTAGTACGATGTTGAAGATGAGAGGGAAGACGAAGTTTGCAGCGGAAATGTAAAAGATTTGGCGGATACGGGCTGGCATTCCAGTTGCTACGAGACGGAAAGTACGTGACGTTCAGTCTACCTGCAAAAATGTGGGACAACATACCCACCGCGTTTTATCGAATCCGTGCGCGCACGGAGATTGTAAAGGAAGAGGGTAACGGAATACCTTTTCGAAAAGAAACGGCTAAGACTTCGAATGAGGCGTTTCCAGGCTTCTCGACTCACATGTTGTCCGCTATTTGCATCGCCCATTCAGCGACCATGTAGGGGTTACGGAAAAAGGTGGTGGCCTCATTCAAGAGGACACTTGCTACGGTCGTCGCAGACCTAACATAGTTATTGAAGAGAAGAGCCTGCATACAGAATCAATGGGCAATGAACTTTAATATCGATAATTAACGCACAAGAACTACCACTCGAGCGCATTTGATGCAGAATGGGAACGCAAATATCTTTAGTAGAGTAACTCGAGGTGTACTGGAGAGCGGATAGAGCGCGAAGAGGCGGGTTAACAATATCGAGTCGCACAGCAATGGTGGGAAGATGGTAAAGGTGATTGCTGCAAGGGGAACACTTGGCGGTAGCCAATTGAGCTGGCCTACTACAATCTTCCCATTGGTGAGACCGGTCAATACGCCCATTATTAAGACGAGACAGATAGCAAACACATTCAGTCGGAATACCACGCGGCGTCGAGACTCCTTGGTGGAAAGTGCAAGAAGTACAACAAAGAGGGTAAGCAAAGAGGCAGAGAACGCAACATTTACTACGCTAAAGACGAAAGATGGGCGTATGGTGTCGAGGAGTGCATTAATGGCAGCTTCTGGATCCATCGCTGAGGACATTTGCGAGATGAGGTGAACCTAAATGCATACCGCACCACTAATATACTCTACCTGACGGATTGAATATGTATACTTCAGGCTTCATGGCTGGTTTGCACAGCCGATGATGGCACGTTCCATTAGAGAAGACGATGAGTCTGAATCCTTGGACATGATCAAAGATCCATGGCAGCGGCATAGAAACCACAGGGTTAACTTACGTGATTACCTTCTTACCTTATGGGTTGAATAGCGCTTTCCGTACTAGTTGCCTCGTTTTTCACCTCACCATTGTCCGGCCAGCTGGCAGCCACTGTTGGTTTATACGTGGTTGGAGAATCGAAGTAACAAGAACAGCTAAAGCCAGCGTTGTTACTGTGCAACAAACACGAAATACGATCCTGACGCCGCCCTTGTGCCTAGCATTGATAGAAAGTTGAGGTGTTGATCACGAAACATGAAAGACGCTCAGGAAAACCGCAGTTGCAAGAAACAAGTTAGACGCAATCAGGTAGGAGAGAGCTAGGGTGAAGATATTTTTGCTGATGCATCGCCACGGCCGCTCAGGTAACCATAAACATCTTTAGTGAGGATCACAATAATCAACAGATGACCGTTGACCATAACTTGATTATTATCAGGTGGCAACCCACAAGAACCGAGCGGGACCCAGGATTGCGACAATTGCACGATTCCCTTGCAGATCGGTTGCTGCCTTCCACTTTCTGGCTGCATCCCACAAGAGTCCTCTGGCAAAAGGACCGTGGTATCTGTCGGATTCGGACTCAAAACTCGGAGTCAAGGTACAAGAACCAGGGAAAAGCATGAGACGCTCCTGGTCTCTACCTCGTGGCTTGAAATGCGAAGCGCACAGGCGGTCGCAAAAACTATCCATGTCGACCAAAGATCTTCATGGTCACCTGTCCTCGGAACCTCTAATGTGTTCGAGGGCTTTTCCCTCCTCTCTGCATCCCTCTGGAGTGTCCATGGTGAGACGAAGATCCTCTCAGACACAACATACTTCGCAGTCGGTGAATGATAGGGAAGGCGCATGGGTTTGACCCTGACGCGATGGGACAACTCTTCTTTCGGGGATGAAGAGCACGGTCAGGTATTCAAATCCGCCCTGCAACTCTTGTTGTGCAAGCTTGCCAAAACTATTTGCTTCGCATCGATGTCGAGATAATTAAAACCAGGAGATGAGTTAGTTTTAGGATGTACGACACTTTCACCAAGCATCCGCAAACGAGCTTCGGACTCTCCAGGCACACGGAAATTGTTATGGGCTGGCAACCTTCATCGTTCCGATCAGAGTGAGCTTGGTGAGGTTGGGTGATGACTTAACGATGACGGTTGAGCTAACTAACTGAACCAGGAATCAGGTCGACGCATCCGCATCAGCCATTATCAGCACGTAATACCTATACATTTCTTTAGTTTGTCGCTGATGCACATATGAAGACCGGACCGTGATTCGTAGTCACAGCTGTCTCCGGCACAATCTTTTTGCGATGCAAGCAGGGTGTAGCAAGCGGCGACCAGTCTTCAAGGAGTACAGAGGTTCATGAAACAACCCCACAAGTCGAGTCGGAGTCTCAGGACAGTCAGGGAAGTGAAATGTGTCCATTTGCCTCTAGTTAACGTTGTGTCTGACAGAAGCCCGCGTTTTCGAAGTCTTGTTTACTTAGTCTGCATACCAGCCTGTTGATGTCCCGACTGCGTTGTCTCGCTCATGTGCCCACCATCTCGACCCGCCAAAACTAGAACCGTATCTGTTCTGTGTAAGGGACGGCTCTGCTATCAATCTGTAGCGCTGGGCGCAGAGTCTGATTTGAGAAGTTCTCGAAGCTGGACGTCCATTCGTTCAGGCGCCGACTCAGATACAAACGACAACAGGTACTAGTTCGAACTCCCTTAAGTCTTCTCATCGCTTCGATTTCTTAACATTACCAATTCTGATTCGCGCCGACCGACTCTGAGGCAAGACACACAGGGCACCAGTGTGGCAAAGCACGTTGTGCATGATGATCAGACCGCAGGGCTGGGGAACGACATTGCCATTTGCAGGCGACGCTTGGCAGCTTATTTGTTGTAAGAGCATCGTGCAAGGATACGACCAAGACTCTAACAATAACTTCATGACATAGGTGATCTGTTTTGACTCTTCTAATAGTGTATCGACAACCTTTCAGATTTGGATGAGCTGACGTTGGATTAGTGACTGCCACATGGTCGCTGAGCAGCTGTAGGGACCCGCAGCAACCGGCTATTTCCCAGGATCACCAAAGAGGCCCGAACTTACCGGCCATTCGTCTCGGTCCTACCCCACCAGTGGGCAGGGCGCATAACGACATGCTACGCAGACCTCCGAGCTGGATATTACAGGGACGATGCCAGCAGAGCGCCTGGATGGGACTTGTTCCTTTCCGCCCCAGGTACACATTACGTCCGCCAAGTCTCGTGTCCTCAACTGCGGCAGTGACCGTTCTCACGCAAAGGCGGACCAGATACCAGCCATCCCATTCTTCGCCTCTCGCCAATTCTACTTGCACCAGCTTGTTTCTCTAAAATGCACCCCTCCTCTTCCCTCCCTTAATCAGAACGCGTCGTTTTGTGGTCAGGCGTATGATAAAGGCTTAGATCTCGCAGCTCAATATGTTGCATGCCACTGACGCCCCGAGGTTTGTCACGAGCACCTGGCTAGACTACAAAAGGTTTTTAAACACCCCTCAGATCGGTGCATCAGCCGCGTGCGATCGAAAAATATGTCGGGCATTCAGCTTGTCAGCACAAAACGAAAAAAAAAAGCGGCCTTTGCATCTACCTTATTTGGGGACGAGTCACAAGCAATCTCTTATACACTGTATGTTACAGGGAACCTAATCTACGTAGTCACCGACTATTTCAACAAGCGTCGTACATGGGTACACTGGTGAAGACATAAACGAACGAGGACAAAATTGTCATGAGATTTTGACTTCAGAAGGGTTGGACATCACACTATACAGTACTCATCCCTTTCTGTCAGTGTGGCAGGTGACTTGCAGTCTGTCGCGGGCGCAGGGTAGAAGTCTGCCGTGTTCGGTGTGGCAAACCTCCTGCCAACCACCACAGTTTCACTCCCACACTCCATGCCGGTGCCATGCACCCTTCGTAAGCTCGGCTCGAGTGAAAACATGTCGTCAGATAATGGTTCGTTGCGAATCAGAATCCGCTCATATCTGGAGAACCAGACCGTTGCGCACAATACACCCATGACCGTTACATAGCTGTTGATCAACAATAGCAACGAGCCGACGACCAAGAGCTGGCCAGTCGAGGCAACAGATGTGCCGATGATTAACATGATGTTGAAGATGAGAGGGAAGACGAAATTTGCAGCAGAAATGTAAAATATTTGATGGATGCGGGCTGTCATTCCACCCACTGCATGGCGGGAAATACGCGCCGTTCAGTCCATCCGCAAAGATATAGGAGAATATACTCACTGCGCTTGATCGAACCCACACGGACACGGAGGTTATAGAGGAAGACAGTAACAAAATACCTTTTTGAAAAGGAAGCAGTCAAGGTTTTCGGTGGAGGGTCTCTAGGTTTATCAACTCACGAGTTGTCTATTATTTGCAACGTCCACTCAGCAATCATGTAAGGGTTACGGAAGAACCAGGTGGCAACCTCATCCGGGTCGAGGTTGACTCCATCCATAATCGCCGCAGAGCTAGTACAGCGATTGAGAAAAAGACTCTGCATACAGAATCAGTGGGCGATGGACCTATATATCGACAAGTAACGCACGAGAACCACCACTCGAGCGCATTTCACACAGAAGGGAAATGCAAATATCTTCAATAAAGTAGTCGGAGGTGAACTGGTGGGGGGATAGAGTGCAAAGAGGCGGGTTAACAATATCGAGTCGCACAGTAACGGTGGGAAGACGATGAAGGCGAGTTCAGCAAGGAAGATACTTAGCGGCAGCGAACCGAGCTGGCCCACAACGATCTTCCCATTGCTGAAACCAACCAGCATGCCCATCGCTAAAACGATACAGACAGCCAACACATTCAGTCGGAATACTGCGCGGCATCGAGACTCCTTGGTGGAGAGAGCAAGAAGGACAGCAAAGAGGGTAAACAAGGAGGCAGAGAAGGCAATATTCACCACGGTAGTGACAAAAGCAGGATGTATGGTATTAACGAATTCATTAATGATAGCTTCTGGATCCGTAACTGAGGACATTTGTGAGATGAGGTGAATGTGAATGCATACGCGCACCACTAATTACTCTGTCTGATGGATTGCATATATACGCCCTGGCTGGTCTGCACAGCCCATGAAGGCAGGTGCAAAAGGAGTTAGTACACGTTCCTTTGAGAAGGCAACATAATCCGAATTCTTTGAGATTAAATGTCAGTGGCGACGATATAGTGTCAGTTTGTTGCCTGAAGAGGGCTAGACTTTGTGTTACACCTCACCCGTGACTAGTCGGCCAGCCACCAGCCAATGCTGGTCTGTACGTATTTGCAGAATTGAAGTAACAAGACCTCCTAACGCCAGCGTTGTTAACATTTTTGGGGTGTGACAAGATACGGTTACGATAGTTCAACGGCTCAGGCCATCAAGAATCGAGCGGAACCCAGGATTGAGACAGTTCCACGATAACGCTAGATTAGTATCTTGGCTGATAACGACGTTAACTGATATAGTCAAGATTAATATTACGTTTTCCTAACGATTATGGTCATAAACTCCCGAATCGAAATGAGTATTTGACCTCCCACCGTATGGGATTCCCTTGCAGATTAGTCCCTGCCTTCCACTTTCCGCTCGCATGCGACAAAAATTGTTTGGCAAATGGACCATATCGAAACAAAAGTGACCGGTGACCTTCACATCTACCAGAATTGGACGGGATGATCGACGTCTCATACACTACATGTACACAGGTGGGGACACAAATGAACTAAATATACATAGGATAACTCATAATGCAGCTTTGACTTCATAGGGGGGTTGGAGATCACACCATAAAATTTTTATCTGCTCCTGTCAGTGATTGCCTGCAGTTCGTCACGGGCCCAGTATCTGAATCTGCGGTACCAGGTGTGGCAGACCTCTTGCCAACTACTATAATTTCACCCCCACTATTCCTGCCAGTGCCATGTACCCTTCGCAAGTCCGGGTTGAGTGAGAATATGAGTATGTCGTCAGATAATGGCGCATTCCAACTACGAGCCCACTCCGGTCTTGAGAACCAGAGCGTTGCGCACAACACACCCATGACGGTTACGTAGTTGTTGGTTAACAATAGCAGCCCGGTGATAGTGAAGGACTGATCAGTTATGACAAAGATGATTAGTGCAATATTGAAGATGAGGGGGAAGATGAAATTGGCGGCGGAAATGTAAAAGATTTGACGGATACGGGCTGGCATTCCGCCTGCTGCATGTTGGGAAACGCGGATCGTTCAGTCTGCCTGTGAAGGTGTAGGAGAATGTGCGCACCGCTTTTTACCCAACTTGTGCGGACATGGAGGTTGTAAAGGAAAAGGATAACAGAATACCTTTGGAAAAGAAAACAGCTAAGGCTTCGAATGGAGTGCTTCAAAAATTAGCAACTTACGCGTTGTCTGCTATTTGCATCGTCCATTCAGCAATCAAATTAGGGTTGCGGAACCAGGTGGTGGCTTCGTCCTGGGTGAGACCCTCCACGCTCGCAGATTTAACATAGTTAATGAGGAAATGAGTCTACAATGTACAAACAAAATTAGTGTGCAATGGACCTAAAGTCGGCAAGGTAACGCACGAGAACCACCACTCGGGCACATTTGATGCATGCCGGGAATGCAAATATTTTTATCAGAGTGGCCAGAGGTGTACTACCGAGGGGATAAAGCGCAAAGAGGCGAGTCAACAATATCGAGTCGCAGGGTAATGATGGGAAGACAGAGAAGGCGACGCCAGCAAAGTAGACACTGGTCGGTAGCGGATTGTACGGGTCGACTATGGCCTTCCCATTGGTCAAGCCAACCAATACACCCATTGTTAGGACGATGCAGATGGCAAACACATTCAGTCGGAATACCACGCGGCGTCGAGACTCCCTGGTGGAGAGGGCGAAAAGGACTGTACAGAGGGTAAAGAGACAGGCAGAGAATGCAGTGTTTGCAATGATAAAGTCGAAACTAGGATGTATATTGTTGACGAATGCACTAACAGTGGCCTCTGTATCTGTCGCTGAGGACATCTCTTGAGATGGGATGAGCCTGATTACACACATGCACAACTATTATACTCGCCCTAGACGTACTGGACCGCCGCCCTACCTCCCGTGAATGCAGAGCCTAAAAAGGGATAGTTCTCCTTCAATTGAGAAGATTGGTTTGAATCCCTCGAGGCCATCGATCAGTGGCGGCGGGGGAGTTCTTGATTATGCATTTACCTTCTTCCCTGATGGTTTAGGGCACTTTCCGTACTAGCACCCTTGTATTCTACCTCATCATCGATCGGCCAGCACAGGTGCTGCTGTTGGTTTCTACGCGCTTGTAAAATTGAAACAACGAAACCCGCTAGGCCGCTACTGGCACTGCTTTTCTTATCAAGCCGGCATCTGCGCGGGAGAGACAGGAGTCCCACTGGCATATGTAATAAGTAAAGTTGCAATCAACGGAAACATCCTAACCTGAACCCTGAACTTTGCAGTGAGTCCTTGATACTGACGGCGAGTCGAGGCAGTGATTACAAAACAGGAAGAATGTTCGCAGAATGCGAAGGAAACATGCGAGAAATAATTTGCAAAAGGTGAGTAGGTGTGGGGAAGGTATATTGCTCTGGATGTGCCAACCGCGTCCGATGTTGTTGACCAGAAACAGTTTTATGAATTACGACAAATTTCTGAACCGATGCTTCGCCATGATTTGATTGTTATCGAGTGGCGATCGCATAGCCGAGTAAGACCAAGGATTAGGATAACTCCCAAATAGGATTGCCACCCAGGCGATAACGCGTTAACTGGTAAGGACTGATATACATTTCCCTGGTGACCGTGACTATAAACTCTTGAATATATTTTGGTTTTACGAACCTCCGTACGGTATTCCCTCGCAGATCGGCTGCTACCTTCCGCTTTCCACCAGCATGTGTTCAGCAGAGGCAGTTGCCACATGCCCTCCAGTGTTAGTTCTCAGGATCACTGTAAACCCCTACCTGACCAAGCATGATCGCAAGACATTTAGTTCTTGAGAAGGTTTGTTTGCAAACCATTCCGTTGAGTTCGAACGTACGGTTTTGAAGGCCAGGAACCGAACAAAAAACCTGAACTGGGTCGACCGCAGGAGAGGGGGCATTGGACTGTGCTTACGGAGACGAAAAGCATAGTCGGATATTCAAATTCAACTTGTCTTGCTCCACGCACACAGGAATATGCGAGTGGGATGACCTTGTGGATATCGTGAAGCGTGCACCTCAGAGTGCTTAGCAACACTTCCATGGAGCGAACGCTCTTCGGGTTTAGTAGAGTCCTGAGAATATCCATGGCCGGTTGCACGACGACGTATACACGCCAGTGTATCTTATTAACCTTAAGCTTAATGGGAAAGTTTTCGGATACTGGTGGGTGCAGGTGGATGCGCATCTTGAGATCTACCCGGTGGAAAGGCTCAAACACTCACCATTTATAAAATGCGAACACAGCTTCGCTGTTTCTTAGGCTTTCATCAAAGGGCAAGCACTGGGCAAGTCCTTAGTACAAATACGTCGACTTTGACTTTATTTGGTCATTTACAACCCTCCCTGACCACACTAGTGCTGGGAACCACATTCATACCCAACAGGGTCGTCGTTTCGCCTTGGGTAAGTACTGTCGAGTGGCCCAGAGGATACGCCCTCGAGCCTGCTCATCGCAGCCTCAGGCAGATGGCGACAATGAAAGTCTGGACACGTAAGGCTGCACAACCTACCACCGACCTGCACCATTGGGAAGATGATTCAAAACACCTGGTCACAAAGTTTATGATGTTCGTACAAGTAGCTGGTGCGGGGGTACTCCTAGAACACGTCCAGCCCAGGCCGGTACGCGATTGCCAGCATGTTGCACGCCCCGGCGCTGGGACTAATAGGGGATGGCGGAGTTACTGTTGGAGCATCTTGCCTGACGAGAGGTTGGCCCGAGTCGTACACGGGGCCTTTTCTAGGGGCACCACACGTGTATCGCATCGAGGATTGGTAATTATTGGCACCACAGGTTGGCGTATTCCCTAATTCGGCTTGGATTCCTGCAACCTCGAATTTAACCCTTGTTGGGGCAAGATGACTGGTCTGACAACCATCTCGTAGATCCGAGGCCTTAACCCGCCATCCCACGTATCGTACAAATAAATTCATATGCATACATACGGAAGCGCTACGGCTACAAAGTTCATCGACGTGCAGGCTGTAATAGCCCATCGTTTTGAGAAGTGCAGTATACGAGTGTACTGTAGGCGGAAAAGAGGGGGGGGCGCTGTAGTAGAAATTACACCAACATATACTTATTCTCTTTGTCCGGGGTGTTGATTCTGTCCGCCAGCTCGGTGCCCGAGTTCGTCGAGCCAAGTGTGACAGAACCTTTCCCTATCACCACAACTCCGCTCCCACTCTTCCCCCCAGTGACGCGATCCCCTCCTGAGTTCAGCTTGGGCGGGATGGCCATATGGTCAGAAAATGGTTCATTACGGGTCCGAACCCACTCCGATCCGGAGAACCATAGTGTCGCGCACAACACACCAATGACGGTTACATAGTTGTTGATCATGAGCAGTAGCACCCCGGTAGTGGGATTCCGATCAGTCGTGATATAGCTGATTTGTGCAATGTTGAAGATAAGGGGGAAGACGAAATTGGCCACAGAGATGTAGAAGATTTGTCGGATACGCTCTGCTAACCCACCCACTGCATGTCAGAATATCCGTCAATTCTTTGTTTTGTCCATGAAGAATCAAGGTGTGCTGACCTCTTTTAACCGACGATGTGCGGACGCGAAGGTTGTAAAGAAAGATGGTGACTGAGTACCTTTCAAAGAGGTGATACGTTGAGCTCTTCATTGCATCGCGCGTGAGGAAGCCAACTTACAAGTTGTCTGCAATTTGCATCGCCCACTCAGCAGTCATTTTGGGGTTACGGAACCATGCAGTGGCCTCATCCTGCTCGAGAGCCAAAGTGCTCGGCTGAGAGCTAACATAGTCGTTGATACCAATGGACTGTACAAAGTGTCATCGGCAAACGGAACTCAACCCAGACGAAGAAACGTACGAGAACGATCACTCGAGCACATTTGACGCAGAAGGGGAATGTGAATATCTTCAACAGAGTGGTACGAGGTGTGTTGGAGACGGGATACAGTGCAAAGAGCCGAGTTAACAGTATCGAATCGTACAGTACCGGTGGGAAGATGGCGAAGACGATTGAAGCAACGTAGACACCTTTCGATACCGGATTGAATGGGTTGACTATTGCCGTTCCACCAACCAGACCAGTTAATACGCCTAGCGTCAAGGCGGCACAGATGGCCAATACATTCAGTCGAAATACCAAGCGCTGGCGAGACTCTTTGGTGGAGAATGCAAAAAGGACTACGAGGAGGGTCAATAGGCAGGCAGAGAATGCGGTGGCTGATAGGATGGCGTCGAAGCTTGGACGTATTCCAGCGATGAAACCGTCGATGATGACGTCCGGGCTAATCTCTGAGGACATTTGTGGGATGGGTGTATCTGAACTCACAGACACACCTCTGATATACTCTTGCTAGATGCCGGATGATTGCCATACCTGATTCACACCGTCCAGTAATGCAAGGGTCTCATCAGAAATAGCTCTCACGTGTTTCATAGGGGGACATCAGTGGCTGGGAGAAGCAGCTCATCAGAGAGACCATAGCCTTGAACATTGATATCTTACCGAAGTGCGTTTTGACCATCAATGCCCTCGTACCCCCCACTGAAACAATGGACATTACCATGAAAGTCCACATCGACGAGACGGTGTTCAAACTGATCTTGCTCTGGGAGTGGAACTATCCATAAAACGTGCCATAACTTCGGGGGGGACTTCTTGATGACTCTAATTATAAATTTGCGCCCATGTGTTCTCAAGATTGATGCAGGACGAGATATCAATCGTGCACGAGGTTGCGGAGTGATGGCAACGGAGGCTTGAGGGATGCAAGCTGACTGCGAAGAGCTTCACCATTCAGTCATCAAATCCCGACACTGGCTATTCATCAGCGCTTCAGCATCGGCGACCAGTTATTGCATGGGACAAAATAAAATTTTCCAGTTTGGTGGAAAGTTAACGGGCACGTGCTGAATTTCAGCTGGCTGTGACCCAAGCTATGACTAGCCTAATCTTAGATGATATCCCCGCTTGTCCGTTCCTCTCACCACACTCTTCTGCGGAGCCTTGGGGCGTGAAACGTACAGGTACAGTACAAAATAGGGAAATGGGCATGAACAATGGATATCAGACTTTATCTGCTAACGTCGTTATCAGGTAGTCTTCCTAAGGCCAACCAAAGACTCGACGGAAGACAATCATTCCTTCGTTATCAGCCAACATCAGGAAGCGAGGGAATGGTTTAAACTTGTTTAAACCCGTCACTGACTGGTCGTGACCGCGATTCCGTCATTTCCTGTCCCTCTGATGAAGATGCCAGTAATAGTGTTATTGTGGAATTGTCCCAATCCTGTGTCCCGCTCGATTCTTGTAAGTCTCGTAATCCTTACTAAAACTGTTCGTGGTTGACTGGACTGTATACCCCAATCATTTGTTGCAAGTATTTGCATTTGCTCTATCGTCAGCAATACTATGGAAAGCCAGACTTTCCATACGGTACATCTTCCACGCAGCTCTAATTCCCACCTGATCGTGGCTAAATGGTTTCTTGTAGCTGCGAGAATGGCCTGAGTACCTTTCGTGTTTCTTGAGCAGGTCTTGTTACTTCAATTCTGCAGTCTGGTTAACTGATCAGTAGTCTGAAACGAGGGTACCGATAGTACGGAAAGCGCTCCTCAACACCAGGCAAGAAGGTAAACACGTAATCCTGTGGTTTTTATACCGTCTCCACGGATCTTTGATCATTCCAACCGTGGACTCAGAGCTATCTTCTCGATGGAAGGTGTACTGACTCTTTTCTTAGAACCTGCCTTGGGCTGTACAAACGGGCGGTATTGACCCAATGAGTAGGGTATATATATCAGCGGTGCGCGCATGCATTCAGATTCACACCATCTCACAAAATGTCCTCAGTGACAGATCCAGAGGCTATCATCAGTGGGTTCGTTAGTGGCATACATCCAGCTTTCGTCATTACCGTGGCAAATACTGCTTTCTCTGCCTCTTTGTTTACCCTTTTTGTTGTCCTTCTTGCCCTCTCCACCAAAGAGTCTCGACGCCGTGTGATATTCCGACTAAATGTGTTTGCTATCTGTATCGTCTTAACAATGGGCATAGTGATCGGCTTCTGCAACGGGAAGATCGTAGTAGGCCGACTCTATTGGATGCCGCCAAGTGTTCCTATTGCTGCAGTCGCCTTCACTGTCTTCCCACCGTTACTGTGCGACTCGATATTGTTATCTCGCCTCTTTGCACTGTATCCCCTCCGCAGTACATCTTCAGCCACTCTCTTGAAGATACTTGCATTCCCATTCTGCGTCAAAAGCGCTCGAGTGGTAGTTCTCGTGCGTTACTTTTCGATGTTTAGGTCCATTACCCACTGATTCTTCTGTATGCAGACTCTTTTCCTCAATGACTATGTCAGGTCCGCGACGACAGCTCCAGGTCTCCTCTGGGGTGAGGACGCCACCTGGTTCCGTAACCCTCGCTTAATCGCGGAATGGACATTGCAAATAGCAGACAACTCGTGAGTTGGTAAATCTAGAAGTGCTCCATTGAAAACCTTGAATTGTTTTCCTTCTCTAAGGTATTCTGTTAGTCTCTTCCTTTACAACCTCTATGTCCGCGCGGGTTCAGTAACACGTCGTGAGTACGTACTCTCATATATCTTTGCAAGGGGACTGAACGACACCCATTTCCCGGCATGCAGAAGGTGGGATGACAGCCCGTATCCGCCAGGTCTTTTACATTTCCGCCGCCAATTTCGTCCTCCCTCTCATCTTTAGCATCGTATTAATAATTCTCTTCGCAACTCCACGGCTCCTCGCTATCGGCGAGCTTCTATGGTTGATCAACGGCTACGTAACCGCCCTGGGTGTGTTGTGTGCAACGCTCTGGTTTTCAGGATCAGAGTGGGCTCGGATCCGCAATGAACCATCATCCAGCAACATTTTCTCGTTTAAACCGACCTTGCAAAGGGAATGTGACAGGAAACATGGGTGTGAAATTGCAGTAGTTGGCGAGAGGTTTGTCACACCAGACATAGTAGGCATTGACTTCGCTCGCGGCGGACTGCAAAGCTCCCCCCCCACTGACGGAAGAGAGTAGGTACTGTACGGTATGATCCCCAGCCCTTCTGAAATCAAAACTAGCATCACAATTTTTGTCCTAGTTCGTTTGTGTCTTCACCAGTGTGTTCGCATACGACACGTCTTGAAATGGTTGGTTACTATGTACATATATCAGATTCTTTGTAACGTACAGTGTATAAGAGATTGCTTGTAGATGGTATACTCCTGGCATATTTATTGGTCACGGCAGATGCGCAACTGAAGGAGTGTTTAAAGGCCGTTTTTTGATTTCGCTAGGTCCCCGTAACAGACCTTGAGGCGTCAATGGCGTGCAGCATATCGAGCTGCGAGATCAGAGTGGGTGGAGATGGGAAGGTAAAACCAGCCCATGTGGTTTACCCCTTATCGTTCGCCCGACCGAGTTGATTAAGGGGGGAGGTAGGCATTTTAGAGAAACAAGCTGACGCGAATGGAACTACCGAGAGGCAAGGACAAGGGATGACTGATTTTCGGCTGCAGTTGGGGACGAATTCGGGCTTCTTGTGCGATCCTGCGCCGGTTGTTGTCAGTCGCTACGACTGTTCGATGATGAGGTGAAAGCCACTAATCCGATGTCAACTCATCGAAATCGTTGAGGTGTCACTACACTGTTGGAAGAGCCGAAATAGATTTCTTGTGTGTTAAGCTGTTCTTAGTGTCCGGGGTGTATCCTGGCACGTAGTTCTTACTCACAAACGGGCGGATAGGCATCATCTGCAATGTCCGTCGCCTGATCATTGTGCACAACGTGCTTTTCCATATTGCTACCTTGCATGTCTTGCCTCAGTCAGTTGGCCCAGATCAGAGCCAACAAGACTAAGTGCTCGCAAAATCGAAGCGAGAAGTTCAAGCTAGTGTTGTCGTTTGCATCTGAGCCGGAGCTCGAAGGGAACAGGGGATCCGCTGAGGTAGCACCTTCAGTGGAATGGATGACGTGCGGATTTCGGGAACCTCTCAAATTAAACCGGCGTCCGGTGGCTCAGATTGATGGCGGGCCGTCGAGTCCACTCCTTCGTCGTTAATCTGGAACTGCATGCTCGAGGGCGTAGCCTCTCACTGAGTCACTCAGCAGTGGCCATAGTGAAACGACGACCCTATTAGATACGAATATGATTCCAAGTCCACCAAAGCGGGAACAGAGAGGTCGGCACTGCAATGACGGACAGCCGCCTTTTGGAGGTGAAGCGTTGACGAACGTAGTCAGGTATGGACTTTCTCGTAACTTGTTTTTTTCTCCAGAAACGTGGGAAAACATAGGCGGGGAGACAGTCTGAATCCGTGAAGATTTGACGGACACTGGCACCCGTGTTTCACCTCATAATCAGCTGGACAGCATGGGAGCCGCCACTGGTTTATACATACTGTACTTGTTGCCATCTACCAAACTTCATGAAGTTCGTTCCGCGCTGGAACGGCAAACTAAGATACCGGACTAATGATGACTTAGCTTATTATTGGTGCGTATCAAAAGCTATACCTGCCTTGGGGTTGCGCGATGTGCAAGTGCTAGGTGTACCCTCTGTTTGGACCGATAGCATACCACCACACACCTGGGTGGCGCCGTATCTCCTTGCATTTGATGTTTCTGTTAACTTAGTTAATGTTCCGTGCGGGTCCCGAGACAGGTTCGGAGCCCTCGAAGCCAGATACGTGAAGGCTAGCACGTTACGCATCCAAATACTTCCTATCATGGGGCTACTGGATATGCTCGAAGCTGGAGCGTTAGGCCTGGGATTCCTGCCCAAACAAATGCTGATTGGACGAACAGGTGGACGAGTTCTCCGAGTCAGCCTAGGGGTAATAGAAACCGCAGACACGAAAGTAACCAGTCTGGAAACCAAAATGAGTGTGTTTGTATCTAACTTCATAACTAGTGTCACAATTACATCTAGTACAGATTTCATAAATATGCGTGTGGTCGTCACCCGTCGTTTTGAAAAGCATCGTGTGCGTGTGCACTGCAGGTAGCACCAGTGTGATATATATCACACCAAGCTATACTTGTTCTCTTTCTCCGAGGTTGTGAATTGGTTGGAATCCGACCCGGTGTCCGTGCCTGTCGCGTCAAGTGTGACAGACTCTTTCCTTATTACAACGACCTCACTTCCACTCCTCCCACCGGCAACATGGTCTCTGGGAAACTTCGGCCTGGGCGAGTTGAACATATGGTCGGACAATGATTCGTTGCGTGCGCGAACCCACTCCGTTCCGGAGAACCACAATGTTGCGCACAATACACCCATGACGGTTATATAGTTGTTCATCGTGAGCAGCATAACGCCGGTAGTGGGATTCCGATCAGTCGTGATACAGATGATTTGTGCGATATTGAAGATAAGGGGGAAGACGAAATTGGCAAGGGAGATGTAGAAGATTTGGCGGATACGCTCCGCCACTCCGCCGGCTACATGAAAGAAAATGCATGAGTTTTTGATTCGCCCACGAAGAATTTTGGGAATATGCTAACCTCTTTTAACCAACGATGTGCGGGCGTGGAGGTTGTAGAGGAAAAAGCTGACAGAATACCTTTCGAAGAACGATAAGCGCTTCGTTGGCTCGCAAAGGAGGACTCGCACTCACAAGTTGTCTGCGATTTGCATCGTCCATTCAGAGACCATGAAGGGGTTACGGAACCAGGCAGCAGCTTCTTCCTGCTCGAGGCCCGCAGTGTTCAACGCGGAGCTAACGTAGTCGTTGACGCCGAAAGACTGCACAAAGCGTCACCGGAAAATAAAACTCAAAATAGAAGAAGAAACATACGAGGACAATCACTCGAGCACATTTGACACAGAAGGGGAATGCGAATATCTTGAACAAAGTGGTGCGAGGTGTGTTGGAGATGGGATACAATGCAAAGAGCCGAGTCAACAATATCGAGTCGTACAGTACCGGTGGGAAGACGGCGAAGACAATTGAAGCAATGTAGACACCTTTCGACACCTGATTGAATGGGTCGATTATTGCTCTCCCACTGACCAGGCTAGAGAATATGCCCAACGCCAAAGCGACGCAGATAGCTAACACGTTCAGTCGGAACACCAAGCGCCGTCGAGACTCTTTTGTGGAGAATGCAAAAAGGACAATAAGGAGGGTAAACAGACACGCAGAGAATGCGGTATCCGTAAGGACATAATCGAAGTTTGGATGTATCGCAGCGATGAAATCATTGATGATGGTCTCTGAACCGGCCACTGAGGACATTGTAAGATGGGGTGTATGTTTGAACGCTCACACGTATCTCTGATATATGATATACTCTTCCAGGATGTATGGGAGATTACCATACCTGATGTACACAGCCTGATCACGCAAGAGTGTGATCTGATGCAGTTAACGCGCGTTCGAAGACAGAGAAGTCGTCTGGATAGCTCGAGAGGACAGTGAAATCCGTAAGACTATAGCCTTCAACACCGAACGTCTTTCCCGACTGTGGGGCGCTTTGACCTACACTGTTTGTTCTCTTGGACAGCAAGTCATGATGTTGTCGGTGAATTCTTGAATCGAGCTTGTGTTGTTTTGTTTTCATATCAAGTCAGGTCAGCACTTGCATAGCTCCTTCCGCGGAACCTATACACGTGCACCTCCGGGACCTCCTATTGCGGCTCCAACTTTGCGCCGCCCTGGTTTCATATCAGATATCGATGGCATGAGGCTGTGATGTGCGGCTTTAATGGAGAGGGAACGATTGTCTGATGCGGAATCTCTGGCCTGCCTAAGAGATTCGAGTAGCAGAATGCGGCCCGGTTGGTGGATGCAAGTCGTCCATGCGCAAAGCTTCAAGCCTCACCGGCACCGCTCGACCTTCAGTGAATATTTGAATCTTGACTGTTTGTCGGCGCTCCCACTTTAGGGTGAGAGTTTGCTAACAATTTGCCACAAATACCAGCAAACACCCTGGCTATTATGAAATTAGAATTCTGCCGGCCCGTTTGTTGGTTCTTCGCATCGCCAACCCAGAATTCAGTTGTTTTGAGGTGATACATACCTACGAACTGAAAATTTGGAGAGCGTGGTGGCGACAATATACAGCAGATCTTTCTTTCGCGCACCGATCTGCCAACTTCGTCGACAAGGTCGTGCTGCGCTGGAACGACTGTACAAGAAGTACCGTTCTAATATCATGCCTCCCTCGGCGACTCCTGACCGTTTTCACATATCGAAAGCGATGCATATTCCATTACAGAGATTCCCTAATTTACAGTAGGAACAACGGGCGAATAGCCCCGCGGACCCAGTTGCGAGAAGCGCTGTCACTGCTGCCGTCTCATTCCGCACACGACCAGTGGCCGAAGATGTGCAACGCTTACCCTTTATCAGTCTTTGAATGCACCTAGAAGAGCCACCCAGCGGTCTTTCCGTGGGCGGCTTTACGGTCTGACCGCAAATCAATGAGGTGGGCAAAGGTGAGTTACACGTCCCAATGCCCAACAATCGACTTTAACGTGCGCCCGCTATCTCTGCTTTCTAACCGCAGCTAAAGATCCTGCACAGGTACTTGCCAATACATCTACATACTTCCAAGGGGATGGTCATAGCTCGTGGATCCCATCACAAATGGTATCTGTTGCAGCCACCCGCGCTAGATCGGCTCGTGGTAGAGCCCGGGCGGATGGCTGTGAGAGACGTCAAGAAATTTCCGCTAGACAGACGCCATTTGGGCCGAGAAGCCTCCTCTGTACCTTTGTTGCGCCGTTAACCGGAAGTGGCTACGGCGAACACTTGCGATCATATCTGACAAACGGGGCAGGCTTGCATGATAACAAAAAAAAAACTTTCATGTACAGCTTCATACAACGGATTGGCAACACAGCACTGGCCGCTATTGAATGAATTTGGGATCTCCTATTTAGAGGACGTACAAAAAAAAGCCATCGTACGGGACCGCGCGGTCATTTGGTACGTGTTGTATTCCGGAGACAATTTGCGTGTTAATTGTGGCTATGACACTATCGTCGATTAGGAACCTGTATATTTGTGGTGGATACGCTAGGCACTGCGTCGGCTGGTACCCTCCTAGGCGAGTACCTCATCCTTAGAGCAAGGCCACAGAGTCTGTCATAGGCATGAATATATTACATTCAAAGCATGTAGAAATATCACCGCCAGTGTTGTATCGGTGTAATCAGATACCTGCTCCCCATGGGACCCTGCAATATCTTGAATGACAAACATCAACTCTCCTTGTTGCAATAATGTATGCTACCTTATTTACTCGAGTATAGACTTGGTTTGATACCAGGCTAATGAGTGCACGAGGGAATGACACTTGAGACGGCCCTTTCACACTCTGTGTGAAGCGGGCTGTACTCGTACCTCCGGCACGTGCCTTGATGTGGGGTATGCGTCCTACCCTGGCTAGCGGCAGTCACGGGGACACTGATTTCTTTTCTGACCTGCTTGCGTTGGCTCGCCAGGCTAAAATAGCCAGTTTCTCTCTCTCCACCTTCCCTAGAGCTGTTTGGTTTGAGCTTTTGGGCTCACTTGACGGGGTTTGAAGGTCTATTTTATTGCAAGTCCAGTAGTTTGTTTTCTTCACAACACTTTATGTAATAATAGTACTGCCCTTCTTTTGAGCCGCCGGGTCCTCTGGGGCTATACATGTTCTGCGCCCATACATGGATCTGCAATTGTGTGCACGCTATCTGCCTATATATGTTTCTTCTGACAGTTCGACTTCCCTAGTTCATTGGAAGGTCACTGTAGGTGGAAAGTGTAGATACTTTTTCGAAATTGGTCGACTGGAGATGTGCATGCCTGAATGCAAAGTTGCTGTCAGGGGGCAATCACACGTTGCGCCTGGAAAACAAGGTGCCTGCCGTCAAGTCGGCATCAGCGATCATCGGCCCCGTTTTTAATGTCCCGATGCTTAGTGGTAAATGCACGGATGCGCATGGCGATGACGGGGGGTAGTTATTAGCGTTTTGGAGTTTGGGACTAACCACGAGCGGCCACTCAAGTTGGAGGCATTCTAAGAGCTGTCGTCGTTGAAGCTGGCCTCACTGGTTACGCATTTGAAGCACGGAACTCACTCATCGAAGGAACATCAACCATGGCTTCAGTATTTGCTATAGACAGGGCTACGCGGGGGAAAAGGGCCCATAGAAGGGCCCTACATAGGTGACGCAGTGTGCCTTATCAAAGGGCTTTTTTTTTCTTAAAATACAAAAACAGCGGCTTTGATGCTCTTGTGATGCTCTCAGATTCTACAGAACTGCCATATATCAGTGGAATTGTGAGACTTCTCACGATGTAGAGAAGCACGATGCTCACTTTGGTTTGGGCTTCGAGACAAAGATCTTGCAACCACTAGGAAAGTTGCTGTCCTTTCCACTGATTTACTAAAATTCCGAGCGGATCAGAGGGACAGCAGTGATACTACAGAAATGACCGGATCAGATAGCCATCATTGACTTCGGCAGCAAGCAGACGCTGGAGGACCGCAAGTTCTCCAGATCATATTATGGTAGCCTTCATCCTTTAAAAATCTATGGGCAGCGTTGCTCTGCTATCAGATCGATACGCCCTTACAACCCTCAATCACTTCTCTATTCACACCCTACAGCGAATTCGTCGACGAGCTCCCCTTCTAGAAATCATCGAAACCACATGGGCACATTTCTGAGCAGGATTGGTGAAAATCTTTTCATAAGTCTACATGGTTTTGTCTGCTTACTTATTCGCATAGGTTTTGTCCTCATTGTCGGTCTGGCCTCTGCTATGTACAGCTTTGCTTGACTTTGTCACATCTTCCCTTCTCATGTCTTTATTTTCTGTCAAGGGTATATGGCATAACGACTGTCCAGGAGTGTTTTAAATGGAATGATTGGGCTGGTACTATGCTTACTGGCTACGCAGACTTATGTATATTACATGCACTACTCCGATGATGCCTCGGCCTTGAAGTTCCTGGTTACTGTCATATGGTGAGTTAGGCCAACTTGGGACACCTGTGAAATCCACTCACAAGATATCAGGATTCTTGATACCATACATTTCTCGTTCAGTGAGTATTTGGCGCATATAAGTCAATGCGTGGTTAACGGCAGATTAGTGGGTCACATCTTGTATTACTACCTGGTAAAACCGACCTGTCCACACTTTGTAACTGTCATGCTCAGTCACTCCAGATTACTAGTTATGGCGTTCCGACGAGTTTGGAGTATATCATTTGGCTCGTATATCTTCCCATTTCGAAATTACTTCCCACTGATGAAATATGGCAGGTCGATACCAGTGCGCATACCCAATTTTCTATCAGGCATTAATTATGGATGTATCCACCACTTAGGCATCGATTCTAGTGAATGTATGTTCTACCTATCTCAGAACTACTTATAAAATTTAGTTGTATTGCAGGTATTTGTGATTTCGATTGTTCAATGGTAAGTGATCGTTTGCTATGGCTTGACACTCATAAACCGACTGTCTCTAGCTTCTTCCTGCGTCAGATATATCACCATAGGTGGTTTAAAACCCGCCTCTCGAGACTTTCCTGACGGCATCCAGTTTGTCGCCCTGGAGTGAAGTGGTTGGTAACTGCCCCAATCGTGAGTATATTTACTTGTCATGACAAAGGTATCATCCAGTGACGCAATCGTAATAGATACTATTAATGATAGCTCACTTCGGTGAGCCTTTTTAATGTGCTCATGAGGCATTTCTAATGGCACTCAGCAGGGCTTGGTATTGGTTCGTGCTTTTCTTTGATCACAAGAGGCCTATTCTAATCAACAAACAGAAACAGTTGTCATGGAGTGCCCTAACCTTTCCAATGACATTCACAGAAATACTGATCTCCGTCCATAGGCTGGCCAATCATGAAGCGAGCATACTCACACAGCTTATGGTAGTTCCATTGACTGAGAAATTTGTGCACCGGCTCACAGTCTCACTTATTCCTAGTTTTCTGGAGTGGCACCCTCTTTGGTCGTCATCACGCTGGCTGAGGTTCTAATCATGGTGTTGCTTTGCACACTTTTTTATGAGTCTAGCTCTGGTTCTGTGTTCCCAAGGTGACTCCGGTCCGTATCAGTGGTCTATTGCTAACACGCCCTGCTTTAGAACGAAGCATCTCCTGAACACACTTATCATCTATGTTGTTAGCCGGTTTTTGCTGATTTTGTAAGTTCGATATCTCTTTAGTTGGCAAACATGACTTGATATCAGGCTTTTCGTCGCAGCCTAGTCACCATTGCAGATTTTGTCACCGTGCGTGTGGCGCATTGCACTACAACGATGTCGATCTCACACTTTCTTCAGGCTGTTATTAAACAAAGTACATGGTCAATAGGGTTGAGTTTCATCCTTGAAAAATGTCAGTCTTCCATTCCCTGCAATTGATGGACAGATCCCCCCAACTTATTATCAAATAGTATATGCCAACTCGCTTCTGGCATCACTAAACTCCCGGGAACACCTTCGATCTCAGGGTGCAGGTACCCTGTCAGATCTACGCATCATTGATATCCATTTGGCGAACCTACCGGAGCTTTCGAGGGACGTTGAGAGTTCCCAAGGCGGGGCAAGGCGGTTCGACGTGTCCGAGACAGCTGTTATCGATATAACCATCGATCCTGCACTGCTTAATAGGATAACAGCGCCGCGAAGAGAAGAAGAGCTGTAAATCTTGTAGTTCCGTGCTGCGTCCGCCATTCGGTTAATGTAGATGGCATGCAGACTCGACCAGTGCCACATTATTTAAGGTGACTTCGGCATGACAAAAAGAAAGAAAAAATTAAATAACTGTTCGAGGGGGCCATGTAGGATATTGGTTGCAAGCATATGCGCAAACGAGGATACTTTAGCAGTATGTGTATCCAGATATGGAGTCCGCTCTCCATCGCATCTTGTCTCCGTGCTGCGATTATGTAATATATCGACGTTGACGAGCACCTCCTAGCTATGCCTTCCCACAGAGACCGCGACCGCGAACGTGACCGTTCAAGATCGCCAGACAGGGAAGACGAGTTGCCAGAAGGCGTTTCGCCCATATCCGAGTCTGACTATTTTCTGAAAAACTCGGAATTCAGCATATGGCTGAGGGACGAGAAGGGAAAGGTCTGTCGTGCAACTATTTTATCAGTCATTTGAGAATAGGGACGTTGAGCTACGAATAACGTTGGCAGTACTTTGATGAACTCTCGGGGGAGAGGGCGAGGAGGTGAGTGTAACCGCTAGATGGTGTGTTGTACAATTTGCTTAGTAGTCAAGCTATCAGTTATTTTAGAAAGTTCGTCAAGGTATGAAGAGGAATTTGCATCAATTTCACGTTGTGTGCTCATCTTCATCAGGCGTGGAATAGAGGAAGGCTTCCGAGTAAGTTCACCATTGCATGTCGCTTTGGCCTACTTATGTATCACTTTTACAACGCTTGCAGGATCCTTATATAACGACCCAAGATCGCTGCCCGCAAAAAACAGACGGGGTATAAATGGTCTTTCGCATCCAAAAGTTCAGGAACGGACGCGGAAGCTCTGCGATCCGCCAGAGAAGATGTTGATTCTGCCACTTATGGTCCTGGTCGTAAGTCTCGTGGGGACACCAGAGCGACCGGCGGCAGAACGCTTGGCCCTACACTTCCTTCAGCGTCTGATTTGGTGCTCGCACGGGAAGCCGCGTCCGAGTACCAAGCAACAGAACGTGACCTGAAGCGGAAGCGGGATCGTGCAGAAGCCAAAGACCGTCTAGAAGATATCGTAGGGCCGAAGGAAGTCGGGAGAGAGGCAATGTTGGAAAAGAAGCGCGCACGCAGAGAAAATGATAAAGCGTTTGGAGAAAAAGGCGATGAGGGCCTCGAAGCAGACGAATCGACTTTATTGGGTGGAGGGGACAGCTTCAAAGATCAGTATGTCCACTACTTTGATTCCTTGGGGTAGCGCATATCTTATGCTTTTTACAGCATTGCACGACGCGAGGCAGCCCGACGACGATGGGAGGAGAAACGTGCCGCTGGGCGCGAAGATAAGGAGGCGGCGACAAGGGAACGTGCGGTTGCTATGCGGGAGAAGGAGAGGGCGACGATGGATATGTTCCAGAAGCTTGCCAAAGAGCGGTTCGGATAGAAGTTGTGTGGTCGCACACACATCCGTACTGTAACTATGCCCCGACCCAATTACCTTGTTCTTGCTCATATGAGACTACCGACGTTCCGGGTACTTACGCCGTCCTATGTTAAGTTGCTAGAAACTGATAAGCACCAATTTGCTCCCGCTCGAGTTCTTTGCAAGGTGTGCACGGGAGGCCGTGCGTGCAAATTGTCACAGTTACAAGAATTTCACTCCTAAGTATCGTGGAAAATCTTTGAGTTGATCATCTGCTCTACGTCTCCATTGCATCCTTCACCGCGGCATCCCCATTCTCAGCTGTAGTTGAAACAGATATCTCCTCGAACACCAACGAGCCTTGCTGCTCCTTTAGCCACTGTACACTCCGTTTCTCATCCATGAAATACGTGTATGCCCTCCGTAGGTCTTCTACGCTAACCTGTTCAGCTTTCCGTTTTCGCGAGATCATTTGCGCGCAAGATATCAGATTAAGGGCGTATCGCAGCGTCGTTGAGCTTGCCATTGAAGTTAGCACGTTGAGGGAGTCGGATGTAAGTGTGACGTCCTCCTCTTCGCACCTAGGGCCCGATGAGCTTCCACTTGGGAGAGTAGTAGGTTGGACGCATTACCGGATCTGAATGATTTGCTGGATTTCTTCCTCGCTATACGGTCTTGTACTAACTATGAGGACGCGGTCTAGTAGATCGACTGGTAGACCATGCGGACTCCGGACATTGGTTCCACGTATTCTTGACATCCCTCGGTTCGACGCCATGATAACCAAGGGAGAAAGCTCGCTTTCCAGTGCACGATTCAGGAAGGAGAAACACTCGATGTCCAGCATGTGAACTTCGTCGATGAATAGCACCTATCATATCGTTAGTGAGCCAGACGTTCCAAAGAAGGGAAAAGATACAAACACCAGGTATTATCTCTGCCTTTCCTTCCTCGCGCCATTCGGCCACTTTGGTATTTATCTGTTCCCTCAGCTCAGGCTTAATTTCGCCGGTGTCACCTGCAAACAATGCAAGGAAACCTTGCGTCCTACTGTTGATGACATCGATCTCGTGCAGGGAGACGGTGTGCACAACTTCTTTTCTTTTTTGAATTTCGCCTTCGGGGCATTGCACGAACTTAGTCTGCAACGACCGAGGCCCATCAGCCACTAGAAAGAAGGGAGAAACCAGACATACATCTGCACCCATTGCATCGTAGTCTCTCGAGCGCGTAAAGGATCGCCCGAGTTTGGACACCTTTCCCGAGGTCTTATCAATGATAATAACATCACCAGCGAGGACCTTTTCCTTCGAGAGTGCATCGATCATTTTTGTTCCAAGATCATATATAGTTTCCATATCGGTTGTTTTAATAGTCAGCTTTCCTGTCTTCGTTGCCTGTCTCACGGAGAAAAGTCAGAGCCGAGGGGGAAGAGTGGTGGTGAAGCATACCCCAGTAAGACTACGATCGATCTGAATCTCGACGACCTCGCCCTCTATGATTTCTGTTTCTTCTCGTATTCGCACGCCGATGCTGCGTCGGATTGCTTGGGTGAGAGCTTCCGTTTTGGACATGGAAAGCGAGAAAACCTCGCTAGCCGCTATCATGGTAAACGGGACATCCTGACCTAGAGTCTGTGCCATGCCTAGCGGGAATACAATCATTCGGGTTGAACACAGCAACTGCTGATCGTACACACCTAGTGCAATAGCAGTCTTGCCTGTCGAAGGTGGGCCGGCGAAAAGAATGGCGCGTCCAGCAATACGACCCTCTTGAACCATCCTGAGAATCATACCAGCCGCCTTGCGCGCTTTTCCTTGACCGACCATTCCCTGAGAATTTTCTCTCGGTTCTAGTCTATCGTCGAGACCTAAACCGCGGACATGCGAGTGCGCGCCTGGTAGGATAGAAATTGGGTTGAGAAAGACGACGAAACAACGTTCCTTCCTCACCTATTCGCTCCATTTTTGTGATGTCCCGTAGCTCGGACGTTCCTGCAGTGATTTGGGTAGCCTATACGGATACGCATCTCAGTATTAGTCCAATCCGGTAAACTCGCTAGCTGTTACTGTACCATGGTGAGGAATAGAGCGCGTCTGTTTGTTCGGCGCAAACAAGGCTCGTTCCGTCCTCCAAATTATTGGCCTTCTTGTGGCACTCTTATTAGGCCAGGTAAGTTCAGCGCAATGTAGAGAAGTCGTTACATAGGTTGACCTTTCTACAGAGCCCCTCGCTGAACAGATGTTCAGCATTCGGGCTGGGTATAGCCTTTTGCAAAGTTTGACGACCGTCGCTGCCCAACCGAAATTCCCCTCTCGGACAATTTGCCATGCTCTGCGGACGAGTCTTTCCGCCCGGAATTACGCCACAACTTCTAACTTCAAGAATAAAAAGGAGGAAGCAATTGCATCCTTTGACCATGTAGAAGCCGAGTACAAGACCTACAAACCCATCACTCCCGGTATTCGTCATCTAAAGCGCCCCATTAACCCACACCTCTACAAAGGCAAGCCCGTTCGGCTGCTTACAGTCCCCCTCCGCAGGAAAGGTGGTAGAAACTCGACTGGACGCATTACTGTACGGTTCCGAGGAGGAGGACACAAACGGCGCATACGGGTTGTCGATTTCATGCGGAACGAGCCGGGGGTGTATGATGTTGTGCGGATAGAGTACGACCCCGGTCGGTCCGCACACATTGCACTTATAACAGCACGCGATCCGAAGACGGAGGGTACGGCAAAGTGGAAGTACATATTGGCACCAGAAGGACTCCGAGCTGGGGATGTCGTGCAAAGTTTCAGGTCGGGTATACCAGAGGACATACACCGGGAGGTTTTCGGCACGCAAGAGGAGACGGCTGCAAATGCTGAGGAAGTCGATGTTGCCGAGATGGAGCGGAGGGCGAAGGACAAAGCCACCACAGACGCTTTGGCAGTTGGCATTCTCAGTGGAAAGACGATCAAGCTTGGGAACTGTCTCCCTCTCCGACTGATACCTACCGGAACGGTGATTCACTGCATCTCACTTAACCCGCAGGGTAAAGCTATTCTCGTGCGCTCGGCGGGTACGTTTGCCCAGGTGTTGCACCACGAGGAGGGTGGCCGATACAGTCATGTCCGGCTCCAAAGCGGTGAAATACGAAAGGTCCTCCAAAGTTGTGTTGCTACTGTGGGAAAAGTGAGCAACGCGGCATGGCATGGCCGTTCGCTTGGCAAGGCAGGCAGGAATCGGTGGCTAGGATGGCGGCCCCGTGTGCGAGGTGTTGCCATGAACGCGTAAGTCGTCAACTAAATTCTTCTTCGCATTCGTCCCATTCATATTCAACTTATAGCTGTGATCACCCACATGGTGGTGGGCGTGGGAAGTCCAAGTCCAACAAGCATCCCGTGTCTGTCTGGGGCTGGCCAACCAAAGGCAAACGCACCCGTAAGCCAGGACCGAAAGGACCCAAAAACAGCAACAAGATGGTACTCAAGGAGCGTCCTCGTGGTAAAGAGAAACGCTCGGGTGTATCTAGCAGATAATCTGGCGTATACTCCATAGGTCATTTTAATATATCATGATGGCTGCTTCACCAGAGGCATCTAAACTGAGCCAGGTTGGTTCGTGTGCAGGCGCGGTCACGTGGGGGGACGCGTTTATGGCTGGGCACGCGCGTCTGTTTGCTGTGTGCCGAAGGGAGCGTGTGTTGTAGTTAAATACGCGTGCTATGAACACAGCACGCCTTCGAGCCCCACCGCACCGTCACCACCAACGCCGAGGCAACGATGCAGCAACCCTCGTCATCGCTGACGACGGCGACAGCGACCGTCATGCGATCGTCCAAACCTGCCTTGTCGCGAACGTCGTCCATGGCAAGCTTATCGTCCGATGATGTGGGTCGTCGCACCCGGAAACGTTTCACAAGCGTCCAGCTTGTGATGCTGGAACAACTATACCATCGCACCTCCCATCCGAGTCGCGAGGAACGCGAAGCCGTCGCGCAGGCTGCAGGCATGTACGTCTCTTTGCTGATATTTCTGTACCCGGAAAGCAAGATTGCTTCCGTCGTCCTCACGGCCCGCTGACGGCTGTGTGTTCGATTTAGGGAAATGAAGTCTGTTACGATCTGGTTCCAAAACAAGCGCCAGACCGAGCGCAAGGTCGCCCTCCACCATACTGCTAACCCATCTCAGACTGAGGTGCACCGACCAGCACATGCCGAACGTGGGTCGACGTCATCGCATGCATCGTCCTCCTGCTCTACCTCGTTACACTCCCCCCGGCTTTTCCACTCCCGGAAAACATCTATATCCAGTCTCCACCAGAAGAACACCCCTCCTCGTTCCCGACCGTCCCTCGATCGTGTAGCAACGCAATCAGAGTCCCGACTCCCTCCACCTCGTACACCCACAAAACCACGTGATCCATTTGCGTCGCCATGGGACAACATGCCATCTTCACCACTCGCGCCACCCGCAAGCCCACCAGTCCGTGACCTCGTTGAATTCATGGGCAACGGGCGCACCCTCGAGTGGGCATGTGCAGTTGCGCGTATTGCGGAAAAGGAAGGCCGTGCAGGGTTGTCCTCGAGACGCGTTGCTCACCGCAGGGCGAGTGATGCCGTTGGGGACGAAACGGAAGAAGAAGATATTGAGGCTGTCACTCCTGAGGGCAGCCTTGGCTTCAACCACATCGCATGGAGTGAGACAAAGAACGAGGCTCCACTGCGTGTCACCCCACAAAACTTGACCCTCTGGGGTCAGGCATCAGGAGAAGACAAGGGAAATGCAGTGCAAGATGACGACATGATGCGCGCTGCGCTTGCTCTATGTGGTCTTGGGCGAAGACAGGCATGACCTTGAGTTGGTGGGTTATATGTACATACTGCCAAAGTATCCTTCATATGCATATTGTAACCGCGACGCATATGCCAACCAATGTTGTGCATACCCGTAATTACTGCTCATCTTTTACGCGGACTGCTTTACATGTTACATGTACTTTCTTGTGTGCTAGTTCTATGCTCGCCCAGCTCAATATACATAGGTTTGGAGGAAACTGGCTTAACTGTAACATCCCTGCGCTATATCATATACCATGAGCAACTAAATGAAAAAGCAGATAGACGTGATGGACCGCAAACCTATCTGCATTAACTTCCATATCGGCGCACACGCAACGGCACCTTCGTACCAGCTTCTCCAACCACCCTAGGTCTCGACAATATTCCCATAGTCATCTCGATCTTCGTGTTTGGTCCATCCCTCATCTCCAACACAAAATTCTTAATCAACGTGAACATGACCGTCTATGCCAAAGTATCTCAGGATCCATGTACCTAATGTCCCGCAGGACGAACGTGAGAGTCCTACCTTGAATTCGGCCACTGCAAACCCTTTGCCAAGGCATGTCCTCGGTCCATCTATGAAAGTCAGCAAATGCCTATACCCTTGCATTTCCTGCGCCTTCTTCGGTATGCTCCCCTCTTCCAACCAGCGTTCTGGTCGAAAAACTTTTGCATCTGCACCCCAGATAGCGACTGAACGATTGATGCAGGCGGTGGATATCCCAATTCGAGTGCCACGTGTTACAGATATGCTGTTGACGACTCGGCCGAATCTGGCACGAACGGGCTCTGAGAGGGGGATAACATCGTCTTCAGCTGCCTGAGTAGGAAGGAGTACCCAATTCAGTGACAAAAAGAGAACGACTGTTTGGAACTGAACTCACTTGACGAACAAACTCGTCCAGAGGAGGATGGAAACGGAGTGTCTCGTGTACCACAGCATCCAGGTAAGGAAGGTTGTTGGTAAGTTGGTCGTACGTCGGGTCGGAACCAAAAGCCAACAGCTCTGCCCTAAGCTTGGTTTGTATATCGGGGTTCCGAGCGAGCTCAAGCAGCGCCCAGGTCATGGTGACTGCGGAGACCACGATGTCAGGACATACTGGCCCCACTTATGGATGCAGTTACCTGAAGTAGTTTCATAGCCGGCGACAATGAGTAATTTCATCTGTTAGAGGCAACTCTATGATCACAAAGGTTGCGAGAAGTGGCTTGCGCGTACCTGAGCAAGGATTTCTTCAACGGATAATTGGACATCGGTACCTGAATCTTTGGCTTTTACTGGGTGCTGCGCATCAGTAAGCCAAGTTAGCTCGTGAGACACGATAACATACACAGCACTCCGATGATAGACTTGTCGTCTTTCCCGTCAACGATTCCTGCTTCCTTCTCTTCCTTAGACCTCTCCAAAAACTTTCTCGAGATGTCTGCCAGCGTTCGGTTCATATCACCGAACAAATCACCCCTCGATGTTGGCACATATGTCAGTAGAGGGAACACGGTGGCGAGAAGGAGGAGGGTAGAATTCGGGACCGATCCTTCAAAGGTAGTGAATACGTCAGCCACGGGGTTTGTCTTTCCGTCCAGAGAACCAAAATCATGGGAGAAACCAGCGAGCCCAATGGAATCGAGCCTGGGGGGAGCGTTGAGGTACTGAATGTCAGAAAATTAGTTTCTCGCACGAAATATGGTTCATCCTGGTCCGGAAAATGACTAAGCTCTCGACTGCGGGTGGATAAGATGGCTGACATACCAATTTTGAACATCAATGACAGTATTGTGACCATCGTTGGCATCGATCAACGACTCCCATGCAGTCTTGGCCTAAAAAGATACATACGTTCGGGTCACTTGAAGAAGAATCGGATTTTAGTCACCCTTACCCTGTACGCAGAATGGTAAAACACAGGAAGCAGTTGACGAACAGCCGCGTGACTGAACGCTGGCGACAAGGACTTGCGCTGTCTTGGAAAGCATCAACGCTGCTTCCAGAAGAACAACGTCTGCACTTACCTTCTGTGCTCCTCTCCCTGTGCACACAATATTACCATTCCGAACTGGATATCATAACATGAGATGACTCATGATTAAAGGGGAACTTTGCGGCTATACTTACACTCTTTCTGGTGAAGATTAACCCAAAATCTGTGTGTACGTACGTCCGAGTTTCCTTGTTATAGAAGTGAGCGATGGCCCTGGGGTCACACAACATGATCTTGCTCCCCCCCAGCATAATAGGGACCTCGTAAGCGACGCCATACTCATTGGCCCATGCTTCGTACATGGCCCCTGCATCTTCCGCGTGGAATAGATCCTTGGCCAAGCCGAATATAAGACTTGTCCTGGGGGGACCTCGAAGTCTGGTCGCTTTTAGTTTGTTCCGGACCATACGGAAGGATATGCGCAGCGCCCAAAGAATTGCTACTCCCTTAGCGACATCAAACGCAGTTGTTGATCGGATTATCTCCTGCAGGCTATCGTATATGCGAACGAATACAGTAGATGCATCCATTGTGTGAGACGTGAGTTTCGCAATGTACGAGCTGTGTATGGTGTGCTGGGAAGGATCTGAGGAAGACGGGTGATGCATTCTCACGTGCACTGGGTCGATGGGTCGACCCATCGACCCCTTGCTGTGACCGCCAGACAGGACAGGCCAAGACTGTTAATTGTTTCGGTATTCCCTCTAGGCCGGAACTCACCGAACTTTGCACCACCTGGCAAATCTTGTCCGGTCTGACCCTCGTCGGTCAGAAGACACGGGTGTAAACGTGACAATATGATGTGCGCTGCACTTGTTCTATGTCGTCTTGGACGAAGACACGCATAATGGGTTGTATGTATTAGATTTTTTTGCAGTACCAGATGTCAGTTTCTGCTGGTCCGACGTCATGCATTATGAGCAAGCATTTTACATAAAGCAGTCAAGTTATTCTCGTGTTCTCAGCGACGGAATGCCGCATATGCCAGCCATGGTCGTGCATGTTCGTAATTACTACTCGCCCAGCTCATTATACATTGGTTCGGAAGAAACTGGGTCAACTGCGACATCCTTGCGCCACGTCACACACTACATGAAAAGGGAGAACGACATGATAGCCAGTAAATCTATTTGCATTAAACTCCAAATCGGCGCACACGCAGTGGCACGTTTGTGCGGCCTTCTCCAACCACCCTAGGTCTCGGCAGTATTCCCATAGTCATTTCAATCTGCGTATCAGGTCCATCCCTCATCTCGAACGCAAAATTCTTAATCAACGTGAATATGACCGTCTATGCCAAAGTATCTCAGTATCCATTTACTTGATGCTCGGAAGACGAAGCGAGAGTCCTACCTTGAATTCGGCCAACGCAAATCCTTTGCCAAGGCATGTCCTCGGTCCATCCACGAAAGTCAGCAAATGGCGATAACCTTGCACCTCCTGTGCCTTCTTCGGTATCCCGCCTTCTTCCAACCAACGTTCCGGTCGAAAAACTTTTGCATCTGCACCCCAGATGGCGACTGAACGATTGATACAGGTGGTAGATATTCCAATTTGAGTGCCACGTGTTACGGATACGCTATTGACAACTCGGCCTGATTTGGTACGTACAGGCTCTGAGAGGGGGATAACGTCGTCTTCTGTTGCCTTAATAGGTACCCCAGTCAGTGACAGAAAGAAAACGATCATTTAGAACTGAGATTACCTGACGGAGAAACTCTCCAAGAGGAGGATGTAGACGGAGCGTCTCGTGTACCACAGCATCGAGGTAAGGAAGGTTATTGGTAAGTTGGTCATACGTCGGGTCGGAACCAAAAGCCAACAGTTCCGTTCGTAGCTTAGTTTGTATGTCAGGGTTCCGAGCGAGCTCAAGCAACGCCCAGGTCATGCTGACTGCAGAGACCATCATGTCAGGACATACTAGCCGCACTCATAGATGCAGTTACCTGAAGTAGTTTCATAGCCGGCGACAATGAGTAATTTCATCTGTTGGAGGCAACTCCATGATCACAAAGGTGCGAGAAGTGCCTTGCGCATACCTGAGCAAGGATTTCTTCAACGGATAATTGGACATCAGCACCCGAGTCTTTTGCTTTTACTGGGTGCTGAGTATCAGTAATCCAAGTTAGCGCGTGAGACACGACAACGTACACAGCACTCCAATGATAGACTTGTCGTTTTTCCCATCGATGATTCCTGCTTCCTTCTCCTCCTTGGACCTCTGCAGAAACTTCCTCGAGACGTCCGCCAGTGTTTGGTTCATCTCAGCGAACAAATCACCCCTCGATGTTGGCACATGTAGCAGTAGAGGGAACACATCGGCGAGAAGAATGATAGTAGAATTCGGAACCGACCCTGCGAAGGTATTGAATACCTCCACTACGCGGGTTGTCTTTCCGTCCAGAGAACCAAAATCATGGGAGAAGCCAGCAAGCCCAATGACATCAAGCCTGGATGGAATGTTGAGGGTCCAAATGACAATAAATAAATAAATCGCACGAAATATGATTCATCCTTGTCCAAAAAACAAGTAAGCTCTCGACTATAGGTGAATAAGCCTGTTGGCATACCAATTCTGAACCTCGATAATGGCACTGTGACCATCGTTGGCATCGATCAAAGACTCCCATGCAGCCTTGGCCTAAAAAGATACATACACGCAGGCCCGAGAGTCGAATTCAATAACTCTTACCTTGTACGCAGAATTGTAAAACACAGGAAGCAGTTTACGAATGGCGGCGCTGCTGAACGCTGGCGACAAGGACTTGCGTTGGCTTGCAAAACATCAACGTGGCTTCTTAGTAGTTGAACGACACCCGCCCTCACCTTTTGTGGTCTTCACCTTGAGCGCATAGTATTACCCTTCCAAACTGGATACCAAGTCATGAGATAACTCGTGCCTAAAGAGGAACTTTGCGACTACACCTACACTCTTCCTGATGAAGAGCCGCTCGAAATCTGTGTGTGCGTATGTCCAAGTTTCCTTGCTGTAGAAGTGGGCGAGGGCCCTGGGGTCACACAACACAATCTTGCTCCCGCCAAGGACAGTAGGGACTTCGTAAGCGGCGCCGTACTCAACGGCCCATGCTTCGTACATGGCCCCCGCATCCTCTGCGTGGAATAGATCCTTCGACAAGCCGAATATAAGACTTGTCCTTGGGGGACCTCGGAGTCTAGTTGCTTTCAGTTTGTTCCGGACAGCGCGGAAGGATATGCGCAGTGCCCATAGAATAGCTACTCCCTTAGCAACGTCAGTTACAGTGGCTGAACGGATTATCTCCTGGAGTTTAGCGTATATGCCAACCGACACGTCCATCGTGTTGAAATTTCGACTTGCACAACGTACGCACCGTTATATGGCGTGCTGGGCAGGGTTGGAAGGAGACAGGCAATAATTCATGGTGGCACGATATAAACGACCAATCAGACCCAGTGTGAACACTCTGTCCCTCGCATGGTACAGTGCACTCCCGTCGGCTGGTGAGCGCTTTCCGGGTATCATACAATCCCCTCACTTACACATGCCTTGGGTGACGGTGGGCTACCCGTCGGATATCCCGTTCAAGAGGTTGCTGACTAATACTGCACCACCATGAAAGCCCACACAGCCACAATCACGTGCGGCGAAGGTTGCGGCCGATTCGGAAGTCGATACGACTATTATTGTCTCAGTCATGTCTCATCACATCCGAAAGACTCGACCCCCGGGGATCAGAAACCTGGGGAAGACAAGGGTAAGATAACGACATAATATACGCTGCGCTTGGTCTTTGTAGTCTAAGATGAAGACAGGTATGACTACGACCGGTGGGTTATATGTACGTACTGCCAGAGTACCCCTCGTATGGACGTTATAACGGCAAACTTGCTCTCATATTCTGAGCGATGGAATGCCGTAGATGCCTACCATCGTCGTGCATGCTCTTAATCGCTACTTACCTTTACACAGACTGGTTTACAAGCTGCATATACTTTCTTATGTGCGGTTCACAAACCGATCTGCATTAGCCCCCGTACCGGTTCACGCGCAATGGCAACTTTGTACCGTCTTCTCCGGTCACTCTAGGTCTCGGCAACAATCCCATCGCCATCTCGATCTGCGTGTCAGGTCCATCTCTTATCTCGAACACAAAGCTCTTGACCAACACGACCATGACCGTCTATAACAGTGTCGCTCACCATCCACTTGAATATCCCCCGGAATGGAACGCAAACCACTCACCTTAAATTCGGCCAATGCGAATGCTTTTCCCAGGCATGTCCTTGGTCCATCCACGAAAGTCAGCAAATGTCGATAACCTTGCACCTCTTGTGCCTTCTTTGGTATCCCGCCTTCTTCCAACCAACGTTCCGGTCGAAAAACTTTTGCATCTGCGCCCCAGATGGCGACTGAGCGATTGATACAGGCAGTAGATATTCCAACTTGAGTGCCGCATGTCACGGATATGCTATTGACAACTCGGCCTGATTTGGCACGAACAGGCTCTGAGAGGGGGATAACGTCGTCTTCTGTTGCCTAAATAGGTACCCCAGTCAGTGACAGAAAGAAAACGATCATTTAGAACTGAGATCACCTGACGGAGAAACTCTCCAAGAGGAGGATGTAGACGGAGTGTCTCGTGTACCACAGCATCGAGGTAAGGAAGGTTGTTGGTAAGTTGGTCATACGTCGGGTCGGAACCAAAAGCCAACAGTTCTGTTCGTAGCTTAGTTTGTATGTCAGGGTTCCGAGCGAGCTCAAGCAACGCTCAGGTCATGCTGACTGCAGAGACAGCAATGTCAGGACGTACTGGCCCCACTGATGGACGTAGTTACCTGAGGTAGTTTCATAGCCGGCGGTAATGAATAATTTCATCTGTTGGAGGCAACCCTACGGTCACAAAGGCTGCGAGCAGCGCGTTACACGTACCTGAGCAAGGACTTCTTCAACGGACATTTGGACATCAGCACCTGCATCTTTGGCTTTCACTGGGTGCTAAGCATCAGCAATCCAAGTTAGCTCGTAAGATGCGATAACTTACACAGCACTCCGATGATAGACTTGTCGTCTTTCCCACCAACAATTCCTGCTTCCTTCTCTTCCTTGGACCTCTCCAAAAACTTCCTCGAGATGTCCGCCAGTGTTCGGCTCATGTCACCAAACAAATCACCCCTCGCAGTTGGCACGTATAGCAGCAGATGGAACACTTGGGCAAGAAGGATGACGGGAAAATTCATGGTCGATCCTGCAAAGGTATCGAATACCTCTACCACGCGGGTTGTCTTTCCGTCCAGCGAACCGAAATCATGGGAGAAACCTGCGAGCCCAATGGTATCGAGCCTGGAGGGAGCGTTAAGATGCTGAATGACAGAAAATAAATTTATCATACGAAACGTGGTTCATCCTTGTCCACGAAACAGGTGAGCTCTTGACTGCAGGTGAATAAGATGGCTGACATACCAATTCTGAGCGTCAATTACAGCACTGTGACTATCATTGGCATCGATCGAGGACTCCCATGCAGCCTTGACCTAAAAAGATATACAAATTCAGGCCCAAGAGTCTAATTCAATAACTTACCTTATGTGCAGAATTGTGAAACACAGGAAGCAGTTTACAGATGGCGGCGTGGCTGAACGCTGGTGTCAAGGACTTGCGCTGCCTTAGAACACATCAACATGGCTTCGAGTTGAGCCATATCCGCGCTCACCGTTTGTGGTCCTCGCGTTGTGCACACAATATTGCATTTCCAAACTAGACGCCATGACATGAGATGATTCACGAGGGGAACTTCACGACTATACCTACATTTTTTCTCATGAAGTGCAATGCGAAGTCTATGGGTATGTACGTCCAGGATTCCTTGCTGTAGAAGTGGGCGAGGGCCCTGGGGTCACACAGCATGATCTTGCTCCCGCCGAGAGTAGTAGGAACCTCATAAACGACACCATACTCACCGGCCCACACCTTGTACATGGACGCAGCATCCTCTGTGTAGAGTAGATCCTTTGCCCAACCGAATATCAGATTTTTCCTGGGCGGTCCTCGAAGTCTGGTTGTTTTCAGTTTGTTTCGGGCTATGCGGAAGGATATGTACAGGGCCCAAAGAATAGCTATTCCGGTAGCGACATTCATGGCATTGGCTGAACGGATTACCTTCTGGAGTTTAGCGTATATGCGAGCGAACACGGATGTATCCATGGTGTCGAGAGGCAATTTTCATCATGTACATACGGTTATATGACGAGCTCAATGAGATCGGAAGAATACGGCTGATGAAAGAACGTCGATACGAACAACCAATCAGACCAAGTGTGAACGTTACCAGGGAACCACCATGAGATGCAAGACACCTGAGCCATTTCCACGAAGTATCTTTCTAAAACCTTTTATGCCTCAGTGGCGTCACGTGGATGTGCACCTGAACTCATCTCATTGGCTCGGTGGTTTCGGCCGGTGTGTGTGTACACGTGACGTGGGCGTCAGCGACGGTCGCCTGCTGGACGCCGTTGTCGGTGGTGTCACCGTCTTCTGGCTTTTCGGTAATTATAGCCACGTCGTGTAACATTCGGGGCGTCGTTAGTGCTCATAACGGGTGTCCGTACTCCTCTTCCCATGGCATCAGTGGAGGACGGGGCATGCCACGCCTGTGCGTAATACAACTAACTTCAACTTCATACTGAGGTTTCGAGTGCGGTCTATATTATAGGCTAATAGCCTTGGACAAGTCTTGGACGCTGTCTCTCGGGCTCCTCCCCTTCTTTCGGCAAAGGAATTGCAAGAACCCATCACCTAGCAACATCAACTGCAGTATCTCCTGGAGTATATGCGAACCAGCGCAGCAGACACGTCCATTGTGTTATGATTCGACTTGCACAATGTACGCACTGTCATTTAGTGTGCTGAGCAGGATCTGAGGAAGACGGGCGATGATTCATGAAGGAACGATACGAACAGCCAATCTCGGACCAAGCCTCGTACCGTATAGGGCGAGTGCTCCTGTCAGTTGACAAGCGTTTTACAGGTTCATGTGATCCACTCACTTATGGCAGCCCGACAGGAAGGTCAGTGCAATTACGATCAGGTGTGGCGAACGGAACTGGGATCGGTGGATCGACCTCTTGCGATGGCGATGCTCTGGACCGTCGGACAGAGGCAGACGACGACTATTATCTTAGTACTCGCTCCCATACCTCATCAGACTCGACGCCCCTCTGCAAAACTTGACCCTCGGGGATCAGGGACCTGGGAAGCTGTGAACTTTTTGCATTAAGTCGAGACTATTGATATTACCATGTTGCAAGTCTTTGAAGCGAATGGTCTCATTCATGGTTTCATCCCCAGAATTATCGGCTACTCCCCTGAAGCGGTTGTAGCGCGAGCAGAAAGTTGGTTGCTGTCGAGCCACCTGGAGTAATGGGAATGGCACACGTGTGCAATATTTGACTGGTCGGCAATTTCTCGGTTCAGTGTTCACGCTGACCTTGCATTCTTCCGGTCCCTCCCATCCCGTAGCCTTATAACGATGGGTGCATCATTTATGAAACTCGAAATCTCGACACAATGGACGCATCTGCTGTGTTCGTTCGCATATACGAAAAACTCCAGGAGGTAGTCCGTTCAGCCACTGCTATCGATGTCGCTACAGGGATAGCTATCCTTTGTGCTCTGCGCATAACCTTCCGCATAGCCCGGGACAAACTGAAAACAACCAGACTGCGAGGACCGCCCAGGAAGAATCTCATATTCGGCTGGTCCCAGGATCTACTCCATGCAGAGGATGCAGGGTCCATGTATGAAGCATGGGCCACTGAGTATGGCGTCGCTTAGGAGGTCCCTACTACTCTGGGCGGGAGAAAGATCATGTTGTGTGATCCAAGGGCCCTCGCCCACTTCTACAGCAAGGAAACTTGGACATACGTACCCACAGAGTTTGATTTGCTCTTCATCAGAAAGAATGTAGGTATAGTCATGAAGTTCCCCTTTAAACGTCAGTCCTCTCATATCACAACATTTAGTTTGGGAAGGCAATATTGTGCGCACAAGGCGAGGACCACAAAAGGTGACGGCGAATATAGTTCTACTCGAAGCAGCGTTGATATTTTCAAAGACAGCGCAGGTCCTTGTCACCAGCGATCAGCCATGTGGCTATTCGTAAACTGCTTCCCGTGTTCTACAATTCTGCGTACAAGGTAGGAGTATTGAATCCAGCTGTTGGGCTGAACGTATGTACATATTACTTGCTAGGCCAAGGCTGCATGGGAGACATTAATCGATGCCAATGATAGTCACAGTGCCATCATTGAAGTTCAGAATTGGTGCGTTAGTTACTTAACCGCAATGGAGAACTTAGTCACGTTTGAGCAAGGATGAACCATATTTCGTGCGATAATTTATTTTTTGACATTAAGATTTTCATCTCTCCCCTCTAGGCTCGATACTATTGGGATCGCGGGTTTCTCCCATGATTTTGGTTCTCTGGATGGAAAGACTACCCTTGTAGTGGAGGTGTTCGATAGTTTTGCAGTGTTGGCCCCAAATTTCCCATTTCTCCCTCTCGTCCAAGCGTTCCTCCTGCTGCTATACATGCCAACCGCCAGAGGTGATTTGTTCGGTGACATGAACCAAACACTGGCGGACGTCTCGAGAAAAATTCTGGAAAGGTCCCGGGAAGAGAAGGAAGCTGGAGTCATTGATGGGAAGGATGACAAGTCTATCATTGGAGTGCTGAGTATGCTGTCGGGTCTCGTGAGCTAACTTGGATTGCTGATACGCAGCACCCAGTAAAAGCCAAAGATGCAGGTTCCGATGTCCAATTGTCCATCGAAGAAATCCTTGCACAAGTACGTGCAACACCGCCTGTGGGCTTTGTGAAGACCATTGAGTTACCTCCAACAGATGAAATCATTTATTACCGCCGGCTATGAAACCACCTCAGGTAACTGCGCCCATAAATGGGGCTGGTGTATCATGACATAGTGTTCTCCGCAGTTGGCATGACCTAGGCACTGCTCGAACTCGCTCGGAACCCCGATATACAAATCAAGCTACGAACAGAACTATTGGCTTTTGGTTCGGACCCGACGTATGACCAACTTACCAACAGCCTTCCTTACCTGGATGCTGTGGTACACGAAACACTTCGTCTCCACCCTTCTCTAGCGGAGTTCCTTCGTCAGGCGAGTTCAGTTCCAAATGACCATTTTCTCACCACAGCTAAAATGAGTACACCCTTCTACTTAGGCAGCAGAAGACGATGTCATCCCCCTCTCAGAGCCTGTTCGTACTAAATCCGGCCGAGTCGTTAACAGTATATCCGTAACACGTGGCACTCAAATTGGAATATCCACCGCCTGCATCAATCGTTCGACGGCTATCTGGGGTGCGGATGCGAAAGTTTTCCGACCAGAACGCTGGCTGGAAGAAGGGGGCATACCGAAGAAGGCGCAAGAATTGCAAAGTTATCGTCATTTGCTGATTTTTGTGGATGGACCAAGAACATGCCTCGGTAAAGGCTTTGCGGTGGCTGAATTCAAGGTGGGTTTCTTACGCTCGTCCTCCGGGATACTGAGATATTTTGACATAGACGGTCATAGTCGTATTGATCAAGAGTTTTGTATTCGAGATGAGGGATGGTCCTGGTACGCAGATCGAGATGGGGATGGGATTATTGCCGAGGCCTAGGGTGGCTGGAGAGGACGGTACAAAGTTGCCATTGCGTGTGAGCCGTTACGAAGGTTAATGCAGACATGTTTATGGTCCACCAGGTCGGTCTGCTTTCTCATTTTCTGGTTAAGTCAACGTTGTTCAAGACTAGCAGCCCGCCGGTATTGGGGGAATGATCAGTCGTGACAAAGATGAGTAGTGCAATGCGAACGCGAGAGGGAAAACGAACTTGGTGGTGGACACGTAGATTATTTGGCGGATACGATTCGGCATGCTGCACGCTGTAAAATGCGCATCGTTTGGTCCACCTCGAAGATGTGGCGAGAGTGAACTTACCACCCTGTTTCTGTCTTGTATGGACATGAAGGTTGTAAAGGAATCAGCTAAGGCAATCAATAAAGTACTTCGAGATTTATCTGCTAATTGCGTCGTGCATTCAGTGATCATGTGAGGATTACGGAACCGGTGGTGGCTTCTCTGGCTGAGACCTTCCGTGATCGTCGCAGACTTAGCATAGCTATCAGGGAGAAGACTCTGCATATAGAATCAGTGCGCAAATGGACCTAAACATCAACGATCATTACACGGGAGCTACTACCACTTGGGCGCATGCGACCAATACCTCGTGGATCGGATGACTGCCTTAACTGGTTCACACAGCCCATGATAGCAGTCTAACAAAAGCCCTTGAGATTGACGGATGGGCGTATCAGTACTTGAAACCATGGGATCACATATCGATCTTCTTGCGTGATGGCTAATGAGTACTTTCCATACTGGCAGATGTGTTTCATCACATGATCCGCCAGATAGTGTGGGGAGCCGCCGATGGTTTATACATGCGTGCAAAACTGAAGAATGAACAAGACCCGGTGGGCTGGGACCTGGGAGGGTTCCCCTGACATAACACGGTGAAAATCCTGCAGCAAACACACGTTGAAGTGCGGGGGTCCCTATCGGCTCCGATTTTGCGGCCAGTTCTTGATGTTGATGGCAGGACGGGAATGACCTCGCTGGGTGGAAAGATCATTCATCGATCATATCCATATCGAAGTTCCACTAGTGGTGGAGCGGTGGCAGTGCTTACGGCAGAAGCGGCCTCGAGGTATCAAGCTCATTTTCCTTGTTCGTATCTCACCACTGCTTTTTGAGTTCGAATGCGACAGGTACCCCAGTCTGCCATCTAAACAATTTCTGTCGCATGCGGGTGGAAGTTGGGACCTGTTACTTCAACGCGTATGTGGTCCCTGTGCTGGCCGAATCGCTGACCCATGATGATTCAGAGGTCAAAAGGGTACCAGTATGGGAAGTGCTCTTCAGCTATTAGAAAAGGAGATCAGTAACATGTAATCCTGTGGTTTCAAGTACTGATATTACTCCGCTGCCGTACTGATCTTCCCAGAGATTCACACTAGTCTCATCGAAGGAAGGAGTCCATGGGTTGCGCAAACCTGATAATATTCAATTAACCCGGTAGAGTATATTAGTGGTGCATACATACATCCAGATTTTCACCCCATCTCACAAAATGGCCTCAGTGGCAGATCCAGAAGTTATCATCAATGAGTTCGCCGACTCCATACGTCCAGCTCTCTCCCTTATCATCGCAAATACTGCTTTCTCTGCCTCTCTGCTTACCCTCTTTGTAGTCCTTCTTGCACTCTCCACAAAGGAATCTCGACGCCGTATGATATTCCGACTGAATGTGTTTGCTATCTGTGTCGCCCTAACTATGGGTATATTGGTTGGCTTCTGTAATGGGAAGATCGTTGTCGACCAGCTCGATCAAGTGTCGACAAGTCTCGCTATTGCTACAATGGTCTTCACTTTCTTCCCACCGTTACTGTGGGACTCGATATTGTTAACTCGCCTTTTTGCACTCTATCCCATCTCCAGCACACCTCCAGCCACTCTATTGAAGATACTTGCATTCCCTCTCTCTGTCAAATGTGGTCGAGTGGTAGTTCTCGTGCGTCACTTTATCAATTGTCAAGTCTATGCACTGTAATTCCAAATGCAGACTATTGTCATCACCAAATATGTTAGGTCTGTGACAACAGAAGGCCCCATCCTGGCTGAGTCCACTGACTGGACCCGCGATCCCTACTTGATCGCTGAATGGGTGATGCAAATAGCAGATAATATGTGAGTTGATACACATCGAAACACTCCATTGAAAGCCTTGATTGTTTCCTCTTCGAAAGGTATTCTGTTAGTCTCTTCCTTTACAACCTCCATGTCCGCACGGGCTGGATAAAACCCGGTATGTGTTTCTCCCATATCTCGCAGGCGGACTGAATGGCACATATTTTCAACCATGTAGTAGGTGGAATTTCGACCCGTATCCGCCAAATATTTTACATTTCCGCCGCCAATTTTGTCTTTCCTGTCATCTTCAACATTGTACTAATCATCTCCGTCGCTATTGATCTGCCCGTTACTACCGGTGGGCTGCTATGGTTGATCAACGACTACGTTACCGTCATGGGCTTATTGTTCGCAACGGTCTGGTTCTCCGGATCGGAGTGGGTTCAGACTCGCAACATCGACTTGCGAAGGGCACATGACACTGGCAGGAAGCGCCGGAGCGAAATTGTGGTAGTTGGAAAGAGGTTTGCCACACCTGACACGTCAGACTTGGATGCTGGACCCGTGACGGATTGCAAGCCACTTGGCATACTGATGGGAGAGGATAAATACTGTACGGTGTGATTCCGGACCCCCCTCAGGTGAAAATCCCATTACAGTTTTGTCGTAGTTAGTTTGTCTCCCTATCGGTGTACTCACCTACAACACTTCTTGCGATGGTGGGTTGTTACATATGTATATCGTGTGTTACGTAACGTATAGTAGTTGTGTAAAAGATTGCTTCCGACCGACGCAGGGAGAAAAGATGAAAGGTCGCATTTTTTTCTCCTGTTTTATGCCGGGCGTCCCAATTCTTGAGATCTTCAAAACTTTCTCATCGACTAGTGTTAGTATATTTGTGTAAAATCCCACATGTCTAGCAGATGGGCATTGCGCACCTGACGGGGTGTCTGAAGTTGGACCGATATGCGTGTGCCATGCTTACTAGGTGCGACCCGTGTCGCCGCGTAGTTATCTGGTTAACACAACTAGTAAGTTCAAGCGTCTTTGTTGCATTTGCACGCAATCCACTCAAGGTTTTTAGATGGAGTGTAGAAATGTGTGTATTGGGCAAGATAGACTAAGGAATTCCAATTAATAAAATTACATCGACGCACCCAGTGCTTTGGTATGTATGTGGTCTGGTGTATATATGCAACGATTAACCCACTCACGGATCATCCACCATCGACAACAAAAGTTAAGGATAGTCTAGTATATCATAGCAGAAAACGGCGCTGCCGTCGTTCATCCATGTCAATGAATCAAAAGCCCTCGTACCGGGTCACGCGCAATGGCATCGTGCTGCCTTCTTCCCCGACCACTCGGGGCCTGGGTAATATTCCTCTGCACAGCTCAATTTGGGTGTTCGGACCATCTCTCATCTCGAACACGTAACTCTTCACTAGCACCGACAGCACCGCCTGTGTAGAGACCTATCAGTATACTCCGACGGAGCATACAGCAATTTCGAACTCACCTTGATCTCGGATACCGCAAAGCCCTTTCCGAGACAATTCCTTGGCCCATCAGCAAAAGTCAACAGGTGACGGTACCCTTGGACATCCTGTGCCTTCTTTGGGATACCATCTTTCTCGAGCCAACGATCTGGCCGAAAGACCTTCGCGTCCGGTCCCCAGATGGCAGTGGATCGGTTGGTGCATGCCAAGGGCAACCCGATTCTCGTGCCACGTGCTACCGAGATGCTGTTGACGGCCTGGCCAGACTTGGTAATAACAGGTTCTGAGAGAGGGATGACGTCATCTTCCGCTGCCTGGCGGGGGGAATGTGAAGGTCAAAGAGAGAAGATATGGCCTGTTTGTAAGTCGACTTACCACGCGAACAAAGTCTGTTAGGGGAGGATGGATGCGAAGGGACTCGTGTACCACAGCGTCGAGGTAAGGAAGTGTCTGGCTACTCTGCAACTGGTCATATGTTGGCTCAGAGCCAAAGGCCAAAAGCTCGTCCCGCAGCTTGCTTTGAATATCTGAGTTGCGGGCAAGCTCGACCAATGCCCAGGTCAGGCTATCTGAAAAATCCGTTAGGCTAACCAACAACCTTTGCCAACACAAAGGGCTCACTCGATGTAGTGATGTAACCAGCAAGAAGTAACTCTTTCATCTGGTCATCCCGGACCGTAAGGATAACTTGACAGGAATAGAACCACCATTTACTCACCGACGACAACACTTCTTCGGGGGTCACATGCCGTCCGCCCTCTGCCTCAGTAGCTTTGACTAAAGGACGTGCTCGGTAAGTCTGACCTCCAGTGTAGTGAAATAACATACTGAGCACTCCGATAATCGACTTGTCCTCTTTACCGTCAATAACTCCCTCTTTCTTTTCTTTCTCCATCCTCTCTAGGAGATTCTTTGCGACGCCCGACAACGTTTCTTGCATGTCGGTGAGTGACTGAACACACGATACCGGTATGTAAGAAAACACAGGGAACACTTCGGCGAAGAGGACGACGGCAACATCAAGGAACGATTGCTTGGCCGACGCGTCGAAGGCACTGAACACTTTTTGGATTGTGGCAGGTTTACCGTCGAGGGAACCGAACTCATGGGAGAACCCGGCCATGCCAATGGTGTCGAGGCTGGTGCAAATGTTCAGACTAAACTTTAACGAATACGATCATTATTGGCTCACGAGATATGGTTCATCCAATCTTGGATTTCGATGATAGCACTTTCACCGCCACTCGTGTCGATCAGAGCGTCCCAACCGGCTTTCGTCTAGGCCATCAATGCTCAGTTTCCGAAGACGCGTCGAACAAGTTTGGTAAGGCTTACTTTGTGAGCACAGTTGTAGAATACATGGGAAAGCTTCCGCATGGCTGCATGGCTGAATGCAGGTGACAAGGACTTGCGTTGTCTGAGAAACAAGAGTAAGCACGTTATTTCAGCATCTGGAACATTGACGTTACCTCTTGTGATCTTCTCCATGCGACCACAGTATTCCTCTCCCGAACTGGACATCGAGTTGTAAGCGAAGCATGCAAGATACTGTTGTAGTGGAACATACCCCGCGTTCCAGGAATACTCTGGTTGAGTCGGTTAGTACGTATGTCCAGGTTTCCCGGGCATAGTAGTGTGCGAGGGCTCTTGGATCGCACAACATGATCTTCTTCCCGCCGAAACTCGTCGGAACCTCGTAAGCGACACCATATTCCTCGGCCCATGTTTCAAAGATCTCCCCTGTGTCTGGTGACTCGAAGAGGTCTTTCGATGCCCCGAATATGGGGTGCGTGCCAGGTGGTCCGCGAAGACTGGTGGTCTTGAATTTCCTTCGAGCTGCGCGCAAGGTACTGCGTAGAACCAAGACACCGGCGATGCCTGCGAGGACGCTGAAGATAGAAGTTGAACGATAAACCGCTAGCAAGTTATCGTAGGCCGCAGTGTGGATGGTAGAAGTAGTGGAAGACATGTCGTGTCTGAGTCCGTTGCTGCTTCAATCGTGAATTCAGAGGGGGTTATATATGTGCCGCAGGACGCTGTGAATGACAATGGCATCGCTATGAATCCAATAGCATTACACTCCCATGGGTGGAACCATGACGATCTGCTGTCAATGGGTAGGCTTTGATGATGGCTGAACAGCTTCGGATCAGTTGTTGTTGGGCGGGAGACCTCATTCGTTGCTCTCACTGGCTCAATTTGGTCCCATACAGGTGCAGGAGTACCTGAGACGGGATACCGACCAGAACGGCGACCTGTCAGGCACGAGGCGATATCTAACTTGGTTCGAAAGCTATCAGTTTCGGGATATGGCAACGACACTCGGAATAGCCTTCTGTTCAGAACGAGTAGACGATAGTCAGTCCAAGGGATAATAATCTGGCGTCTTCGCCACGAAACTTTCCAATGGACGTGACCCTATACTGTCTTTCCTCATCAGAACATGCAATTGTTTTGTGTTGTCAGATATGGCTCTTGAAATTCGAGGTTGTGACATGTTTTCGGGGAATGGGAGATGAAGATCGTTTTGTGCGCTAGTGTCAGAACCCCCTGACGCACCGGAGGCTCCAGGAATCACGTGCCCGGTCTGACGTGCTCGGATCAGCGGGCTCTCCGAAACCATCGGCTGCATCGAAATGTGTGCATCTTCAACGACGGTAGTACTCGACCGGCTTACCGGGACCAAAACGAGAGCCGGGGAAGCTGTCTCCCAGTCTTTTCAGGAGCTTCACATCCACCGCAAGTCCGTACTCTTCGGGTTGCACGTCTCGACTCTCGAGGCACTGTAGGCTGCGGCACTTGTCTGGTCGACTGGATAAGATGTTTGGTGGTCGTTGGTGCCAACTTCTCATGTGCGTCGTGCGTATATGATCCTTTGCATTCACGCCTGTTCCGAAAGACGTCAATCAATGCTTTTTTGGTACTTGCGCATCACACTCGCTTGTTCCGCGTATGCACGACCATATGAGGTAGTATGTACTGCACAGGCGGATTGATGGCTATTAGTCCGCCATCACCGCAACAAGATAAACGTTGGACGGTGCAGCCACATACAAGACTATTGGTGGCGTAACATGTAAGAGCTTTCGTTTCATGCCCTAACATTACTCCTGCAGGGGTACGTTTCAACATAATAACCTTCAAGTTCCAGCTTTCTCCATGACAAGCGCGCTCTCACCCAGCTTTTCTGATGTAACAATACGCGAGTTTCTGGACCAGTTTCTGTCCCGCAGACATGTTATATCACACGGACGCCCTGCTATGAGAGTCAACCGGATCAGATACCTTAATCTTCACCCGGATCCCGGTTTTCGCAGAATAACTCCGTCAACACGTCCCTCCGTGAACCGCTCTGCGCCAGACGACCCGGCTTCCCCGTCTACCCCAGTGTAGCAACGACACCAACGTTTTAGGAATGGCACTGAACTCTGGCACAATCCGCTGAAGACGCGAGCTTGGTCGTTCTACCACTGAAGCCCCTGTGCCTGGACTCTAAACGTTTCACCGCTCTACCAGTTATAACGGAGCACTTCGGGCAGGCATTTGTTTTGACGGGTAAAGTTTGCCCAGGCAGTGGACATCTCGTTCAACGATTTCGTCATAAGTGTATCTACCTTCAAGCATTCATTCAATCCATGTAAGCTTCCACTCGCTGGATATAGGTCCGCACCAATGGTGTGTGCAACCTGGTTCCTGAAGATGAACTCGGTTATTACGATCATTCTCAACTTTCACCGTACCATGATATCAATCAGCTACTTGTCGCAACGTACTTTACAAGTTACGATACATCAAATGTTGTATGGTCGCAAGAAAGAAAAAACATATTTTAGCTTATCACCGGTCAACGCAAACTCGAAGTGTCCATCATCCTTCGTAACGGCGTATACGCAATGGCACATCACTACCCTGTTCTCCAGCTATCCTAGGCCTCAGCAACACTCCCATTACAAGCTCCACTCTTGTATCGGGTCCGTCTCTCATCTCAAACACGAAGTTCTTCGCCAGCACTGACAATACCACCTTGGAAGAGGGTAATTAATAATCTGATCGTCCGAACGCAAGAAAGAGGGCGCACTTTGAACTCGGTCAGCGCAAATCCTTTGCCAATGCAGGTCCTTGGGCCGTCCACAAATGTCAGTAGATGTCGGTATGCCTGAATATCTTGTGCCTTCTTTGGAATGCCATTTTCCTCCAGCCAGCGTTCTGGTCGGAACACCTTTGCGTCTGATCCCCATATTTCGGTAGATTTGTTGATAGAGGCGATAGGTATTCCAATATGAGTGCCACTTGCTACAGTGAGGCTATTGACGACTTCGCCAGACTTAGTTACAACAGGCTCTGAGAGAGGGATAATATCATTCTCCACCGCCTGAAAAGTTGACCTCAGGTTAAGTGGGGGAACACGATTTCGCTTGTCGCTCGACACACCACACGAAGAAGGTCCGTCACAGGAGGATGGACTCGCAGGATCTCGTGTACCACAGCATCGAGATACGGTAAGTTGCTTTGTAGCTGGTTGTATGTCGGTTCTCCACCAAATGCTAAGAGTTCCTGGCGCAGTTTGTTTTGTACGCCAGGGTTCCTCGCAAGTTCAAGCAAAGCCCATGTCATGGAAACTGTAAATTACATGCAACCTGGAGTGAGATATGAAATAAAGAACAACTTACTAGATGTCGTTTCATACCCGGCCGCAAGGAGGATCTTCATCTATAAGGAAGGCGAATGAGTAAGTACGCTATGTGGTAAGGGTTCCGTTTTCTTACTTGCGCCAGGACTTCCTCTGGAGACGATCGAATATCAGAGTCCGAGTCGTTGGCCTTCACTTTATGTGCAGTTTTCTTAAGGGCAACCTCACATAACGATACAGGAACGCACTCAGCATTCCGATGATTGACTTCTCTTCTTTGCCATCAAGAACTCCTTCTTCTTTCTCCCTCATTATCCTTGCTAGCAACTTCGTCGAGATATCTTCCATAGTTTCTTGCATCCCACGGAGCAGTTTGATCCTCGGTGTCGGCAAATACATAAGCCAAGGGAACACTACCGAGAGAAGGATGAATCCCATATCCACGGCCGATCCCTTCGGGGCTGATGCAATCGTATCAAATACCTCAGTCACTGTAGCTGGCTTGCCATCAAGGGTGCCGAAATCGTGAGAGAAACATGCCAGTCCGATGGAATCAAGCCTGCAACAATCGGAGATCAGCGCAGGTGGATTCAACAGACGTAACTCACGAAATACGGTTCATCCTTGGCCAAGAGTTTTTCAGTTTTTCGTTCTCGCAGAAGAAACGGTCTAGCATACCAGTTCTGGACTTTGATGACAATGTTATCGCTGCCACTGGCATCAATCATGGTGTCCCATGCAGCTTTCGCCTGCAACGTCAAAATTAATTTCGGAGAAAATGAGGAGTAGGAAGGTTACTTTGTGGGTGGAATTAAAGAATATGGGGGTGAGCTTCCGTATGGCAGCTTGGCTGAACGCAGGTGTCAAGGATTTGCGTTGCCTGAAGGAAAAATCTCAACGATAACTTTCATTTATGAGATACCCGTGCCTGCCTCTTGTAGTCTTCGCCTTGTGCCCACAAAATTCCTGGTCCGAACTAAATGTGTAATGAGAAGTCTCCGATTGAAGTCACATAGGTGGACCTACAGTGCGTCTAAGGATAAGCCTGGTATCTTCTGTGAGTACATATGTCCATGTTTCCCGAGAATAGTAGTGTGCGAGTGCTTTTGGGTCAGATAACATGATCTTCCTCCCGCCAAGGGTAGTCGGGACTTCATAAACTACACCAAATTCCCTGGCCCATGTTTCGAATAAAGCACTAGGATCTGGTGATTGGATGATTTGTTTCATTGCGCCAAATATGAGGTTGGCTCTAGGTGGTCCGCGAAGCCTAGTGGTGATGAAGGTCCCTCGAGCAACTCGTAAGGCACCACGAAGTGCCCAGATGACAGCAATGATAGCCGCGACGTCGATCAAAGTGACTAAGCGACCCAGAGTGTTGCGGACAGTTAGGAACATAGAATACAGGTCGGGGCCCATGATTGTGTCGGGAAACGATTAAGAAGGAGTGATAAGGGAGTGGTTAACTGCGGATGAATGGGTTGTGATAAATGCGGAGGAGTGAATGGAGTCACCGCCTTCAAGTCACGAGTTTGTTCCGGCAGATTAATCGATGACCGATGCAAGATGACTGGCTAGCTCGTCGGAACCATTACTGAACCGAGAAACCCCTGAAATGGCCCTAGCTTGTATAGAGCAGTGTCAGTGTACGGTTTCATTGCCAAATGGATCAGACCGTGTACCCTAGGTATCATGCAGAAGCAGGTTTGCGGACGAGTTGTGTGGAGAGCGTAGTAGACTGCTAAGGATTCCTGGTCCTGAATACATGATGTTTTGCGGGCCCAGCATCGAGTCTCAGGCCGAGCCCAGATCACTGGCCTAAAGAGTGTTAGCTTCCCTCTCACAAAACCAAGGAGTCTGTGCAACCGCTGCTGCACGACCGCGGAAAAGTATGGCTATTTTGCCTACTACGTCAATCATAGCTTCCCATGCGGATTTCGTCTGAAACATCGTTCTTGGTATCGAAGATTGCGGTGAGAAATGGGTTCAACCTCGTGAGCGCACCTGTTAACGACAGGCGCGAAGTTCGTCATGGCACTGCAGGCGTCGAGTAACTTCCCTCTCCAAGTTGCGTGTGCCTACCTTTTGTGGTCTTCGCCTTCTCACTACAGGACCTCCCATCCAAACTGGACAGCGAAATGTGAGACGAGACATATTGCGTTTACGTTGTGTTCACGGAACAACCTAGTCGAATCAGTGAATAACACCTCCACGATTCCTGGAAAAGTAGTTTGAAAGTCTGCAAGTGCCTTCGGACTATATGGTATAATCCTCCTCTCGCCAAGGGTAGGTAAGACAACGAATGCTGCATCATATTCCTTGATGCGTACTTTGTATAATGCTCCAGCATCTGGTGGTTGTGCGAATAGGCGTATTAAACATGAAGTCGGTTCTGGGCGGTCCATGAAGCTTGAAGCCTAGTGGTCTTGGTTCTTGAAGGACTCTCGAACATCGGAAGCCGTCACGAAGTGCCCAAATCGCAGAACCACTATTGAACATCGAGCAGAGTGGCGAATGCCAGCGGGTGGTCATGGATAGTTTCGAGTAAAGAAGGTTAAATCAAGGATACTGTAAATAGTACAAGAACAATTCGACGACTGCCATGGGTCACTAGTCACCCGGAGTTCCCTGCCTGTGGAGTTCCGCAAATCAACGGACCTCCGCCACGAGTCCGACATTTGAATGTGCGAAGAACGATGAGATTAAGAGGGATAGTGCAAGCCGAATGATTAACATCACTTGAGATGAGATTGCCTGCCCGGAAGTCAATCCATGCTCCACTTGTTACGTTTACCGTATCACGCCTGGATCCCCATAAGCTGAAGAATGTGTTCAGTACTGCCCCTCTTAGGCGAAAAATGGCCCGGCGTAGCGAACAGCTCTGAGCATAGATTCCCTTGAAACGACTGGCCACGCCTTAAGGCTTGAAGCTTGACTATTACTGTTCAACGAAGTTGCACTTGGTTCAAGTCCTGCAGCCTGCCAGCGCTTCCCTAGGCAAACCAAAATTTTCGGAGAGGACAAGGAAATCCTTTTTATATGCCCGTGCCATTCGAGTTATGTAGCGCCATAACACTCGGGCCCCGAGTACTTGCTTGCGATGTGAGGATATCCGGGTCTGATACTGGAATGTCCCCTGCTTCGCGTAGGATGATCGAGGGGCATTTGGCGCTTGCCATGATGCGTGGGCACCCAGCCCTTCGTCATATCGAAATCATTTTGAGATGGTCATCTACAGTTGTGGAACTAACTCAAGGCCTGCCTAGATTCACAGATGTAAGTACTCGACCAATTCCAAGTCTCAGGGCTAGGTCGTGGCATACAGGAAGATGCCACGGCATTGGCGCTCATGGTAACCTGTGCAACATGCAGTGTGAAGTATTATTACCTTGTTGTTGGCATCTTTCCCCTGACCTTGTCCTTCTGTCGTCCTATACTGCCCCCTCTACCTTCCCTGTCCCCATAATCTACCAGGTTTCGTGTCTTTTTCGCTCAGCGCCGACAAGAAAGATTGAACAGCTCTCACGCGAAGCCAAAAATTCCCGTCATATGATTCACATCTAGTGCGCAAGCTGATAGGCCATTTTGTCTTCAAGTGCTCGCCTAATCCGAACGCTTTTGTCGACTCATCTCCCTTGGCTCTACGTAGTCCAGAGGAATGGCTGCAAGCATCCAAACCACACGAACTGTGGCTTCGGAGCGTTCTATTGCACCTGCACACGCAGATTCACGACAAAGCTTAGCGCTTGACGGAACCCTGGGATCACCGTCCTCCCCCAGCATCATATCTGGCCAGGGACCGCCTCCTTCCCAACAGTACCAACAGGAAACCAACGAAGTGGGGGAGTCCATGTCCACATCTGATAATGCGACCCACTCCACCGGAAATTCACCTGGTGGGACTAGATTGCGAAGCTTGTTCAACACCACTACGCACTCTCGGTCAACTAGTTCGGTAAACTCACAGCAGTCGAGGTTTGCCGTTTTTCTCTTTTCCCGCGGGCTTACTAAACATGCATAGTCATTCGGTGCGTTCCGCGGAGATAGCCCATTGGACCAATAGCTTCGTGCACTACACCCCTGTCCCTCCACCTCGACAGAAACCACCACCGATCATATATCAACCGTATGTTATGCTTACCCTTCTATCACAATTAAGGCATTGTCTGATAATTTGGTGTTCATCAAGGATCGGTCCTGAGCCGCCACTCATACCTCCGTTGACACTGGTACGAGTTTTCACTAGTGACAACATCCGCGTATCACTGTTCAAATGTAACAGGGACCATCCATCTCAGATGGTCTCCTTCCTGAGGAGTCGTTAGTATTCCAACCACTCCCGGATATCCCGGAATTGGTAGGTTTAGTTAGGTTGCCGAGGTCCCGGGTTAATTATTATGTGTAGCCTGTTCTCGGATTCCCATGGATGGTGAATGTGGCCGACAGACTGGAAGGGGTTGATACGCAGCTAGGGTCGTTTGAGGGTGCATATAGTTCCCCTTCCACTATACATGTGAGTTTAACACTTTTCCATGACGATGACTTTTCAGTATTGAGGTATAGGAACATGCCGATGTGCTGGATGATGAGTTTCGCTCATCGACAAGTACTTCCAGTGATACCGACGATCCACAGACGGATAACCCTCCGGAAAGCATCATGTCTCCTATGGACGTAAGCCGTAAATCTGACAACTTTTTGTGGTTATTCATATAACTTTGAGTATCCAGCTACCTGCTACTGGCCGGCTGCCATCGGAGCGCATCTTGGAAATGGGCGATGGACCAATGCCAACCAATGAACAATCCCCTGAGGACGCAAGTTCTATGGAGCTTATGTTATATTCTGAGACTTATGTCAACATATTAGCCTCCTGCAATGCTGGCCAGTTCAACTGTCAAACCCCACAGTATACCTCAGAGACATAAGAAGCCTGCGACTTTACGCGATTGGATCAACAAGACCAAACCAGGAGAGTTGTTTGTGGGTGCTTGGGCTGATCTGGTGATATATCTAATATCTCTTCGTGGCTCATTACTGGTCTAATCCTGATCTTTGAAGCCTGTGGTTCCAGGGACTCCTCGGCCCCCTTGGGCAGGAATCCAACATAGTGATATCGTTCCTGATCCATGTGACCACGAATCGTTTATAACTACAAGCGAGTACGGCGGTGGTTTTGTATGTTGCAGGTGCCGGAACGGTTCGTAAATATTGTTATTGTTGTCTTCGTTCTTATAGCAGCCTTCATTGTGACAACCTGAGACTGGTACTTTTGTTTGGGTGTAGACTAGTTTCGATACTTAAACGTCCCGCCGGCAGGGGCAAGACGTCGTGTATTAAATATTTGTAGTATCATCGTTATATTCATGTGAGTACGCCGCCTTCCTGCTTCTCGCAACACAAAATGCAATAGTCAGCAAGTGGCCCTGTAAACCAGGGCCCAAGGAGCCACTTCAGCAGTATTTGACATTCATATCTTCTCCCGAGGGAATTCGCCAAGTTTCCTTTCCACTCGGTGGGACCCAGGCTACCACTGCGCAGGGTGCATGTTCATCTCGCCTCCCGCTCCTCGGAGACTTTGTAACAAGGTCTGTGAGCTCCGCGCCACGCAAAGGAAAGGTGAGCCATACACATGCACGATCGTTATGCAGAAAATGAACCACCGCTGCGAGCTAAAGGATGAGACTGAACAACGACCGAACAACTGCAGTATCACATCAGAACTCAACTAAATGGCGGCAGTTCTGTTTTGGACAAGTCCGCCACCCATTCGGTGAAGCCTGCAGGTTCTTATCACTGAGAAAGTACCCTCTGGCAGCGAAGGGAGGCCTTAGAACTTTCAAGGTGAAAATGTGGGACATCTGGTAATCATCGTGGGACTGCATGTCTAGGAGGCGGGCTGGAGCGGAAGGTCGCCAAGCGCGAGCATTGATTTGTCGGTACGTAGCCTGGCATGGAGCAGACGAAAATGGGAGCTTCTCGGGGCACCGCTCAGGGACATTTGGGACCCAAGGCGCGATTGAAAGCAGGTCTTTTCGAACCATCACTCGGAAGCGAGGAGATGCGCCTTATGGCCATACGAAAGTTAACAAGAGTCCTCAGACGTAGAAAGGGAAATTATTCTAAAATCCGGGCATCTTGAAAGCCCGTTCCCAGTGAGTAGCGCGAAGCATCAGGAGCAGCAGTAATTCCATGACTTGTGTAAGCCCGACGCTAGTAGCGTGCGGGGTCTCGATGACAATGTCAACACATTAACTCAACTGCAGACAACAAAAGGCCGTGGTTTCGGTTGTTACTAGAGTTTCATGCGGGCGAGTAACAGTTCTGCCACTTCATCGGACCTTATTCCTATAAATGTTAGTAGGCGCGACCTGTGACAAGCTCAAGTGTTCAAGAGCACAGGGTCATCAAACTACATACAAGCCTAATGCTTGAAGGTCTTGCAATATATCTGGTTATCTTTTCGCCGAAATTGCGCATTGTATGTCGAGTAACAGTGAGCTTGTCTTAGGAACGCATTTTAGGCTGCTAAGGGGTTGCAAGGGCCACTTACAGTCCGAAAAAAATGTGTCGCAATATCCGCTTGTAGTAAACGCATAGTGCTAGAAGTACCATGTCAGGATTCATACGAGCAAGTTCACGTTCCAGCAGTCGGAGCCACAGAAATTCCTATCGCACACTCCGACTGTCACGTGCTGATGCACGAATTGGCATCACGTATCACGTCGATCGATAGAGCAGCCAAGGTATGTGTTCGATGTTCAGACACTATTCAACTGCTGCTGAAGCGACCGCGATCCAAGCTTGACCATGGATGAATTTGCTGAGGCACGCGCAGCGCTGGTCACTTTGGAGAAACGAAAACAGGGACTCATCGCGGAGCTCAATGATGTCCACGCTGCCATTCGTTCGCAGAGGAACAAACTCGAGGAACTTATCAGGCGGTTGCCTGTTTCCCCTATCAATCGCCTCCCCGACGAGATTCTTTTGCGAATTTTCGAGTTAATCTTAATCTTTGGAACCGCACGTACGGAGGACAAGAATTGTTGCGTGCGTTGGAAAGGACAGCTGGTAGAAGTGTCTCGGCAGTGGAGAAATGTGATCTTGCATTCGCCATGTCTGTGGACTACCATCAGAGTGTCCCCGTCGTGGAACACAGCGCGCATCGAGGCCCACATCATGCGGAGCTCTAAATCACCGCTGGACATCGAAATCTCTCCTTGGAGAAATTCTTACGTGCTCAAAGACCGACCGCTTCTACGACGGCTCGAACTCGTTGTTCCTTGTGCAGAACGCTGGCGCAGCCTCACTATATCCTCGGTTGTATCATCCTCAACGTTCCGGGTCTTGCAAAGATTGGATCATTTGTCCCTGCCTTCGTTAACATCCGTTTGGATCGAACGTTTCCCTTGTTGCGAACCAGGAAAGTTTGATCTCCCATTCCTTCAGCCCCAGCGCACTCCCCTTATAGAAAAAATATTCATTTCTGGGGACATTGGAATGCTAAAGGGCCGCGAGATACCTTCTAGCGTGAAGACGCTGGCCGTGGAATCGACCTCTCTGCGTTGGAAAATCACCTCTGCGCTACTTCTTGAATTCGTGCCCTGTCAGAGACTGACCTCTCTGTGTCTTGGTAATTTCACCAATTCCGAGGAATTGCCTCCCAATAGTATCCAACTCCCTCTGCTCGAAAAGTTTGTATCCAGAGGTGGAGTCTCAGCCGCGCTGATATGCGCCATCGTGGCGCCTAGACTCAAACACTTTGAATGTCACGAGCTCAGCGCATATCCGTCTCTACATGACCGTTTCGTGGCCGTTGGTGGCAAATTTAGCAACGTTGACCATCTGGAGTTGCATGCCGGGTCTCAACGGTCTCAACGATATAAACCCCCATCACAGTCCCTACGTTTGGCATTTCCTGGTGTGCGTCACTTGGTACTCTCAAGAGTGGACGCAATTGCAATTCTTCCTTCTGCAGAGGACCCAGGCACGGTTTTCCACTGGCAACACCTTGAAAGCCTAACTAGCATCGGATATCCGGAGGAGGAGGTGGAGGAGAAGGAGAAGAAGGCCTTTATCGATAATTTGGCCAACTGCCTTAGGCGGCGACAAGAAGCCGGTCAATCAAAGCTCCGATTAACCTTTCCAATGCCCTTTTCAGTCGAAAGATTTTTATTCGTGTATGAGCAGCTCAATGATTTGTGTATTTTGGAATGCGCGTATAACACCCACGATATCACTCTCTCCGGGGTGACCAGTAGCAAGCCGTGGTTGGTGCGTACCTCATCCATGTATACTTGTTGAGCGTGCCGATGCTGAACATTCCCTCCCCAATAGGATGTGTCATTCAGCCAACCTTACATTTTGGATGCCCTCCGGGACGCCGTGATGGCGGGATGCATTCGAACAAACGGAAGGGGTTGATTGTGGTGGCACCGCTATATGTTGCTCGTGTCTCGTAGAACAGTTGCGCCTTGTACAGCTTTTTGTTGAACACGGATCTAATCTCGATAATTACATGAGCGGCATGAGAGCATTACAATTCTACAAACACAATTGAAGAGGCAACGCTCGGTCCACATTCTGCAATTCTCAAGAATGGGATCATCCACCTCTTACATGTTGTAAATGAACTTCCCGTATATGACGCGCAAGGTTATGTCGTCGGATGTCGTTTCCGGAACCTTGCCATCCACACTGTAACACTGCATCCCGAGACAACAGACAATTCCGTGCGTGGACATGAGGTGTCCAGGAGCAGTGTTGCATGTGATGGACACTGAACACGGACTGTCGTCTGAAACCATTTAGAGACAGTGAGTTGCTGGACAATTAGTGTACATCCTGCTGTATCGTTAACTGAACCAACGGAATAACGCATGAAACAAAAACAACACACTACTACTGAGGAGACGTCATTCTTTCACCGTTCGAACGTGAGCGAAGCAATTTCAACCACAGGGAGTGGTCATAGGGGAGAAATCCCGAGACGAGGGTGTATGAAACGTGGAACAGAACGTGTGTGGAGAACGACGAGGCAAGTAAATAGCCTGCGCGCAGGACGATAGACCAAGAAGAGCGAGAGAATGAACAGCCACAGAAGCACTCAATACCTATATATTGGTCAAGCACAGGAACTACAGCAGCAACCAAAGGCTCTACCCCGAGTTATGACTGCCATTGGAATACAGCTTGCCAAATGGACCATCAGCCGCAACCTCACTTGCTATCCTGTGTTGAGACACCCATATCTTCACTAAGGGAAATTGGCCAAGTTTTTGTCCCACTAGGTAGAGTCCGAGCTCGACTGTGCAGGGGTGTACATTCATCCCGTCTCGTGCTGCTCTAAAGAGTTTGTAGCAAAGCCCGTGAATCCTACGCCATGCAAAGTGAAGGTAAGTCAGACACTTAGACGGTCATCAATGAGTCATTACTATGGATCAGAGCATGACATTGTTCAACGACCATATAAATATGATCTCACGCCGGAACTTGATGAAGTGGCAGCAGTTCCGCTCTGGACAAGTTCGCTACCCGTTTGGTGAGATTGTAACATACCAACCGAGCTGGCATCTTTTTGTCACTGAAGAGGGTACCCTTCCAGAAACAAAGGGAGGTTTGTGAAGTGAGATTATAGAAAAATTGGTAGCAAATGGTGAGACCGAATGTCTAGGAGGCTGGCTGAAGTGGAAGGCCGCCAAGGGAATCCACAGTGCAGTGTTGGTTGTCAGTGCGCAGCTTTGGGGCGTTTGAAGCCGACGGCGGGCATTGAAAAGCAAGTCCTTTTGGACCATTTCTCAGATGTCGGGGAACGCACCTTGTGGCTAGACAAAAGTCAACCCAAGTTGAGAAGAATCCTAAGACGCAGCAAGAGAACTCTCCAAAATCACAGCATTAGACAAGATTAGCGAGGAGCACCAACATAAATCATCAAATTTCCGGACGAAGAATCCATTATATTCTTCGTGCAAGTGTCTCTAGCTCGGCTGAGAGTGGATTTAATTCACGCTTACAGTGAAGCGATTACCAGCAAATCCTGATTATAAAACCCTCCAAGATGATTGTTTGACCCGTGTGCAGAGTAGCGAAGGCATCGATTTCATGACTTGCATAAACCATCTCGTTGATCCAGGTGACAACGCTAGTAGCGTGCGAGGCCTCGGTGAGAATGTCAGCACAGCAAATCGAATGCAAAGAACAAACGAGCATGGTTTTAATAGTCATTAGTCACTAGTGGTGTTACATGCGGGCAAATAGCAGTCCTTCCTGCGCTTCATCGGACTTTGTCCCTAAAAGTGTTAGTGGGTGCGACCTGTTACAAGTTCAAGTGTCCAAGAGCACAGAGTCACCAAACTACCAGCCTACTTGAAGGTCCTGCTACGTAGAGGGCAGTGGTTTCCCTTTCACCGCCATTGCGCATTGTGCATTGTGCAGCAGTGAACTTCTTTTAAGACCGCATTTGAGGCTACCAGATTTTAGGTTGCCGAGGGCTGCAAGGGCCACTGACAGTACTTCCTATAAAGTGTGTCGCAGTATACACTTAGAGTAAACGCCTTGTGCTAGAAGTAATGACTCACGCTCGAAACATACCAAGAGTTTCATTTCGAAGCAGTCGGAAGGATGTCCTCATTCCTGTTGCGTTCGCAAATGGTGTCCAGTACAGTGAGCTCCCACAAGTTACAGTGGTGAGAGCGCGCTCGAAGTGCCAACCCCGCTTCTTCTGCTTACAGATTACCATACAGTGTTGAGAGGACAAGTATCACTGCCGGGGTTGGCAACACCAGTGCTATTTACATCAACACCCACTTCATTCATCAATACAGCAGCTGAGGTACGTGTCCAATGCCTAGACACTATTCAACTGCTGCTGAAGCGATCGCGATCCAAGCTTGACCATGGATGAATTTGCTGGGGCACGCGCAGCGCTGGTCACTTTGGAGAAACGAAAACAAGGACTCATCGCGGAGCTCAATGATGTCCACGCTGCCATTCGCTCGCAGAGGAACAAAGTCGAGGAACTCATCAGACGGTTGCCCATTTCTCCTATCAATCGCCTCCCTGATGAGATCCTTTTGCGAATTTTCGAGTTAATCCTTGGAGCCGCACGTACGGAGGACAAGAATTGTTGCGTGCGGTGGAAAGGACAGCTGGCAGAGGTGTCTCGGCGGTGGAGAAATGTGATCTTGCATTCGCCATGTCTGTGGACTACTATCACAGTGTCCTCGTCGCGGAGCACAGCGCTCATCGAGACCTACATCATGCGGAGCTCTGAATCACCGCTGGACATCGAAATCCATCATAATGGAATTCTTTTCGCTTTTGAGGACAAACCGCTCGTACAACGGCTCGAACTCGTTGTTACTTGCGCAGAACGCTGGCGCAGCCTCACTATATTCTTGGATGCACACTCAACATTCCGGGTCTTGCAAAGATTGGGCCATTTGTCCCTTCCTTCGTTGACGTCCGTTTGCATCAGGAATTTCCCCTGCTGCGAACCAGAAAAGTTGGATCCCCCATTCCTTCGGTCCCAATGCGCTCCCCGTATGGAAAAAATATTCATTTCTGGAGACATTGGAATGCTGAAGGGCCGCGAGATACCTTCTAGCGTGAAGACGCTGGCCGTAGAATTAGACTTCTTTTCGCGTAGCGGAATCAACTCTGCGCTACTTCTTGAATCCATGCCCTGTCAGAGATTGACCTCTCTGTGTCTTGATGGTCGCATCAATTTCGGGGAATTGTCTCCCAATAGTATTCAACTCCCTCTGCTAGAAAAGTTTGTGTCCAAACTTGGTGGAGTTTCAGCCGCGCTGATACGTGCCATCGTGGCACCTAGACTCAAACACTTTGAAGGTCACGCATTCAGCGCAAATCAGTCTCTGCATGACACTTTCGTGGTCGTTAGTGGCAAGTTTAGCAGCGTTGACCATTTTACGTTGTACGAGTCTCAAAGACATGAAACCGTATCGAAGTCCTTGTGTTTGGCATTTCCTGGTGTGCGTCATTTGGTACTCCCGAAAGAGGACATAATCGCGGTCCTCCGCTCTGCAGAGGGACCGGGCACGGCTTTCCACTGGCAACACCTTGAAAGCCTAACTAGCATCGGACATCTGGAGAAGGAGTTTGAGGCCTTTATCAATGATTTGGCCAACTGCCTTAGGCGGCGACAAGAAGCGGGTCTATCAAAGTTCCGATTAAACTTATCAACACCCTTTTCAGTTGAGAAACTTTTGTTCGTGTATGAGCAGCTCAACGATGTATGTATTTTGGAATGCGCGTATAACACCCACGATACCACTCTCCCCGGGATGACCAGTGGTAAACTGTGGTTGGTGCGTACTTCATCCACGTATACTTATTAAGTGTGCCGATGCTGAACATTCATCAGGAAAATAACACTTTACTATTTTTGACTTTTTGTGACTAATGTGACTTTTTGGGAAGGAATCTACTATCATTACCCATGTCCTGCAGGCATGGCTGCACTGTTCTTGCTTATTTTGGTCTTGTTCATACCACCTAGTTCATAGCTATCAGTAGATACCACATACATTCAAATTGATGGAGGTTCCAAAGAGATATTGTGATTTTTCTCTCAGACAGTGTGCATCACACCAATGGCTCAATATCTCTGAATTTTCAGACATTTTCTAGTCTTCTTGGCTTAGATATATCATCACTTAGTTGTCTCAATAGATTCTGTTCTCTTTTCATTCTTCAAAATGCTGTATATGGTCAAAAAAAAAGTACAGATAGTAGGTTCCTTCCCAAAAAGTCACAAATAGTCACAATAGTCACAAAAAAGTCAAAAAAAGTCACAAAAAGGTCAAAAATAGTAAAGTGTTAATTTCCTGATGAGTTCCCTCCCCAATAGGACGTGCCATTAAACCGATCTTACATTTTGGATGCCCTCCGGGGCGCCGTGATGGCGGGACGCATTCGAACAAATGGAAGGGGTTGGTTGTGGTAGCACTGCTATATGTCTCTCATATCTCACCCCCGCTGTAACGAGCTCCCTCGTAGAACAGCTGTGCCTTGTAGATCAAAATCTCGACGATTACATAAGCGACATGGGAGCAATATACTTCTACAAACACAACTCAAGAGACAACGCTCGGTACACACTCTGCAATTCTCAAGAATGGGTACCATCTCTTGGATGTTGTAAATGAACCTCCCGTATATGACGCACGAGGTTATGTCGTCGGATGGCACTTCCGCAATCTTGCCATCCACATTGCAACACCGCATCCCGAGACAAAAGCCCGATCCCATGCGCAGACATTAAGTGTCCAGGTACAACGTTGCACGTGATGGGCTCTGAACATGGACTATCATCTGAAACCATATAGAGACAGGGAGTTACTGGACAATTAGTGGACATATTGCTGTACCGTCAAGTGAACCAGCGGAAATAACGTATAAAACAAAAATGACCCACTACTGCTGAGGAGACGACACTTCTTCATTATTCGAACGTGAGCAGAGCAATTTCAACCACAGGGTTCGGTAAACTCACAAGTGAGAAACCTCCGGGCGAGTGAGGACCGAGCGTGCAACAGAGCGTACGTGGAGAACAGCGAGGCAAGTAAATGGCCTGGGTGCAAGGTGAGAGACCAGGAAGAACGAGATAACGAACAACCGCAAAAACCCTCAATACCTATATATTGGTCAAGCACAGGAACTACAGCAGTAACCAAAAGCGCTACCCGAGCTATGACTATCACTGGAATACAGCCTGCCAAAGGACCGTCAGCCGCAGCTCCACTTGCCGTCCTGTGTTGGTTCTTTCTGACTATCAAGGAAGACAAATAGGATGATAGACCCACTAGTTCCCTCTTCTTCTGACTCATCTTCATCGTGTCCATACTGAGGGAAGACCGCAAAACACTTAGGGTGTACTCTTGATTGTTCATCAGCCTTTTGCACGCCGCAGCTGCATGGGCGTGTTACGCCCTGCTCCAGTCGATGAAGTCACTGCTCGTTTTGCAAAAGCCATGGCGAGAACCGGCCCAACCACCTATGTCTTAGTCACTTGCAACGGTCGGCGAACCCGTTTAGGACACCCCCCCCCCTTCGGGAGTATTGCTTCTTTGACGTGCATTCTACGAGTGGAGAGATTGCACGGAGTCGGAATAGACCAACATTATCTCGACTGAAAAGAATGCAACCCAGTCAATTTCTCCTCTCTGCGTCTAGAAGATAGCCCAATCAGATCATAGGCTTTGAGATGGGGTACGGTTGAAGATTGATGGTCGGAGGCACGAAGACACCCCATAATTCAGGTCGGGGGTTTTTATGCAGACGAGGAGTTCCCTTTCGGGTGCTGCCAAATTATTGCATCTAAGATTGACAGCTTACCGGAGAAAGGGTCGTTCCGTCGGCTCGTGTCGTCATCGTACCGATCGCTACGCTGCTCAGTCAACTGGAACTATGTCTGCCTGGCCAGCGAGAGTTCAGAGTCCCAATCAATGGTTAGGCACCTAAGGAGACTCCGACATGCAGTGGAATTAGGTGTGTTCTTTTTACCTTTCCTTGCCTTCGGCTCGCTCATGTGTTACGCTATTGTTCGTCGTTGAGATTGCATGATCACAGTACATAGTCAGAACCTGTAAACTTTGTGTCTTAGAATTACATCACCGAGGACATGTCCCGTGTTAGCCATAGCTCGTAAAAACTACAATATTGAAAAACAGCACATTACAACGCCTTCAATAAGGATCAACGGTACCATCGATGAGATAAAGCACTCCATTCATCGCCTATGAATCCCGTCAGACCAAACCATGATATCAATATCTGAAGCGGGAACCAACCTCTTTCACACTGATGATCTTAGACCCATCTTCGAGCGTGACCCGTGACCAGTTTGGGGAGCCCTGCCCAGTCTTCGAGGTTGGGATGAAAGTAACAGATTTGCCCTCGAGTAAAGTGTCATATGTCACGGGGACACTCGAGAGAGAGATGTGAGACTGACGGTTGGTTAGCTCTACGGCCGCAAGCACAGAACTACACACGGAATCTTACGGGGATGATATGTGCTGAGACCCAACGGTAAACATTACGCTTCGATTGTTCGTCGAATTGTTGCTCAGAAAGCTCAATGATGGGTACAGTGGAAGGCGGCCCTTGATGTCTACAGCGATACCATGACTTCTGAGTACACCGAGTTTGTCCATTGCCAAAATGAAATCCTACTTACGGTTTCCTGGCCAGTGCCATAACAGCCCTGTTCGTCGGCACCAACAGTGTGAGGTACTGATCTCCAGTGTCGAAATCCAGCGACAGTTCGGTCTCCCTGGCGTACGAATAGTAAATGCTGGCTGATGGCTCTATGGTGAGCAGGTCGGCCAGCGTCGGTTGTGGGCGAGTCATGGGAGTGTAATCCTCATCCAACCCGCTTTGCTGGCTCTGCATATTTGGTGGAGACGAGAGTATGGACTGTTCGTCCAAAGAGGCGGAAGCAAGGAAGGGTAGTGCGAAGACGAACAAGTGAGATAGTTGCATCGTTGCTCATTGAATTACAGGCCAAGCTCCAAACACTACTGGTACCAGGGCCGCGGAATTGGAAATCGGCAATCGGGTAAATCCAACTGGTACGTAGAATGGAGACTACGAAACCAACACATCATCATCATCTACAGTCGAGAAACCCTATCTCCTTCTCCTTCTCCTTCTCTGCCGCTCTGCGGTCCAGCTTCTCCGGAATCGTCCATACTACGGACTGGGGGTGCGCCTTCTCCACCAGATTCAAGGGAGTCAGCGGTAAACATGGCTTCTTCTTCCTCCCTGGAGGTCCAGTGATGCGAGGCAGAATTTACATCTCGACGCCGCCTACTCTGCCACAAATCCCGATACAACAGTGACTTGAAGAATTCATAGGATACGTCAAGAATTTCGTGCGCATGCTGGAGCGTGAACTTGGGCAGGAGTTGAGGGCCGCGCAAACGGAGCACGAAGTAGTTGTATAGTGTGCTGGCGACCATGTACAACATGAAGAGGATCATGGCACTGCAGTATTCAGACGTTCAGTCGTCGTAAACAGAGTATTTCTTGGGACATACGTGATAATACACGAGACGAATAGTCCGGATAGGACGCCTCGCTCCCCTGTCGGGCAAGCAAACTAGAAAGATTTGGACGTGATCCCTGAAGAAGTTGCCGGATTCTACTCACGTGTGTCCTCCATTCGAGCTCGTAGTGACAAGCATCTTCGGAATTGGGAGGGAATGTATCAATAACGACAGGGTTACCTATAATACCACATCAGTCCCGGGTGCATCGAAGTGAGCAACGTGATCATCGTACCTGCCGCGAATACAGACGTATCACATATGAAACGGATTGAAGAGCTTCCACGGACGTTATCCATATCCTTGCAAGGCGATCCATTGGATTGTCGAAGCATCAAGCCTCCCTCTACCATCTCCAGGGTTGTATTCACGATCCTTGGACAAGACTACTTCACACTAGCAGTGCATGCGATTTCCGAATGACTCACCCGATGGCAAAGTCTCCATGGTCTCGCCGTATCAGTCCAGCGATATCCCCCTCGTCCTCAGAAACACCGGTATTCCATGGGTCGGTGGCCACACCTTTACAGACATTAAGGTAGATTTTCCGTCCGGCATCTATCTCGAACTGGTAGTCTTTACTGTGATGCACTTGGGTGTGCGGTGCATCTAACAGGCGACGGCATGGCGCACCTTGACTTGAGAGGGGTGAGGTCGTAGTATTTACCCCCAGAGTGAAGTGTACATGGCTTTTCATCAGCGTAGGCAAAGACGGAAAAGGTAAAGATTGTTGCCAGCAGCAAGTGGCCTAGTTTCCACACACATCGGGTTGTCATTTGACCCAGAGCAACCTTGTCTGGCACTGCGCAGTTCCAGGGTCCACTGAGTGGGCGTGAACTTGCGCTTTGCTGGCATTGCCTTTTCAGGCCGTTCCCACGCACGACGGTCACGCTCTCCACAGAGTCAGTTTATTTGCAATGTCCTTTCGGACGATGTCTTCGAGTACTGGTAGTCTGGACTCCGAGACATAGTTCGAAATGACTTGCTTTCAATGCACGCCTTGGCTCTTGGCTCACCGAACGGGTGGCGAACAGAACAGACCACAGTCGGACGGTCTCATCTTTTGGTTCGTGGAAATGACTCTCTGTTTAGATAACGACCGTATTTTTGTCTGGTTCACCTTCACTTTGCGTCGCACGGAATCCTCAGATTTTGTGTCAGTGTAGTAGAGCAAGACAGGACAATCTTTGGAGAAGAAACGGGTATCAAATACTGCTAAAGTAGTTCCCCGAAGCCTACTTTATAGGGCCATTTGCTGAATATTGCATTTCGTGTTGCAAGAAGCGGGAAGGTGGCGCATTCACGATGAATATTTTGAATGATGATGATACTACAGATACTTAATACACGACGGCTTGCCCTTGCCGATGGTAGTGATGTACTTCATAAAAAATCCCTCAGTGTATAACCCTCGGAAGAAGAAATGCCGCACAAGACATGTAAGTATCGAAACCAAACGAAAGTACCAATCCCAGTGCCATAAGAATGAAGACAATAACGAAATTCACGAACTGCTTTGGCGCCGGCAACATACGAAACCGACGCTGTACTCGCTTGTTGCAAGAGATACGCAGTCAGGTAGGTCAACAACGATATCATAATACCGGTTTTCTGTTTGAGGGGTCTGAGAAGACAGCGGAACGACAGTCTTCAAAGATCAGGACTAGACGAGTAGTGAGCCACGGAGAAATATATTCACCGGTTGAGCATAAGCACGTGCAACGCGTTCTATCTTGTGGAATGGACCACTTATTACGGCTAGGAACTTGTGATGTCTTTGCGGTAGATCGGGGGACACACCGGGCTAATGTGTAGACATAAGCTTCAGAGTATAACATAAGCTCCATCAAACTTGCTTTCTCGGCGATTGATTTGCTAATTGGTTCCGACCCATCTCCCATGTCGAGGATGCACTTTGATGACGACCAGCCAGTGGCAGGTAGCTGGACAGTCAAAAATTGAATGCATTTCCACATAAAGTTGTCAGATATATGGCTTACATCCATTGGAGACTTCGTGCTTTCCGAAGACAAGGTATCCGTCCGCGAATCGTCAGAATCACTAGAAGTACTTCTCGATGAGCGAATGCCGTCTTCCAGCACATCAATAAAGTCCTATATCTCAGCATTGAAGAGTCATTGTCACGAAAATGTGCGAAATAAAACTCCCGTGTACAGTGGAGGGAGAGTCATATAAGTCCCCGAGCTGCTGTAGCTCGGTATCAACCCTCAACATCCAGGGGAAATCGAGACCAGGCTACGCAGAATACTTAACTCTGGAACTCAACAACCCAATAAAACCTACCAATTCTGGGATATCCGGGAGCGGCTGGAGTACTGGCGATTTCTGAAGGAGGCCATCTAAAATAGATGGTTCCTAATGTGTTTGAAAGGTGAGTGTGTTAGTAGATACTGTCACTAGTAAAAATCCGTACCAGCACCAATGGAGGTAGGGATGGTGGCTCAGGATCGATCCTTAATGGGTACCAAAGTATCAGACAATGCTGCAGTTGTCATAGAAAGATAGGCATAGCATACGGTTGGTATATGATCAGCGGTTGTTTCGGTCGGGGTGGGGGAACAGGGGTGTAGTGCACGAGGCTATTGGTCCAGTGAGCTATATCAGTAGGAGACGTCGAACTACTACGCATCTTTAGTACACTAACGGAAAACAAGAAAAACGGCTAACCTCGACTTCTGTGGGTTCACAAAGCTAGTTGACCGACAGTGTGTAGTGATGGTGGACAAGCTCCGCAATCTAGTCCCACCAGGTGAATTTCCGGTGTAGTGGGTCGTATTATCAGATGTGGATGTGGACTCCCCCACTTTGTTGGTTTCCTGTTGGTACTGTTGGAAAGGGGACGGTCCTTGGCCAGAAGTGACGTTGGGTGGGGATGATAGTGGGGTTCTGTTCAGCACTAAGCTTTGTTGTGACTTAGTAGTTGTCCGATCTGCATGTGCTGGGGCAGTAGGACGTGCCAAATCCGCAGTTCGCGTGGTTTGGGTGCTTTCAGTCATTCCTTGAACTACGTTGGAGCCAAGAACAACGGGTCGGTGCAAGGATTCAGTTGGACAAGCACTTGAAAACAAAAATAGCCTACATATCTAGGCTGTGGGGGGAAACGTGACGAAACCATTAAGTTGGGTGGATTATAGAGAGGGAAAGATAGAGAGGACAGTGTAGGAGGACAGAGGGGGGCAAACTGATACCAATGGTCGATTGCAACAACGCGAAGGTAAAATAGGAACATTGCACGCTTGGCAGTAGAAATGATTGCACACCAAGTTCCGCCAATCCGAGCACTAGGACCATTTGATGGTTGCAACTTGCATGGAGACGGCGAAAGTCCCGTTCCGAAATCATTTTGATGTGACAAAGGCCTTCCGCACGGTAAACTGCTTGGCAGAAGTCAGTCTATTTACCACATCCTTTCCAATGATGCCTCCGAGTTCGAAAGGACTTGCTTTCGATTCCCGCCTTGGCTCTATGTCCCTAACTGGTGGCTACGGCCATGGAGCTCTGTCTGGAACTTGGCTCCCGTGCGCGACGCGTCATGCTAGAAGTACTAACAAACCAGCGCTTATGTACGCCGAACTATAGGTTCCCTTGGCGACTTGCCATTTCAGTCCGCCTCCTAGGTATCCAGTCATGATTGTTTACCAGATACTCGCTCATACACTCTAGAACCTCACTTCAATGCTGGAGGGATACCCATACCCTTTTTCGTGACGAAAGCGTGCTAAACAGAGCAGTGACCATAACTAGACGGGCTCACCTTTACTTTGCATGACATGGAACCCTCAGGCTCTGTTTCAAAGTCTCTGGAACAACGAAGGATGGGACGCATATCCACTCTGCGCAGTCACAACTTATGGTCCCCTTAGTAGGAAGGACATTTAGTGAATTCCCGTCAAATGTATTGCATGTTGTATTGCCAGAGGCAGAGAGGAGGTAATGATTGTTTGAATGATGATGATATTACATATATTTAATACATGATATCTTGCCTTTGCTGATGGTAATGATGTACAATCCTTGTCAGGGTATAACCCTCACAGGAGAGGAATTGCCGCGCAGGACATTTAAGTATCGAAACTAGTCTGCAGCCAAGCGAATCCCAAGATTTCATAATAAGGGCTTCCATAAGAGTGAAGATTATAAAAACAAACTTCATGAATTGTTCTGGTACCTGCAACATAAGAAACCAACGCCGTACTGGCTTGTAGTTGCAAGTGAGTCGCATTCACATGGGTCACGGACGTATATATATTCCTGAGGCTGGCTTCTTGTCTCAGGAGTCCCAGCAACGACAGACTTCAAACACCGGGATTAGGCCAGCAATGAGCCATGAAAGGATATACTCACCGGTTGGGCGTAAGCGGGTGCAGCAGGTTCTAGTCCTTGCTCGGTCTTGCGGAACGGGCCGTTTATTGTCGCCAGGAATCTGGTCTTGCGGAATGGGCCACTTACAATCGCTAGGAACTTGTAGCGTCTCTGGGGCGGATCGGGGAACTGCACACCGGGCTAATGTGTAGATGTAAGCTTCAGAGCATAATATAAGTCCCATCAAACTTGCGTTCCCAAAGAATGATCCGTCGTTTGGACTCCATCCGTTTGACGACACCCAGGCAGCAGGTCGCTGGACACCCAAAAATCAAATGTATGGCCACAGAAAAATCGGCAGATTTATAGCTTACATCCATGACAGACACGCTTTCCGAAGACAAGGTATCCATCTGTGAATCGGAGTCGCTGGAAGTACTTCTCGATGAACTGATGTCATCTTCCGGCACATTGGTAGGGTCCTATACCTCAATGTTGAAGAGTCGTCGTCGTGAAAGAGGGCGAGTTAAAACTTACGTGGATAGTGGAGAGGGGCGGCCGTAGCTCAGTGTCAACGCTCAAGGTAGTTAGCGGCCGGGGTTGTTTCGGTCGAGATGCGGGAACAGGGGTGTAAAGCACCAAGCCATTGGTCCAATGAGCTATCTCAATGGATCGCGCCGGACCACTATGCATTTTTAGCATGCCGACAGGAAAAGAAAAAAGTGGTTGACCTCGACGTCTGCGAACTTAATGAGCTAGTTGACCGATGACGTGTAGTGATCTTGAACAAGTTGCGCAATCGAGTCCCACCAGGTGATTTGCCAGTGTAGTGGGCGGCATTATTGGGTGTGAATGTGGACTCCCCCACGTCGTTGGCTTCCTCTTGGTACTGTTGGAAAGGAGGCTGTCCTTGGCCAGAAATGACGTTAGGCGGAGTTGATGGTGGGGTTCTGTCGAGCACTAAGCTTCGTCGTGAGCAAGTAGTTGTCCGATCTACGTGTGTTGGGGCAGTAGGACGCGCCAAGTCCATAGTTCGTGTGGTCTGGATGCTTTCAGTCATTCCTTGAACTACGCTGGAGCCAAGAACAATGAGTCAATGCAAGCGTCTGGTTGGACGAGGCCTTGAAAACAAAAATAGCTTACATATCTGGGCTGTGGGAGAAAATGCGACGAAACCTCAAGTCGGGTAGATTATGAGGAGGGAAAGGTAGAGAAGACTGCAGGAGGACAGAGGAGGGCAAACTGATACTGGCAACTGATACCAACGGTCTATTGCAACAACGCTAATGCAAAATAGGAACACTGCGCGCTTGGCAGGGCTGTACAGGTACAGGTTACAATGAACGCCCCGCCTCGGAACTTAAAATGGTCGCACAGCGAGCCTAAGAATCGGGGCCCTGGGATTATTTGATGGTTTGCAACTTGCATGCAGACGGCGAACGTCCCGTTTCGAAATCATTTTGATGTAACAAAGGACCCCGCGTCAACTGCCAACGTAATGCCCATTGATCATCCTATGCGATAACGTGAAGCAGAAGACATTCAAGTGTCAGATCCGAATGCATTCGCATCGCAGGCAAGTGCTCATCCCAAACGAAACGATTGCCGGGAGTTCTGCCTATGTTCTATGTGGAATGTCTACCGCGTCGAGTCGGCGTCGAGGTTCTACTCAGAATGACGTTACAGCACATCGTGGGATCCCTCGATGCAGCACTCCACAGGACACACGCACCGGATCCTGCATTGCTATACCTAACACAGAGTCCACAGGACACGGGCACGGAGAAACGAGTCTTCTTCGGAATATTCGGTCTGCCCACTAGGGTAGCGCTGCGGATTCAAGTTTCTTTTGGGAGGAACTTCATTGAACAATCAGAAACCCTTCCGGATTCTGTCAGATTTCACTGTTTCAATTGGGCAGCGATCGGGGCTGTGGTACTGGGGACCGACGAGTCTCAAATCTAATTTTCAGCCTAAGACGTTCCGGGACTAAACACAGCAAATGGATAGAACATAGATGCAAGTACACATTCTACTACTACAACAAAGCGGTACAAAAGTGAACCGGGTGAGGAGGGAAATGTGAGTGAGTATCATGAACGCATGTCGAAAACTAAGTAGTAATAAGAAATGTTGGGCATAGTGCCTCGAGAATTACACAAAGAGAGAACAACATCCCTTGGCTCCATCCTCGCTGGTTGTAATCGTGCTTTGGCCGTCATCAGGAAACGGGACATACTCACCGGAAGGGGGCCTTGGTTGACACTGACCCCCAATTGGCGTGACCACTATCTGCTACACAACAGATACTCGATGTCACCACCGATCCCAACCCTACAAGTGAGAGGGAATATTCACCTGTGTACACTGCGCAGGTGCTATCCAAACGGCCCTCTGGGAGACGGGCAGCCGATTCCCACCTGGAACTAGGAGTTGCCAAATTCTCTTGAAAGTTGAAACCGTTGACAGATCAGCATGGTTCTGCCGATTCTCAGACGTGGGTTGGGCTGGCATTTCGGCTGGTGTGCTCGTTGGTGAGCGGGCTGCAGGAAGCTAGAAATCCTGATTTTAAACAGAATGCAGTACCCTCCTCGCGCGACCTACCAACGGTGGGCTTGGCCTCCGTTGGTTGCCCGCATCATGCGTATTTCCATCACAATGGTGTAGACCTCCTGAGGAAAGGAACTACTCTGACTAAGTGGGTGGGATTAAGATGGTCGTAGCTAAACACTAACACTCGTGGCAGACGCTCCGCTGCCTGTAGAAAGACGGTAACCCGCAATATCGACCGTGCCTGCCCTGTTTCCGACATCCACGCTATGCGCGTGTGTACCGCACTGCGTCGTGATGAATATGATGAAAAACGGTTTCTTTCCATAGTAACAAGGCAGGTATGAATTCCATAGCACTAACCGATGGAACTCGTGAGATCACAGAGATGGCGTTGAATTCCCTGGCGTCGTTATCCGACGATTCATGCCTTTCCTCAGCTTCTTCTGGCAGCGAGGACATGTGGATAGTTGGCTGCGAAGGATGTTGAGCGGAGGATCGCGGTAAACAGAACCTTGGAAATCTTACATCCATAAGTTCGATCGGAGGAAGCCTCATTTCAGACAGCGACCACTCGTCAGGAAGGAGCACTTTCCTAATAGAAGGGCCCTGTGAAAGTGATTTTCCACGTGTGTTCTCACTATACTGTAAATTTGCTTACAGTGTCTATTTCAGGCAACATTGGCGTCTTCGGGTCGCTGATAAAGAGCTCGACATGGCACCCGAGGGTGGCTCTTGACACAATGAGAACTATATCAGAGCAGCATGGTGACTACAGTGAAGGCGACCTACCCGGTAATGGGAGTATCACCGCGCGAGCCCCGAGGCCTCGTGCGTTTAAGCTGAGAGGATATCGGTATCAGTGGTGGTTTTTCTGCAACAGCATCTGCACACGCACGATGGCAGTAAACTTTTGTGGCAGGCGCGTCGCGTTGCTACGTGAATGCGTGAATTGCATGATGGGGCCTGATCCCCCTGATGGCAGAGAGGTACTGGCGGTGACTTGCGGAGAGTCGACATGATCGAGGGTATTATGCATATACTCTCTACCTCCAGGTCTGCCCCTGGCGGCAGTCTGTGTGCTAGTAGGAATGGGTTGGCCTGAAAATGAACCACCACGCGCAAGGGGAAATCGACGCGATTGCTGGTCAGGTGAACAACAACACTTGGGGTCGACAAGCCTAGGTCTGCTAATATTCAACGCAGTGAGAGGCATTAAAGGATGATCGTCTGGCGTTATCCCGTCCTTTGTCCAAAGCAGGGCTTCAGTGTACAAGCTACCACCTTCAGCAAGTGGAGGTCGCTGGGGCTTTGTTGGCATTATTGAGATATGGCAATCAAGCGATGAGACTGCTGGGTAACTGCGCAGGCAAAGACAGAAAGGATACGCGAGTGGAGGAGTGTTGGTCCGAATCCATGTTTTGAGGGCATTTTCACTCAGTTTTCACTCGACGATTTGGCGGAGCTTCACCGAAATATGAATTCACATTTAGGTCGTGACAAATATATACAAACACCCTTTACACTTGGCCCTGACAATTAGTAATAGCGTATTAGTAACTGGTCTTGTCGCCGGCACCAGCCGATTCCCGCCGTCGCGGTCGACCCAACAAAACCGGCTGCTTCAACGACGAGGGCGAGGATGGCCAGCACACTACTACGCCGTCAATTTGCGCTGCTAAGACGAGGCCCGTTCCGCTCATTTGCTACATCGACTGTTCGGTGTAGACCGGACACACCGCAGACGTCCAAGAATAATGTATTCGATACACATACCGTGGAGGACCTGCATGGCCTCTCCGCATCCGAAATCCTGGCAGAGACTGGCACTCGTGCTGACACAAAGTTGAGACATTTTACTGGTGGGTGAATGATACTTTTGCGTTGTCGAACCGCGAGATTCATCACTTCATGGCAGTCAATTTTGGGTGAGTCCCCGAACTTTAGTGAAGGACCTATTGACCCAGGTACACGTCCAGTCCTCAACACCCTGCAGCCCACGGTGTGCTCCGTTTGATTTTGGAGTTAAATGGGGAGGAGATTCTCCGTTCGGACCCTGTATGTGCACATACTTCACCGCGTTGTTGTTTACTCATCGCCAGTAGCACATTGGACTTCTACATCGCGGTACAGAAAAGCTGATCGAGTACAAGACTTACTTACAAGCATTGCCGTACTTCGATCGTTTGGACTACGTCTCCATGAGTCGGTCCCCGTTTTCCGACGTATCCCTTGCACTAACCAGGTTCTCTTCAGTGACGAATGAGCTCTGCTACAGTCTCGCGGTAGAGAAACTTCTTAACATCGAAGTTCCTGAACGCGCCAAATGGATCCGAACTCTGTTCGGTGAAATTACTCGTGTCCTAAACCGTGCGTCACAAGCTACTCCCCGTTTCTAGTCAACTCTGAACCAAGATGAACAGACTTGATGGCCGTTCTTACACACGCTATGGATGTTGGCGCACTGACACCATTCTTGTGGGGCTTCGAAGAACGCGAAAAGCTGATGGAATTTTACGAGCGCGTCTCCGGTGCTCGTCTCCATTCTGCCTATGTCCGCCCGGGCGGCGTTGCTTTCGACCTCCCGCACGGTCTCCTGGAAGATATCTTCAAATGGGCCACTCAATTCAGCTCACGCGTAGATGAAATCGAGGAGGTCGTCACAGGTAACAGGATATGGAAACAACGGACGATCGGTATCGGTGTCGTGACAGCCAAGGAGGCGTTGGATTACAGTTTCACTGGTGTCATGCTGCGCGGGAGCGGTATTCCGTGGGATTTAAGGAAGGTTGCTCCATATGATAAATACGATGAGGTGATGAGTGGTTCTTCCTTGCATCGCAGTCAGACATTCATTTGTCGTTCATCAGGTCGAGTTCGATGTCCCCGTTGGAAAGAACGGTGATTGCTACGACCGCTACTTGTGCAGAGTCCAAGAATTCCGGGAGAGTTTGCGCATTATTCATCAGGTGGGCTCAACTTGTGCAATCTGCATCGTACGGCACTGAGTTGGATGTCATCCGTAGTGTCTAAACAAAATGCCAACCGGTATGGTTAAAGTGGATGATAACAAGATCGTTCCGCCACCCCGTGCATCCATGAAGGAGAGCATGGAGGCACTTATTCATCACTTCAAGGTATACATTATCCGTATAATAGCACGATTAGACCTAACGATCTTCCCGACAGTTATTCAGCGAGGGTTACTCCGTGCCACCCGGCGAGACGTACAGTGCTATCGAAGCTCCGAAGGGCGAGATGGCTGTATACCTTGTCTCGTACGTATCCATTATTCCCCATTTTTTCTTGCCGCTTAATGTGTCCTTTCCTGCAGTGATGGCACGAACCGTCCATACAGATGTAAGATTCGCGCTCCAGGATTTGCGCATCTTGCTGGAGCGGACTTCATGATGAGACGTACGTGTTTCCCTTCCGCAATTCCACTCCCCCTCCTCTGATGCCGGTTCGTCTTGCAGATGTAAGACGTGACGAACAATCGTCCTTCGTTCAGGAGACTGACTCTTCCTCTTTAGCACATGCTTGCAGATGCAGTTGCGATCATTGGTACCATGGACCTTGTGTTCGGGTGAGTTGACTGACGTCCTGAAGAATGTGGTTACGTTGACTAACGATGTCGTTTAATGCGCAGCGAGGTAGATCGTTAGATATTTTCTTTGTACCTCTGACCAGGGATATCCTCACTTCCAAGGATAATATAGCTAGTTCCTCCTCACGTGATCTGATCTCTCGGAGTGATGAATGATTGCTGTATCCAACATTCGGACATCTCTTGGATTCACTAACAATATGCAACGATGAATGCATCGTTTCCCGTAGTTAGAGTCCAAGTCACTAGACACTGGTAGTGGCTCTAAGTGGACACTGGGTTTCCTAATTTGGCATGCACAACTTGGCAGCATCAATTTTACATTTGGCAAGCTCCTGATATACGACGAACTCAACTATCGAGCACATGAAATGACCAGGACACAAAAAAAATTTAAATCAGCAAAGAAAGGCAGACCAGGTAGTCGCCCTGCGCACTATGCCAATGCCCGAGAAAAGGCGAGAGCTGCTGCAGCGATCAACGACGTATACGAAGACCTTCCAGAAAAGGGCCGTCGGAACACCGTTGGACTCGATCTTGATAAACACGAAGGACAGGGAAGGCGTCATCACTCGAATGCTGGCCTAGATGTTGAGGGTCGAGATGCAGAACGGCCGTCTGCGCGGCTGTTGGGTGAGAACGAAGAGGACGAGCAGCTGGGTAGTGACGATGACGAGGAGATCGATAGCGAGGATGCCTTTGAGGACAGCGATGAAGAGGGGTTTGCAGGATCGAGCTTTCGAAGGAAGGTATGTGTGGCTGGACGATCGAAACTATAGTGTGGTGGTTAAATGGGATGGGATGTCTAGCGCAAGGAGTCGAGCTCACATCAAGGCTCCGGCTCTGAGGAGGAGAGCGGGAGCGAAGAAGAGGGCGAAGATGAAGACGAAGACGAAGACGATTTCCAGATATCAGCTTCCGAGTCTGACTCTGAGGCATCACCTGAGGCCCTCACCGAGCTCAATGCTTTCCTGTCAACACTAGACCCTGAAGACAACAAGAAACGAAAACAAGACGAGGAAGGATTACCAGATTCCCGTAACAAAAAGCGAAGGATACTCTCAGAACGCACGGAACCTGGGGAGGAGAGTGAATTCGGAGCACGCGGTACGTGCCATGCGCATCCCCAGTGCATGTTTGAACTTGTTCACATCTGAATTGTTTTCTCAGGATCTGGTACACTGAAGCTCGATGATCTACTCGCACCGCTGGCATCTACCTCAGCACTGGCTACGCTCAAAAAATCGACGAAAGCCCTCACTTCCTCCAGCGCCAAGACAAAAACACTTCCTGCGCCTCTACCTCAACGCGCTCAAGAACGACTCGATAGAGAGGCTGCTTACGAGAAGACCAAGGAAGAGGTCGAGAAATGGAATACGACGATGAAACGCATTAAACAGGTACATAGTCTCGAGATATGCTACATGTGCACTGAGCGCTGATCTATTCCCTAGGCGGAGCATCTAAGCTTCCCTCTTCAAGCAGAACCTGCTACTCGCGTTTCCAACCTCGAGCTCGCAGCCAAGTTTCAGGTATTGAAAAGTCTTTCAGCACCAAGTTAACCGTCCGTACTGACAGACCACATCTAGCCTTCGAATGAGTTCGAATCAGCTGTAGATAAGCTCTTGAAGTCCGCTCAACTCCGCGACGAGGACATTACCCATACCGAATCTCTAAAAATGGCTCATCTCACTGTGGAGGAGGTTGCAGCACGCCGTGCAGAACTCCGTATGATGCGCGAACTGGCGTTCCGCGCCGACCGCAAGGCAAAACGCGTCGCGAAAATCAAAAGCAAAGCTTACAGACGCATACGGAAGAAGCAACGCGAGCGACTTGATATTCCTGTGGAGGACGAAGACATGGACGAGGAGGCACGGATGAAGGCAGAGGTTGAACGCGCAAGGGAGCGGGCGACTCTGAAGCACAAAGCTACGGGAAAGTGGGCGCGGTCGATGCAAGGTCGAGAGGGATTGGATCAGGACCAACGTCAAGCCATAGCAGAAATGCTCGATCGAGGCGAAAAGCTTCGGAGACGGATAAGAGGAGAGGATAGTGGTAGCGAGTCGGACAAGGGGAGTGAAAGCGGTGACGAAGAACTGGATGAAGAAGGAATCAGGCGCAAGGCCTTTGAGGAGCTCGAAAATATCCGCACAGAAGGGGAGGGAGACACCTCAGATCTGAAGAGCAAAAGCGTGTTCAACATGAAATTTATGCAGGAGGCAGCCACCAGGCGGGCTCGGGAGGCGAATACCCAAGCTGAGGAGCTGGCCCGAGAAATAGCGTTGGAACTTGGAGATGCGGAAGGCAGCGAATCCGGGGACATAACGGAGAATGCTGCTACTCAAAACACCTCGGTGGTACAACGTACCGGTGGGCGAATATCATTCCGGCCGGGAGCAAGCGCAGCAGCAACATCCATTGCAAAACCTTTGGGTTCTTTGGCTTCAGATACCTCAAGCGTCACCCTTCAGTCCGCGGATCTTGTCCAGGATGTCACGCCACAGGGTCGACATAGTCCAACTCCCACGTTGACCGCTGTGACACCGCTCGTTGCTGCACCGGAGCCCAACCCATGGCTCGCACCGGTGGCGTTGTCATCTCGCCTAGCACGCAAGAAAAATGAAGCTGTGGTCCACAAGAATGCCGAGATCTCGGCGAAGTCTTCCAACAAACTTAAGAAGCAGGTGGCAAAAGGGGAAGAAGAGAAGGAACGCGCGCGCGATGATGCCATCTTGGAAGTCGAGGTAGATAATGTCCTTACTATCCCTGACCCTCCTACCACAAGCTCGTCGGCCAGAAAGAAGGGAAAGAAACCTAAGCGGCAGAATCAGCCATCGACCAGTGCAGAGCTCCCTGCAGATGATGATGACTCGGATGTGCACAGCGAAATGGAGGAGCAAGAAGGGGCGGCCGGGCAATCCGTCAACGCGAAAGGGGTCAAGGCCTTTCAACAACGAGAATTGGTCGCCTTGGCCTTTGCTGGGGATAATGTTGTGGAGGTTCGTATGGGGCGATTCCCCCCGAAGACTGTAGCGACTTATTCCATGATCTGCATTCAGGCGTTTGAAGAGGCAAAACGACAAGAAAACGAATCTGATGCTCCACGCGAAGTAGACACGACACTTCCTGGTTGGGTACGTTGATTGTTGATGACAAACACGATGACATCTCACCATTCTTTCAGGGCTCTTGGGGAGGCGCGGGCATCAAGAAACTTCCACCGAAACCTCATCTAATCAAAAAGGTAGCCGGTATCGACCCGTCCAGCCGTGCAGATTTCAAGAAAGCGCATGTTATCATATCAGAAAAACGCGACAAGAAGGCTGCCAAGTACCTCGTCCGGGATCTGCCTTATCCTTACACTAGCTATGCACAGTTCGAGAAAAGCATGGATACCCCACTGGGAACTGAATGGAACACGAGGGTAGGTTTCCAGAGGGCTACCTTGCCCCGTGTTGTGAAGAAGGCGAGTTTTTATTTTTTCTTTCTTTCTTTTCTTTTGTGAAACGTCCCTGACTATTTCTGTTCTCCCACCTAGATGGGCACTGTGATCGATCCATTGGAAAAATTGGCTTAGCAACCCTTCCCTCTCATTTCTCGTAATGTATACCACATCTGTAGCATTGCACGTCACCCATAATATCAATGCAGCTGAGGTCCCGTGCTGTCCTTGCTCTATGATGTGACACTATTATCCTACATATATGGCTATCGCCGCGAAAACGCGCGGCAAACCTCAACAAACCCTATCTTGATATTCTTCCATTCCTTTTGATGAAGCTAATTGTCCCCGTGTATCATTGACAGGAATTTCCAAAGCGGTGGAGTAGATGCCCCCCCGCATGTAATTCAAATCGTCCACGGTGAGGGATCAATCTAATGGAGCCCTCGCATAGATGGATCGTAGCCACATCTGATACCCTTGGGCAAGCAGGTCGGTCCATCATCGATCATCGTACCCTGTGGTAGACAGGATGCAGATAACGAAATAAGATTAGGGTCTATGCGTGGGTGAACAGAACGCATCAGCTGCGTGGGACTGTGTGAACGAACGGGCATAACGTGTCGATGTTCACGTCATGCGGCCATTTTCAAGAGATAGTTAAAGATCTGAATGTTCCAGATATCAGGACTCGTGTTACAAGTCAACGTTGTCACCATTCGAGACTGTAGGGAGACGCCTGGAAGCCCGCGAGACAGCAGTAACTGGGTCTTTCGCCACATGGCGTTGGGAGAAAGTTCGTAATTAGAAGCTGGAGAGCGGCTATCAGGCCACTTCTACTGTCATACGTAGGAAAATGAACAGCGGCAAGGAGTGAGTGGCGCTGGTAATCCTGTAAAAAGTTTTTGTCAGATAAAGTCCGTGCGGGATTTAACAGCATATCAACACTGGGCGTTGGAGACAGCTGAGGATGATGATCTGCACGAACGATAGTTGAATTTTCTCCATGCAAAGAAGGGTTGCCGACCTTCCAGTTCAGTAGCGGTGGTAAGACTTAACTCACTGGGGGAACTCCGGCCGATGTGGGAAAACTTGACTTACCTGGAGCTACTGCCAATGACAGTTACTTACGACAACGACCCACTTGCAGGTCCATCAGTCCTGCTTGGGTCCTATCATATTTAACCGTGTGCGCCGCGATGCGAACAAGAAGATGGAGATCAACAGATCCTCCGCCGAATCTCTAATTAGATGGCAAGGCATTGGAACGCTCCTACGTACCAAGATCTTGTTTAAAAGTGGTTTAAGATCAAGAAAGTCTTCTTGAAATCACGGGTACTGAGCCGCGCAGCACGTATTTGCCACATCAGAGAAACGGGGAATGACAGAGTTGCGGTCACGACCAGTCAGTGACAGGTTTAAACAGGTTTAAACCATTTTTTCGCTTCCTGATGCACACGACGATAATTGGATCCCATCGCGATTTGCACATTACCACCACACACACAAGGTCAGCACTGGGATAACCCTGTAACAAGTTTTTGTCAGCTAAAATCCATATCACATTTAAAAGCGTATAAACACCACTGAGGTTGGAGGAAACTGAGGACAATGATCTACAGGAACGATAAGTTGATTTTTCTCTGTGCAAACGGTTGCCCCGGTTCAGCAGTGGTAACAAAGACTTGACTCACCAGCGCAACCTCCAATCGATGTGGGCGGTAACTTAACTTACCTGGCTGACAGATATAGGGCCTGAAGCAACCGCCAGTAACAATTTTTTTACGACAATGACCCACGAGTGGGGGTGGGGCCAGTCCTGCCTACCTTGTGAAAGATTTAACCGTGTGTGGAAATCATCGGATCTGTCGCCGAATCTCTAATTAAATGGCAAGGCGTCGAAATCCATCCCACTCGAGACTTTGTTTGAAAGTGGCGCGCTCGGGATCGCAAGAGCCTTTTGAAATCACAGGTACTACTGTGTGTGCTGCACATAGCACTTGCTATCCGACGATAGTCGGATCCCACTGCGATTCTCATGCTAGCCTCGCTTCATTGTAACTGCCACCACACAGACAAGGTCACCTGGCTAGCGGATTGAGTTTCATTAACTTCCGCAACTAAGAACCTACCGTTTTTCTTTGTATCCGGACGTGAAACTTTGCCGTGCGACGGACTCCGACTCCGTGACCCTCCTTGCAAGCGCTAACTTCACGCAAGCCTGTCACCTTCACTCATAGTGGTCCAGGCATTCCACGACTGTATATCACCCAATTGGCAATTGGAAACCCACGATGATACTTGGAAGGTGCTTGGCCGATTGGGTTGTACACTTAGTTTCTGAGGGGGCCACCACCGGAAGATACTACATGGGGAATCTAGTGGCATGTGTCATCCCAAGTGGGCTATGGCCAATAGGAACGTCCACCGCCTTACATCGCAGTCGGCATCACTAACATTGTCGATGAAGGCTCGTAGTGCAAACACTTTCGCCAGCGTACCGACGATAACTCTGCGCGGTCTCCATGTGTTCAAGTTCCCCGCCCTTCTCTTAAATGCATGTTTACGCCCAAAATTCAGACACCTGGCTTCTTTCGGCGCTTTCACATTTCACCCATCTTCGACCCTGGTTGCTACCCCTGACCATTATTGCATTTATAGTAACAACGGTGGCAGTGAGCCGCATCGAAAACAGCTAACGTTACGCAGCGCCGCAATTCGATAAGAAGAAAATGGCGAAGATAAAATGCTATTGTTTCCGAGTTTCCGGGTGATGTCGATACACTACATACTCGGACTTCCGACCCCTGAGGGAGCCGAAATTTCCGGAATACTACCTGCAAAGCCTTGGGAAACAGGAACCAATAACAGCAACGCTACTTGGTTGGCAGCCGATTAGTAGTGGGTATGTATATTCCTGAGCGCCGTGTCAACCCCTTCGCTTTGCTTCAAACCAATGGCGATCAGGAACTATCAGGATGCGATAGAACATCTCAACGCGCTGCAAACGAGTGCTGATACCCTTGAGGCTGCCAGAGCTGCCGGTTCCCGTCTCCACCCGAATCCGATACCCAAGATGATTGAGTTCTTGGAGCGGATAGGCTACACCGTACTGTTCGCTCCACTGACCTTTTTTGCTCACTCTCATCAGTTCGTGTCCAGTGCGAAGATCTCAATAAAATTAACGTCATTCACGTCACGGGCACCAAAGGGAAAGGTTCTACTTGTGCATTCACGGATTCCATACTTCGCCAGGCAAGGCCAGACTGGAAAATCGGTATGTCGTTCTGCACTTCCTGCAGTCGACACATCACACTCAAAATCTCAAGGTTTATACACTTCCCCTCATCTCGTGGCTGTTCGAGAACGAATCAGAATAGGCGGAGTGCCCCTCTCAGAGGATGACTTCACTCGATACTTTTTCGAGGTTTGGGATCGACTGCAGCAAAATGGTGTAAGTGTATTTTATTCACTAGCGAGTTAAGGATTCGTTCGATCATGCGTAGCCAAGAACTCCTGATTTTCCAGCTATGCCCAATTACTTTCGATATCTTACCCTCATGACATTTCACACGTTTTTGGCAGAAAAGGTGTGAAAAAATGTTACTATACTTCAGTTTAGCTGACTCGCCTAGGTAAATGCGGCGATTCTGGAAGTCGGGATCGGAGGTGAGAGCGATAGCACCAATATTGTCCCGAGACCTATCGTCACTGGCATCGCTGCTCTCGGTTTGGACCATATGTCGGTACTGGGTAGGACAATTGCGGCGATCGCACAGAAAAAAGGTGGAATATACAAGGTACATATGTTTACTCCGTCTCTCTTAGGCTGACAGTCTTGTTAGAAAGGAGCCCCAGCACTTAGTGTCAGCCAGCCCGAGGAGGGTATGGTAGTCTTGAAAGAGAGGGCCGAAGCGTCGCAGGTGCGTATCGACACTCTTTTAGTCGACTGTGCTGTGATAGGCTGTAGGCTTCTTACTTCATGGAAGTGTCCACCCACCCAGAGATTGAGAATGTTACGCTGGGTACGTTGCTGTCATTGTCTCCCTGTCCCAACCACGACCCCATTTTCGTTAGGCTTGTCTGGTGAACATCAACTTCAAAATGCAGCTCTTGCTGTTCAGATGGCCTACATATTCCTCCATTCAATGGATGGGTTACAGTGCCGCCCTGAGCCGTTGTTGCAACTTCCGGAACCATTTATTCTTGGTCTTGAAAATGCCAAGTGGCCGGGCCGCTGTCAGATAGTACCGGATCCAAATTATCAAAATATAACATGGTATCTCGATGGAGCCCACACCACAGAGAGCCTGTTTTGCTGTACCCAGTGGTTCGTCAGTCCGCGCGTCGGACTATGTAATTCCTCCACCAGCACTACTCTGAACGGGACATCTGGCATCACGGAGGAGATGTCTCGTTGCACTCGTGTCCTGATATTCAACTGCACGAAGGGACGTTCGGGCTTGGATTTATTGAGTACAATGCTCGAGGAGACGAGGAATCGACTGCTTCAGTACGGAAGTACCGAACGGGTTGAAAGTTTCTTCCGGCAAGTTATTTTCTGCAGCAACGTAACATATGCGGACGGCCGTTTCAAAGGCGGTAAGCAGTCTTACCATAGCTGTGACTTTACTCATGATTCGTAGACTTGACCTCGCGCGCCATGTCGGCTGACGCCCGTACGGAGCTCAAAGTGCAGCATGAACTGGCTGATGCTTGGAGTCAGCTTGTCACTACATTCTCGACTGACGCGATTCACGTCGTACCATCAATAGAGCACGCTGTCCGGATAGTGCATGGGATGACAACGACCTTCGATAGAGTCAGTGTTCTGGTGACCGGTAGCTTGCATCTTGTAGGTGGTGTCATCGAAGTGGCGGATTTATCCTCGGTTGCCCTCTGAGGGTTTTTACCTATACATAGACGAATTTAGAAATTAGAAATCTCTCCGTATGCGGTGTCGCCTGCTGTCAAGTACGATAGTCGTGGGGTAAATAGGCGCAGGCGGCGAGCCCGGTGAAGCCATACTTTTTGAGAAGAGGCACGGGATGCAGCGTGACTGAGGAGGGGCCCTCCCTTTGCGAAGTCATCAAGTCTTAGGATGACCAGTTCACGTACTTGGAAGGGATCTGCGATTAAACTTGCTGGCATCCGAAATAACTCGCGCTAGTGGGGGCTGGCGAGAAAGGCTGCAAGATAAAACTGTCTTAACGAACACCCATACGACGGCGCCAGGTGTCCTCACAGCGGTCCCTACGCTCGGATCGTGATCGCGTACGTGCACAGCAGCAGGTTGGGGGAAGGTAAGACTCGGACTGGGCCACGGCTGGAGTCATTATGGTGTTTACCCATCATTACTCTAAAATGGCATAGATTGAATGTCAAAGGCGCCAGAAGAGGGGGGCTGCACCGGTATGCTTTGACTGCGCAACGGAGGCCTGGAAGCACAAGGGACTTTCCTGACAAGTCTGGCTGCCGTACGCAAAACCCGTTCCGCTTCTCCGTGAGCACATTCCCTATGAGTACCCAAGGGGTCACCCTGGTGAGAATAGTGACTCACAACGAGATTTGACCTTGCCTAGAACCACAATATAACCCAATATGAGGTATCGGCTGCTAGGCCTTCTTCATCCTTTGTCGGTGGAAGATCAAGATCACCGAGAGATCTCGAGGCTCCAGAAGCCGCCGAGACAGCGTTGGTTAGACACACTAAGTCCAACCAGTCTGTGTTTCTTGTGTATAGCCTCGTGGACAGTTTCGGCTGTGGCGAAATTGGATCAGTATTACATACTTGGTGACGTTGCTGTACAATGACCTGCAGCGAAGCGATGGATAGCAACGAAAATGGCTGTTCTTGTTGGTAGCCCATCACGAGGACATATGGAGATTCCTTGACAAGTCCTGAGAGCAGTGAAGCGAACGGAACCCCGCCAACCGCAACCATCGCCCGCTGGATATGCAGCTGCATGATAGACTAAGCGTAGATTCTTGGAATAACTAACCGGCGAAAACAGCACACCAAAGCATGCCCGACTCGATCATGACTGATATCTCTCTCTTGAACCCCCAAATTCGTGTATAGGCCCAGAGATGTTGCTGGCTGCCGGCAACACCAGCACCTGAGACACGGGTGCTCAGTGCGTCGGCCTAGTAGTTTCCTCGACAAGACCTTGCAGGAATATGGTTCTGGGCTGGGAGTAGCATCCTCGCAGAGGAAGACCAGCGTCTCCCTTGATCTCGCAGACGTGAGCCGAAGAGTCGACTGAATCGCTCCCAACTCCTCCGCCAACATGTCGATCGGCACCACAAAACATGTCATACTTTACAACAACTGGAACAGTCATCACTACTATGTAGCAAACTGAGAGGTGCAAGCGGGGGGGACTGTACACGTTCACCCAAAGAAAACGCTGGCAGACTCACTTGCATATTTACCACCATACTATACCGGAAAGCTATTCATTACTACATGAATATGCAACACGAAGAAAAACAGATTTTTGAGCAGTGTCTGTCCCCCAACTACGACACTAGTAGAACAAGACCCACTAGTCTCAACTCCACAAGAAGACATCGGAACCGAACTACCCGTGATCCTGCTCAGCCTCATAACGAGGCCTCGCAGCAGGCAAACTTCGATCCCAATCAATATTCCACGAACGTAACGAGCCTCCGTCGTACGGTATCGTTCGGAGGCCCTGACTTGTGCGTGGGGTAAAATTTGGGACAGTGCGTGTATCCAACACGTCCATTCGGCACTTGGAATCGTATAACTTGATCTATACACTATAGATGTCGTTGTCAGCAGCTGAACTCGCCGTTTTTCACAAGTGAACACGTGAAATTGGTAGTGAACTTGAAGAGAGACTAGAAAGCGTGCAACTCAGAAGCCAGAAGTGTGCACTTTTGACGGAAGCGTGTAACTATATAGTTATGACTAAGCATTTCTGGCGAAATTCTAAATCAGGTAGGTCTTGTGGTTCGCTTTCCACAAGACTTTTCGACAAAGGGTAAACGAAAATATGACTTTATGCGTCTATCACAACTTTGTAAACAGTGTTCAGGAGTGCGTTGACACCGCCTGAGGGGAGGTGACTCCGACATGAAGGGGTATCTCCTGTGTATCGCCACCAGGTCCTTGATCCGGGACGTTGCACGGCATCACAAACCCTAGAAACCGGCCGCCACTAAGACATAACTCCAGCCAAGATTCCGAACTGTGACCGTCGGACGAACCATCAGAAGGCCGTTATGCATACATGCCTAATGATATCGCACTCATATCCTTGTCCTCCTTCACAACGAACTGTATACTCACCGCGGCCACCGCGCTTTTGCGTCGTAATTACCGATGGCCCATTACTAACCCCATAACAACTCCGAGGTCGACCTCACAGCTGCCATGCTTCACCTTTTCAGCTTGCCTATACTATAAAAATCCTGTCGCGTTGCTTTTCATGACAATTCTGTAGGCGTCGTGCCGTTACAGATGTGAGTGAGACATGCCACGATTACTTTTGGGCCCTTGGAGTTTTGGATGTGACTCTACGAGGTCTTGCGAGCATGATGTGATTGGGTTTCGTTCTTCCCTGGGCAACTCGGTAGCAGTAGACCTGGCCAATACCGTCCTGCATCTACTTCCAGTCATGTCGTTCGTCGACTCATCGGATGAGTTCCACAATTGTTTATCTCGCCAAACCCGCACTGACGCTAGTACCAACGCAGTGCGCTGATCCGCGCTTTACGTTCCGAAGTCGATCCACGATCGGATGCGGCAGGCTGTGCTGAAATAGCCGTGGAGGGCAGGAACTAAATGCGTGCCGATAACTATGAATGAGATGAGATGTTGAACCGCCCAAGCGGACATTAAAGCGTACCGTGTGGCCTTGCGATCGGAGGATGCGGCGGCACCAATCCAGTTTCAGAACCGAGATTCCAGTTGAACTTACCAGCCTTATACCAACTTACCGGTCTACCGGTTGGCCAGCGTCACCAAAGTACCGGAACAACGTGTACAGTGCGGTAATGATGCGAAATCGAACAGAAGAGCAGAATAAAACATCAGAACATTGTCTAGAAACTCAGACACGGGGATGAAGTGTGTGGCGAAAAGGAGGATGCGCCTAGTAGATTAGAATGGAGTTATTGGCACTCGTGCCCGCAATGTCATGCGACACAACAAGTTGAACACGTAGCATCTTTACCGTGATGCGCGACCATAGGGGCCCACGCATGTACTAGCACACACTCCTTGGCTCAGCGCGAACCGGCGCTGATCTTTGATGAACAGCATTCGTAGCCATCTGCGGCTTGAGAAGAGGAGAATCGCCAAGGGCCTTCCTAATCCACGTGTCCAATGCTCTTCGGGCCTGCTGCCGGGCACCGGCGAGGCGACGCAAGAGTCACAGGGTTGAAAATGAGGTCCAGGAAGCACGACGGACATTAAAACGTAGAGTGCAAGATAGCTGTGAACAGGTTAAAAGTGGCGAGTTGAAGGCGCAAAGTGAAGGAGAACATTACGAACCTTGATTTCCTACGGAGTGATCGCCCCAGGTACGGCAGATTTGATATAAGTGCTTCTGGAGGGTGATGATATGTCAATGTTTGCATTGATCACAACGGCATCCCGCGGTTCCAGGCGAAGGATGATAGGGGGCCAAATCTCCTTGCAGCAAGGACTCTGCGCCGAAGGGGAAGGTAAGACGGCAACCCCATAATTTGCTGTGGAGCTCAAATTTTTCTGCGCAATTCCCTGTGGCAAAAGAAATTGGGGATGCGACAAAGAACGCCCATGAATCAGTCCAGCGTGTAGCTGTACCGCCTATTCAACCGATTCTGCAAAAATGAGGAAGTGAGATTCGGCATCAAAGATGAACACACCAATTAATAATTCTTGTACGTGATCCTGTTATCAGCATTCAACCATTGTGTGATACGTGCCCAAGGCCCCACGGAAATGGCAGTCGGGTGGAGACTACAATTCATGCAAAGAAGGGATGAGGTTCAATAGCATGAACGGCATGAATCATTGCTGTATGAAACCACATTGTGCATCCAGTCAGCTCCTTAATTTCCTGCGGAGGTACTCCATACGTGCCGGAAGCTCCTTGGACAAAGGAAATTGCGTGGAAACCAGTAATTCATACAAAAGAAGGGGGGAAGCGAGATTCAGAGCCAAAGGCCGACGAAGACGAATCATCCCTACGCGCAGCCGCGCTGTCAACATTCAGCCGTCCGTTGGCCCCAAAAAAAACGCACGAAGGAGACGTCATGAGATGGGCCTCATCCCAATGGTGCTGCAGCCAGACCGATATGAGCGGTGCCAAGCTCAATTCTGTAGGGCCGCAGTGGGTCACAGTTAACGCTTGCGTAATGAATAATCGACAAATTACCCATCATGCATCACGTTCCTCTCTTTCATTTGCTATCTGATTCAACGAACCCTTGTCATGAGTCTATTATTCCTGGCCCACAACCCCCCACGTAACACGGAGCACCTGCTAACTTCGGGATGGCGTTGAACGTTGAATATTAACTGAATCTGGTGGACCCGCTCACGGAACGGAGTACAGCACCAGCTGGACTAACTCCTCTTTGCCATGTCCTAAGTCCGCTGTGGAGTACTCGCAGGGTATGGGTTCCTGACCTGCGACTTACATGCACATCATTAGTTTTGCTTACTTTTTCCGAGCAGCTTGCTCATTGGATATTGAGTGGTTGTACGCGGAGGATAGGTGGAACGACAGTAATTCCCACGCCAACGGGGACACTTGCTTGGCAACTCGCAGAGACTCGGAGCCTCTGATCCCTTCTGATAGTCTATCTGGGCCAAGTTTGTCGCTCGTCTTGGCGTCAAATCAAGCTGTGGTATTAGCCGCATCCAAGCCCTTCAGGGGGAGTTGCAGAGAGACACGGCGTGAGGAACCCATCACATCCAGGAACCGCCCTTCGATGCTCGCCTCTCCTGTCATTCACGGCCCGCATTGAACATCCGCAAGTATGTGGGCTGCATTTTAATGACGATCACAGCAGACGGTTAACTGGCCTCGTTGCGAGCGTTCAGGACACTTATGCGTGAGTACTAAGTAACATTTATATTTACACAGAGTAAAGACCGTCGCCGAGTATGGTCTAGTCGAAGCCGTCGTGCGCAAACTAAAATCGGGCCCCATGATCGGGAACGTTCGGCCCCAGGGTCTTTACAGTAAGCAACTGGTCTATGTAAACGCTTTCTCATCCTGATCCAGTTAACATCCTGATGCGCGACGAGAGGCGAAACAACTCTCGTTCCTCTCGTTCTTCGACATAATACTATGGCACATCGGGAGGATTTTCTATCTGTGTGGGTACAGGAGGCAGTGTCTCCCTAAAAAAACGCGGTACCATTATTTCGGAACTCGAACTTACGACCCCACACAAAGTCATCGTGCCATGTGTGTGCACTGCGTGCATAGTACCAATCGGGCGGTACTACGTATACGCACCCACACCATCGTTTTATGAATCATGCAGGGTCGATTTACCTGCTACTCATATTCCAAAACTCTGTTTGATGTGTGCAGCATATATCATGAAAGACTCCAAAAGGCGCCAGGACAAGGTAAGGCGTATATCGGATCGTCGGGGTCACTGCCATTGAAAAGTTTGTTTGCACCTATATAGCGATCGTATGTGTGCGTACATACATGGTATCGGTACCAATCGGGCGGTACTCACCCACACGCATCGTCACGCAGGGTCGATTTGTCTGCTAATAGTCATGGAGATACGCGGCGTACTCCATAATCCAGAACTCTATTCAGTGTGGTGTGTGTATGATTCTATCATTTTAAGAGGGGCTAAGACAAGATAAAAGACATATCCGCTTCGGGACCACTGCGCCGAAGACTCTGTGTCGCATCCATGTTATAACGACCTTTTCCCTGTGCCTCGTGCTCGAGTCCACAACGCGATCCGGCGCGATATTCTGATGTTATATCCGTTTTCTAGAAAGAGAAGAACAGAAGCCTGCCAAAACCCCGAAGAGGGATCGCATCGAGGTTCCCGTCCCCTACGTATGTAAGTTTGTGTCGCCATCTCCATTTAATCGTCCATGTCTGATGGCACTCCCTTCCGTGCGTTGTCATTATTGATGATACACATCCATCGGGGTTTTTTCTCCTCAGTTTCAGAACTCTCCTCCGCGCATAGTCGAGGCTCCGCGTTATTTTCCCTCGTCTCTCTGCACCCGGCAATCGGAGGAGGGATGTGTAAATGCAATTCTGCCTCGGCAAGAAAAATTACGAGCGTCACGATTTACCATGATTTGAACTTTATCTTCAAACAAGATGCTTGGAGTGGTGCGTTATATGCCCGCACGGCCATGTCCATTTCGTCGCGATGCGGGTCCTATCATCACACACCTACGGTGGTGGGTTATATATATCCTCCTCTTCGCCGATTTCGTGGTATACGTGTGTACGCCCATTTAAATCCGTGTGGAGGGTTATCATTGATTTGTCACGTATCTTGAAGGCACCCTCGGCTTTGTGGAAATGCAGTTGCCCGTTACAGTGAGGTCCTCGTGGACGCCACTTTTCTGCTCGTCGGAGAAGCTTCAACCATGTAAGGAATGTACGAGGTCCTATCGCCTCCTCCTAATTCACTTGGATTGGATTCACCGATCTACTTAACGCTAGGGACTTCACCCCATTTTCCATGACAAACTCCGTTCGGAAGAGCCCTCCGGGTGATGAAATGGACGTTCCGCTGCAGTACACGATATCGAGCAGGTAAGTAATAGTAAATAACGGTATTTGGCCCTATCGCTGTGTTTTGTAGTGACGTACTTACCTCGACGCCGATGATCGCTCCACGCCTACGAGGTGAAAAACGGGCACTTGGCCAAGAACCAGTTCATACATACGTATGTGCATAACATGTCCACGAAATCGAGCAGGTAAGTAATAACAAATAACGGTATTTGGGCCACCATCGCTGTGCTGTGCAGTAAGGCACTTGCCTAGACGCCGACGATCGCTCTACCCCTACCCGATGAAAAACGCGCACTTGGCCATGGACCAGTACATACAGTACATTTGCTCATAACGCATAAAGTCGGACCAGCAGAAACTACCATTATTTGAAAGAAACAGTTAAATGCGTTATGAGCAAATGTACTGCTGTACATACGCACATGTATAACATGTCCACGAAATCGAGCAAGTAATACATAACGGTATTTGACCCTATCGCTGCGCTGTGTAGTAACGTACTTACCTAGACGTCGACGATCGCTCTACCCCCTACCCGATGAAAAAACGCACATTTGACCAAGGGCCAGTGCATACATATGTATAACATGTCCCCACGAAATCGAGCAAGTAATACATAACGGGTATTTAGCCCTATCTATGTGCTCATGTAGCGACGTACTTACCTAGACGCCGATGATCGCTCCACGTCTCCACCCCGCGCGATGAAAAATGCGCACTTGACCAAGGATCAGTACATATGTAGATTAAATAAGGCACGTTTACTCAGAATATTCCTTGCAGAACGTTTGCCCATCAACATGCGAAACATGTATGATTAGTACTTATGTGCCTACTCCGAGCGATGATTTGGTGACCAGAGACTTAATAGTCAAAAACGCGGGAAGATGAACGATGTCGATGAACGATGTATATGAGCTGGGTTCACCAAACTACAACATATATGTATGCATATCTGCTACGTACTATGTATGTGGTATGAAGTGGATGCATGGTACTTGTATGTATGTATGCACGGATGTGTGAATGTATATACATTTGCCTGTGCGCTTGCCTGCATGCGTCCGTGCGTATGTAAGTATCCCCCCTCGCACACCAAAGAAGGAAAAAGGAAAATGCGTATGTGGAACGACCATAGGTCGTAGAGAGGTATCAATATGTATGGTTCAAAACACGATAGCACAGTGAGGACGAGCTAGAACTCCAGTAGTCGACAGCAAGAGAAAGCCAAAAAAAAAAAACAAGACAAGACAAGAACACACCGCAGAAGTGCTCAGTCCCTTTTTGACATCACGAACGCACCCTCGAACGTGACCGGCTCACCAGGGTGCGACGACGTCCTCCAGTTCCCAACGAGCGTCTGACCACCGACGACGTATCCCGTGAATATCCAAAGACCGACATGCGGGGCACCGGCGTTGGCCTGCCACGTTCGACGAGTCAGACAAAATAAAATAAAGGAGGGGAGACGAAGAAAAGACACTCACGGGAACGCGCACCAATGCGATTAATCCATCCCATTCCCTCACGCGGCCATAGAAGCGATATGGATGCCACGCCTGAGCATGCCTTTCGTCCGTCTACGACCGCACAGTTGGCACAGAGCGGGAGCGAGCAGCATGGAATTACTCACCTCGCCTACGAGCACGATATCCATGATACCATCGCACTTCCTCTTCACGACGAGCTCATCTCCGTCATCGACAGACATGGGATCGTCCTCTGCATCGTCGGCGTCGCCCTCTTCCTCGGCATCCTCTTCGTCAACGACATCCATATCCTCGGCATCATCCATCCCGTCCGGAAGCGGTGCCGCTGCAAGCTCGTTATCCAGCACTTCGAGAAAATGCGCATCGTGTTCTCTAAATACCATCTCCGAGGTTCCACGATACAAACATCCCCGACACGTTGTCTCGTCGTGCATAGATCCATCGGGAACGTATTCACGATAGCGCTTAGATTCCTCGACGAGGCGGTGAGGAGCAGTTGGGTCTTGGACGGTATAACTGAGAGTGAGCTCGTTCTGTACATGTACATTAGACAATGAGACGAGAAGAGAAGGGAAACGGACATACCTGATGCTCGAAACGCCGCATGGACGCTGGGAACCATGCATTATGCTTTCCATCCTCCATCTTACCGGCAGGAACAGGCTCGTTGGAGGCGACGTCCATACACACGTACTCACGAAGGCGCATAAAGACTGGTGCTACTATGACTCCGAGGGTTTGTTCGTTGAAATTAGGAGGCATCTGGGGGATCTGGAGGAAGGTTTCGAGCGCAGTGTCGTCTGCAACGAGCATTCGTCCTTGCCATAAGCCGGACATTGTTCCAGGGGTATAATGCGAACGCTTGAGGGAGACCGGCCTGAAAACGTCGGTGCAGTCGACCAACCTGTTCCAATCGTTGTCCCACCTCGCACTCGGTGCGTTGGCTGCGCGTTGATCCGCTGTCATGGTATCCCAGCCCCGAATACCCTCTGACCAGTTACCATCGGGCCGCGTCGTCGGGAGAAGCTTGGCGACTTTGTTCGCGTTGAGTTCGTGCACGTCTTCTTGCGTAGGGCCGACCATAGTGAGACCAAGCTGGAGGGCATGTTGGCGGTTGCGAGGGATGTGAGGCGGTACGGCGACGGGGAAGACTTCCGTTCTAGATATGTAGACAAGTTTTGCGGCGATAGACGCAAGCGGTATGCCGATTTCCAAGTCGGACACGGAGTAGAACTGTGCTCTGTGATACCGATCGTATAGGTAGTGGGGGTATGGGCCGTGCACAGTAGGTACGGAGTGTGGAACGGTGTTTATGTCGCGTGAGAGCGGCAGGGAGAAGTGGATATCGGGAGCGAAGGCGGAAGGGTACTGTCATGGCAAGTGAGATACGAGGTCCAAGACATACCCGAACCATTGTGACGCACCCGAACTGGCATGACTACGAAAGGCAGCATGAGTCTGATCATCTGTGCCCGCTGAGGAGACGACTCCGCTCGAAGTCGATCTGTGTGCAAGGTTAAGGAGTTCGCCTCGGCATTAGTAGCAGTACACACCTTCGGTGGTTGTGAGCCAGAGGAGCCACAAGGCAAGGGAGTTGACGGCGTTGTCTGCGGGCCAACCGTTCCGGTGTCCGTCGTAGAGATGCTCGCGGACAAAGCGGTCTACGAAATCGGGCAAGCCAGCTGCCTCGAGGCTTGCACGGTTCTTCCCGTCGTCCTCTATGAGCATGAGGTACGACGTCCAGAACGTGTGGCAGAGGTCGTCGGCATGGATGTCTCCCGAGCGGATGCGGGCGAGGGTATGGGTGTAGCGCAGAAGCTGGGCAACATAGGAAGACGACTTGGCAGCTTGAGGGCCGAGGCGACGGGACACAGAGGAGACGTCGTAGTGCGATGCGAAGTACGAGGCGAATATGTGGGGGTTGGTGGTGATCCCGAGGGAGGAGTTGAGATATCTGCAGGTGAGCTGGAGCGGGAGGAGAGCCTGGATGCCATGAGCATCGGCGAGGTTAATCGCAATGCGCTCGATGATTTCGAAGGGGAGGGCGAGCAGAGACATGGCTTGCTGGGAGGCAGGGGAGGGGCAGGGGGACGAGGGGAGCAGCCCAGGGTGATGGATGATATACGGACACCGCTCGAGTGCTGTTACGTGTATCTCCGTCAAGGCGGAGAGATCTCGCATGGAACGGAAGATCTCAGTACGTAAACAGACATCTTCGATCCAAACAGAATCTGCAGTCGCCGTTTCAATGCTCTCATCACATCTCAGACTCAGCGACTCGGGTGCGAACCTCACACGGTCATATCCCTCCCACACCTCATTCATTCCGTATGTTTCGGGCTCAGAGGCCCATTTGGCGTGGTTCCGAACTAATATCCAGGTGTCGACCAGCGTTGCAGGCGTCCTATCTAACACATACTTGCACCCACCACCCCTATCCGGTGCACTCCCATTCATTTTTCATTTAGGCATTCTGATGCGGCTGCCATGACGGCCCTGTCCATCCTTCCTTATGAATGAATCAAGCCTGTGCTCCTTGATAGCACCGTTGGCCATCTTCGTGGCATCATCATGAGTCCGGTCGGGACGGTGTTGCGACCCCATGACCTGGTGGCGATAGAACACCCCAGACCTCATCTCATATCGCTTTCTCAAGTCACTGGCATTACATGGCCTACTGTCACATATGTGCAGTCTGGATCCCTGGGTTTCCTCCACTCACTCGATTCCATGTTTCCCTTTTCTGAATGGTCGACTTTTCTGCCGGGCTATCCTATTTCCCGGAAAGACCACTGAATTACCCCTTTCGACCAGATAGCCCCCATCCCACCCATACGCAGCCCACACGGCACGAATGCTCCGATTCAGCGTCTCCACTCTCCCTTACCGTGGTCATGTCTACCTACTTCGATTCTCAACGCTATCCTTTCATCTCCGTTTTTTGGCCCTCAGTTCTGCGGTTGGCCGACATAGCCCGGGTGATCATCTTGGCAGTGGCGCCCGCCGTTGGCACTGGTCAATGTCCCGTGTCCCTGGGGCCCCTCGCCTCGTTCTCAGCCCTAACTCTCCGTTGACGCCCCACCAACGATATCATCCCAGCTCATCCCCTTATGTATGGCTGCGGAAAAATCACACTTGCCAACTATTTGCCATACACGGAGTTCGCATTACAACGCGATATCGCGCATCACCAAATATCACCACAAATCATTCTACTTTTGTGATACCCGTCGCTGAAAGACCCCCGCAAAAACAGAGCACACGTACACGTGGTACCGAGCGATCAAACCTTACCTTGTTTCTTGTGCGGACGTTGCCGAGGCGCGCGAGTTGTCGGCGGACCAAGGGCGTGTACATATGTGTGCGCCCCACTCGATTCTTGAGGCAGGAGTTATCCAAGGAGTCAGAGGGTCGGAGCGGGCAGGTGGGTCAGCAGGCAGAGAGATGTAAGACGCGCGCGTAAGGCGCCCTCGTTCTACATTCAGAATCTGTGCCTGGCAGTAGCCCCTCTTTCGTGTCTCGATTCCAAGACCGATGGGATTGTCCATCAATCGAATTCGATCACGGTTATCAGACAGACAGGTCTTCAAGGATCGAGATGGAGAGATGTCGCGGCCCTCGCGCAGGTGTCGGTGTGAACGCGGCGTGTGAACGGGATCTTACGATGATTCTGCAGATCGAATCTTTTCGTCAGAGGGACCACTCTGGCGGTGTGCACGTACAACGTTAAGTATTGGATAATAACGCGTGCTGCCTCATTTTTTTCCCCACAGTGTGTGCCGGTGAATATTCAGACTCACGAAGTGAGATGGTATCTGAGCAATTCACGCACAAATATGACGGGGGTTCCCAGGGTCGACGGGTGCCACTGACGGGGAGTGGAGCTTGATAGCGATCGCAATGGAATCGTAAGCGAGGGGAAAGGGGGGAGGGGTGGAGGAAATAGTAACTGTGCTGCCTATTTCCCCCCACAGTGTGTGCATTACAATAGCTGCACGTTCAGGCTCGTCAGGTGAGATTCAATCTCAATCTGAGCGATTCACACACAACTCTGCAGGGTCGACGGGGTATCCCTGATGGGGACGGGACTTGGTGGCGATCGTGATGGGTCCTTAAGCGAGGGGAAGGAGGGGGAGCAACGAAGAGGGGGCCGTGGAGGAGATCATAAGTATGTAAGCACTGGATTTGAAACAAAAGATGCGTTATAATGCCTGGTAAGTACATATGCGTGCGGATCCGGTGTAGCTTATCAACATACATGCATTTGTACCAGAAGGCGCGAACCGTGATCCTGTTGAAGCGTTGATCGCGGCGGCCGTCCAACGTATCGAATCCTGATAACGAATAGAAGTTCAGATGACTTTAATACAACAATATACATATGTATGTGTGACTTGACGCCATAGGGGATTTAGCCCCTGGGTAGTTACGGACGGCCGCCGTCGCCGTCGGGTGAACGGAAACAAACGGAAATCTTACGTCCGCGAAACGAAACAAGCGAAAGCTTACATAATATTGCCAACCCTCCAAGATGATACGCTTGCAACGACGGTCATCAATTCGGTCCCCCTTCAATATTGAGTCAATACCACCGACAGTGGGGTCTGATAAAATAACACATACACACAAAGGGCTCGCGAAGGTCGTCAGGGCGGGTAGTTGTGGTGTGCCTGACTCAAAGAGCTCCAAAGTTAAGTTATGAACCGCGGCAGCAGTTCGGCTTCGACTCTCGACCGCTTTTTGCTGCTAATATAGGTTAGTTGTTGTAAGTTGTGCTCAGCTCATCATTTGCCAGGTTGCCTCATGGGGGTATCATGGGGAAACTAATAGTAACTCGTCGGTCGTTGGCCTCCTTTTTAATTAATTGCGGCGTTTGCTGTCAGCGAAGTGTCGGCGGTGATGGCCTGACATATTCATATTCTGTGGTGACTAGGCGCCCTTTCTCGCAGCTGCCAATACGTAGCTTGATAACCTGCTGACTTGCTTTCTTCTTTTTTCTTCTTCTCTCTATTGTATAGGTTTAGACTAGACGTTGACAGTGGCGGCGCTGTCTCGTTGCATTGTCTTTCAAAGGCTTTTTTTTTTTCTTGTTCATTTTTTGACGTCAGCGCGTGCCTATGATATACCTGACATTAAATCCGAACGCATACGGCCTACGCATCTCCTTCCCATGGAAAAGAGAGTTGACTCGGGCTTCCTCAGCCTTCAGGGTCATGGACTGCGGGCGCCAGGGGGGTTGCATGCATACGTGTGTGCATAGGTGGGTGGCTGTTTCAGTTTCGTTAAACCGTTCGTCAGGCATCGACTTCTCATCCCGTTCGTTGGAGATAGTACATAGTTCTTTTCGACTTCGCCGCGTCCAGGAACCACACTCGGTGACTTCTTTCAGGGGAACCTGGCGATGCTAGTGGTCCGCTTCTGTCTAAGGGTCGTAATGAATTGCCACTGCAGCGCGACCTTCGGCTCTATGGTTGGGCTTTTACTTGTTCAACTCTCACACTTATCACTCTTGGACGCCGCCGCGGCCACCGTATCACAAGTAGAGAAGGGATCCCAGTACCGCCCAGTGATAGGCTTCCTAAGGGTCGTGGAACTGCAAGGTGTTTACAGTGCGACTTTCATGGTGCGTGGTTTATCTTCAACTGTCACATTTATCACTCTCTTGGACGCCGTCGCGGCTACCGTATCACAAGTAGAGAAGGGATCCTAGTACTGCCACTGATAGGCTTCCTAAGGGTCGTGGAACTGCAAGGTGTTTACAGTGCGACTTTCAAGGTGCGTGGTTTATCTTCAACTGTCACATTTATCGCTCTCTTGGACGCCGTCGTGGCTACCGTATCACAAGTAGAGAAGGGGTCTACTACGAACCTTCAAGTCTTCAGGCACGCTTACGCTTTGTTGATCACGTCCGGGCATCGCATCGATGGTGCTTACTTGCTACTCGCGGGAGCCTCGGTTCTGCACAGACATGCGTCGCGTCGACTGCATTGCATTGACATTGAGAAGAACGGGTTTTTCCCGGGGGGGGGGGGATCAATGTACTGCCAGCGATAGGCTTCCTAAGGGTCGTGGAACTGCAAGGTGACCGCTGTGCGACTTTCGGGGTGCGTGGTTGGTTTTGGTCGTTTATCTCATTGCATGCATATCTATCGGAGTCCGGGACTTTGACTTCGCCGTGTTGAACTGCAGGATGCTGGTGCGGCTTTTGGCTGTATGGTTGGTTTTGGTCGTTCAACATGGTCACGTATCACTCTCTCTTGAACGCCGCGATCACCCTGTCACGATTGAGAAGGGGTCTATTGCCAAATTTTCAGGCACGCGGATGCATTGTTGATTACGTCCGGGCATCGCATTGGTGTTTACTACTCGCGGGAGCCTCGGAACTGTGCAGACACGCATAGTCGACTTTTTTGGTCGTTCGTCTCCCTATATGCATCTATTGGAGTCCGGGACTTCGATTTCGCCGGGTTCGCATTTGTGGAAAGACCAATGAGAAGGGTGTGCTGCGACCTTTAGGCACGCGTACTTTGTGGGTTGCGCGTCCGCCCGCAGGAGGGTTCTGCGCAGAAACGCGTGGTACGGTTGCACTTTGCATGCACGCACGCATGAGATCGCCGTTGCCTTACTTCCATTCAGTGGGTGGGTGTGTCTATCTATTGAGTTCATTTCGAGAGCTAACCGCCCCCATGTGAATATGTAGTGAGTATGACACGAAGCACGCGCTTGTACTTTGCATACATAGTCGTGAGATCCCCGTCGCCGTACATGCGGTGGGTCATATCATATGTGCCAATTTCACTCAGCTAACCCACTCTTGTATGTCGTGAGTTTGGCTGTACGTTAACAAGGGCACACGAGCGCCAAAGGGGAGGGGGAGTTACACTGCTGCATACTCCATGTGTCGGATTCGCCTGTAAAAATGCACGCGTGCCTTGTTGATCACACCCGAGTATTGTATGGGTTTACTACTCGAAGGAGGGTTTTGATGTGGCATATTACACACCCATTACACGCTTGCGCTTGGCATGCATAGTCATGAGATCTCCGCCGCCGTACATCGGCCATATCATGCATGCCAATCTGGCAATTCCATTTGGTGGGTAGGTGTATCTGTCTATTCAGTCGTTTCGAGAACTGACACCTTGTCGTGATTTGTAGTAAGTTTGCGATACGTACGCTGTGTGGCAGGTAATGTCCAGAACTTCGTTCGATGAGCCTTCCATTGGTTCGATCTCTGCACTCGGCACCCACAGCAACTGCACTGTCTGGACTGTCGAATCGTTCAGATTCAAGCCTGGAATCATTGAAAGACCGAATTAATGATCCTTGAGATGAAGGTAATTCAATGCGCACGGCGAATATGGCTGTATTATCCCCATCTGCGGTAAAGTTTCAGAACCACTGATATCCATCCCATCAGTCATAGACCCTTCTCTGCGTCTCGACCACCCTCGAAAGGGAAGGAAGAAGCGGATTGGAAGCTAGGATAGATTGACAAGTGATTAAAAAAAAGGGGGGGGGGGGGGCCACGGGTGGCTGGCAAGGTCCACTGGCCTTGTAGAGAAATTTCCGGTTGTACTACGCGTGTTGAAGACGGCGTTTAGTTTGGGCTGAATGAAGGAAGTGCGTGCGTGCGCGCGTGCATGTGTGGTAGGAAGCGTAGCTGTTCGGCACCGTTCGTTTCTTCCCCAGCCCTTGGCCCATTGGAGAGCTGACTGCAAGTGAGTCCTGGAACATTCTCTCGTTCTCTTACCGACTTTTCTTTTGCTCGCGATAGAACCCGGTTACCATCGGCGACGACGAAGTGTATCATATGAAGATAGAACGTATCCATTCGATAGCTGATGATCGTCTTCCGGGAGAGCTTTGTACGGGACTCGAGACTAGATCCTATCAGACACTCGCATAAATGCATTTTGCCCTGTCTGTTTCGGTCGTGGGAAGAAGGGGGGCCGAGAGCCGTTGTTGGCGCCAAGCTGCACTGCGATGGAGCTCCAAATATGGGGCAGGTTCTAGGTACCTTGGCGGATCCTCCGAGTTCAAATTCTCTCTTTTGAGACCTTTAGCGCCCTTGGAGAATATTGTGATATATGCGCGTTCTGTGACTTTGTGAAGGGATGAACGGAGGGCGCTGCCATGGGTTGGCCAGTGTTTCTCAACTACTGGATGTTGCAGCAGGCGGAGCAGATGTATTGTGTGAGTGGAATGTTGCCAGGTGCCCGCCTTGTTCTCACTGCGTCGTTGTCGTCATTGTCGTCGTCCAACGAATGGGAGGGGGCGACGAATACAACCGCGGAGGAAGCAAAGAGGGCATTCCACATCTGGTCAAATCAACCCCTAAAAAGGAATATGAAGAGCGGGGACTCGGTGCAGACAAGCCCGCTGAGCGTATAAAAAGTGTCGATCCCATCCAAATCCCAGAACTTGTCTCTTTCCCTCGTTCCCCGTTCACCTCACAGAACTGATGCAGTCCAGCCCCCCACAGACATTTCGTCCGTTCTCTGACGACTACTACGATCCGCCGCATGCCAGGACATCCGCTGGTTCTATATGGGCTCCGAAGCAACAAGAAACAGAGTCTGTCTGGCCACCGCGTCTCGACGGCTTCTCGGGCAGCGGTGAAAATTTATCTATCCCCGCGAACGCTTTACACGATAGGTTTAGAGTGTTCGGAGGTGCCACGGGCCACAGCAAGGACATGTTCGGCCCTGCGGGGATCGTTAGTCCCCCTCGCAAAAAAGACATTGGGGCCATCGGAGACGGGAGGAAGAGGAAGAGCCCAGAGTTCGAGGATAACGTTCGTCGTCATCCTTTTTTCTTTGGCGCATATACGCAGACTGCTGATCGCTCGCGGACGTTTTCAGCATGTCGAACAGCTCTTGCGTGCTTTGAACTTGAACTCGCCTGTAGCTGGCGGTCAGGGTTCTGCATGCTCTCCCCCTCGTGAGCAATCAGCGGACGCGACCGGCGGCTCTCCGGACTTGTCTCCCACTTCGACCACGTCCACCCTCCTCACACCTACAGACCTTTCGCCCGCCAAGTCTCCATTCGAGTTAAAACTGAATGCACCCTACGAGGTACCTGCTGTACCTACTGTTAATGTGTCTTCATCTTCTCTCTTGCTCGAGCACGGCTTACCTTTGAGAAATCGCGAATATATGCTTTCCGCTACTCACAACAGCCCTCACGGGAGGGTTCTTGGTGCACACGTCCCATACGTTGTGCCCTCCAACAGTTTTGCGTATTTCGATCACTACGCGGAAGACAGTACTGCCATGCTCGGCAATCAATTGCTTCGTGAGGGGATACTGCCTCAACTTGGTCAGCGACCAGACGCCGCTGCGACTTGGCGAGCTCAGCAGTCCTACATCCCGGCCGACTGGTTGACGGAAGATGCATACAACAGACTCAACCTTTCGTCGGGTATGGCCACGGAGGACTCGCCGAAGTCCTCTCTTCCCCATATAGCGCTTGCTTCTCGTCAAGACTCAGCAATGCCGCTTTCTCACGAGGTCGGTGGAGCCTGTAATGAACCCTTTGCACCCGCTGATACACGATTTTGCAGCCCATCAACTTCTTGTCCCTGCTTCATCCCTCCTCCTCTCCCCCCTACCACGTCTTCGTAGCTCGCATCATCAAGTCTTCGGATCAGCAAGCCTCGATCTTTTTGCAACAGAAACTGAAAGTGGCCGATGTTGAAGAGCGGCACAAGATCGTCGATGCGATTTGCGCGCGAGGCTTCGAGATGATGTCACACCGGTAACTTGGGTCGCTCTCGGCATTTTTTGACTCGGAAAGGCTAACGACCCATTATGTAGTTTTGGAAATTGGGCTGTACAGAGGTGCCTCGACGTCGCGGCAACGCCGGAAGAGAGGCGCAAGATCGTTGCCTGCATGAGGTTTGGTTTGTATCCGCATCTTCGGTACCGTCCACTCACGCTTTTCACCACGTGTGTAGAGGTCGGGTCGTCGATCTCGCTACTAATTGCTATGGATGCCACGTTCTCCAAAAGGCATTGGATTGCGAGGAAGATATTAGGCTTTTGATCGTCTCGGAACTTCTTCTTGGAGATCCTGCGTTGACGCTGACGAACAAACACGCCTCCCATGTTTGGAGTAAGGTATGCCAATCCCAGCACTGCCGCGGTAATGGACCTGACAAAGTTAGATCATGGAGCTGACCTGGACACCTCCGGCGCCTCCGATCTTTGCATAGTATGTACTCTGCGCCCCGAGCTGCAGTGCAGATATTGATAGTTATCCACGCACTTTATAGCGTCAACAAGTCTTTGAAGGGCAAGTGGGCCTCGCTTGCTTGCCACGAGACGGGTTCTCTTGTCGTTCAGGTACGGTCATTATGGAAATTTGTGGTACAAGCATGCTCATTCACATACAGCATGCGTTTGAGAACCTGGAAGAGTCCGCCAAAGACGGTATCGTTGACGAGTTGCTCAATCAAGGTCCTGCCGTTTTTGCTGAGATTTGTAAGAACCAATGGGGTTCGTACTGCATCCAACACAGTGAGTTTTCGGACTCTCAGCGTAAAAGACAATGTCGTGATCGTTTCCCAGTTCTCGAGCACGGTTCGCAAAAGCATCGTCAGATGTGCCTCGACCATCTCATCAACGATTTGCTCGACTTCGCTACCAATGAACAGGGATTCAAGTCTGTCACGCGGGCGTTTAAGGAGGCTGACTCTGAGACCACGGCGAGGATGGTAAAGAGGATGTGCGAACCAGCAAAAGGGTATGAGGTCGCCAGTCTGCTTGTCCGTCATTGACATCTTGCCAGGGGTCGCCGTGCCATGATCGTGGATCTCGCCCTTTCGGTCACTGGAAGTCAACTGATTGCAAGCATCTTGCCCCAGGTATTTGTACGGCTTTTAGAAAGAACCAAATGTTGAGTCTTCGTAGGCTGACAACGACCAACGCGCCCTTTTGTATGATTGTATTCGGGGCCACATCGTGACTTTGCGCGGCTGCAAGACCGGCTCAAAGGTTATCTGGCTATTGTACGTCTCTTCTTTATGGTACCGTGCATCGAAATACTAATGCGGTGTGCAGCGACAGGATGGTTAGCGTTGCGATCTAATCCATAGGTTTGCCTCTTTGCTGATCTGTGATCCAGCGTGCGTACTATGGCTACTAAAGACATGATGGACCTTCATATATTCCATGGCCGAGGGGTATCCGTCGACTCCGCGTTCTGCCTTGGCCCTTTTCAGGTTCATATCTAGGAGCAAGCCTCGGTTTATCTTCCCTATCCATCACGGAAACTACGATTCGAATCAGTCGTACCAGCATCGTATCATTTCCACAACGAAAGCCCTCGCAAGATCCTGCTCAGTACATTCTACCTGCCGCCATCAAGGTCAAGTCTTCATATATCCAGATTCGATTCTCGCCGAACGATATCATGCATCCAACTGGCAAAGCATCAAAAACCTCATTTTATTTATGCTTATTTCGCACCTATCAAAGCAAACGCTTCTTCTCTCGTATTTCATTTACTTTTGCGCATCATTCCCGATCCCTTTCGTTGCCAAACGGGGGATTTGCTTCTCGTCCGGAATACGAGAGTTAAAGGGCGCTGTACCCATGTATGTGTCTCGATTTTCTCCATCAGAATTCTCAGCCCAACCATTGCATGGACCTTATATGCTGTACAATCAAATCACCTCATTGCAATTCCATAGACGTATGTATTAGAAGGTGTGTTCCCCACGTTAGGGCGTAGTTGTCAGGGTAAGGGTGTTAGGCATATCATGTGAGGTCGTTAGTCGTTACAGGAGAAGACACGAGAGCGCGAAGTTTCTACGAGGCCTGTGGTAGTAAGGGTATCAAAAGAAATATGGAACTGATGCGCGAGATACGATGGGAATACAAGTAATACATGCCGAGCTGAAAATGGATGGTCATACAGACAGTTTGGAAGGGAGAGTCCCCTGTGCCAGAGCTTCGCACTTCATTTCCTGTGTCTCTGCTCGTTCTATCGTCTTGTTCAACTTTTCCTCGCGCTCTTGCATCCTCTGCTCCATCCCTAATATCAGCAAACGGACCTGCTCGAACTGTGCGCGGGTGGCTTCGACAGACATCGGAGTCGGTGAAGCACTTTGTCCGGAAGACTCCATGGTTGATGGAAGTTGTGCGCGGTGGAGGTACGTGCCCATTCCCATGCGTGCCGAGGACGCGGACGAGGGAGTGATGTCAAGGACGGACTATGAATAACGTAGTTCAGTAATTTGGGGAGGTGGCAACAAGAGATCGGGAGCGTTACCTGCCAATTCTCTCCTGCGACTTTAGCGAGTGCCTGTTCGAGAAGTTTTTCACGGGTTTTAATCCTGGTGGATGCAAGGTGGTCAGTAGACAGATAGCAAAGAGGGTGATGTGGTAGGCTAGAAGTGGACTAATTGTGATTGGCCAGAAGAGCTTACCGATCGATTTCAGCCATGCACCGTTCGTTCTCGCGTTGCGTGCCTTGGAGGAGCAACTCCAGATTCCTACGTTCCTTTTCGTATTCTTGGAACTTTTCGATGGATGGGCGTTGTGCAAGTTGGGCTTGGAGGCTTAAAATGGTCGTTTGGAGCTACATACAGTTATTGTCAAGAGACGCGTCGGAAGGCAGGGGTGTAGTTACTTTGTCGTTCTCGCGATCTTTGTCGAGAAGTTGTTTCCGGAGAACGTCTTCGACGGGTTCTTCTGAGGACTCACGGAGGACACCGAGGTCGTCTGCAGCGATGGAGGCTGATGGTTGTTTGTTGTATGTCCTAACGCTTTGAGTTCGGCGCATCGTCGCCATGGTGTATGTACCGCAGCCGTAGAGTGGTGGTTCAAAAGGGGCGCGTGGGGCGTGTTGGGGAGAGCCACGTGATTTGGGGAGGGACAGGGGTTATTTATCCCGATATAGGGTATAATTCCTGTGGGGGTGATGAGAGGTCTCTTTGTCGACACATTCACACAAGTTGACCGACACAAGCTCGTCTTTGTTTCATTTTTCTCATCTAAACCGTACAGAACGATATCCAAGGGTGAGGAGACGATCGATACGGCGACGGGGGTGCAGGCTGTCTTGCGCCACCCCCCTTTTTGGCCGTAAATGGCAACGATGAGAGCATGTCGACTCTGATTTTTCCGCACGCCCACTCAGTGACAATTACTGCTAGGCCCTTTCCACGAGGCTACTCACCGCTGACGACAGCGACGACGCTTATACGAGATAACGACGGCATCACGCTATGGACGAATCAAAGCCCGTTTACTCGGCTTCGAAGCTCGGTGAATACACCGTCACGGGGGACATCGCGGAAGGAACGTTTGGAAAGGTCAAAAGTGCGTTCTCTGCCCTCCGTTCCATCGGTGGTGCATCTTGCTGTATTGTGTGGGAGGGCTCATTGTTTGTTACATCAAGTGGCGATACACACTATCACGGGACAAAGAGTCGCCATGAAGTATATCTCCAAGGCAGTGATCCATATGACCAAGACCAAAACACGCGTTCAACGGGAGGTAGAGTACATGCGGACACTACGGCATCCGCATATTATCAAGCTGTACGTTCACGTTCGTCGATTATCTCTCTTGCCGCGATATTGAATACTTTGGTCGACACGTTGCCGATTCGGGTAGATACGAGGTTATATCCACCCCGACAGATATCATAATTGTACTTGAATATGCCGGTGGAGAGCTATTCAATTACATCGTCGCAAACGGTCGGATGCCGGAAGCGCGAGCACGTCGATTCTTCCAGCAAATCATATCCGGTATCGAGTATAGCCACAAATTGAAGATTGTACACCGGGATTTGAAACCCGAGAACGTTCTACTGGACGACGACTTGAACGTCAAAATCGCAGATTTTGGGCTTTCGAACGAGATAAAGGATGGAGATTTCCTGAAGACGAGCTGTGGAAGTCCGAACTATGCTGCTCCGGAGGTGATCCGAGGAGGCTTGTACACCGGTCCTGAGATTGATGTCTGGAGCTGTGGGGTCATCCTTTATGTCATGCTCTGCGGGAGGCTGCCCTTTGAGGATGAGGATGTCCAAACTTTGTTCACCAAAATCAGCCGTGCGCATGCTCGTTTCGTTCTCCGTCGAGTTGGTGCTGACTATTCGTCTTTTCATTGGTAGAGGGGAGTTACCATATACCTTCTTATCTTAGTCCGGATGCGCGTGGGTTAATTAATTCCATGCTTGCTGTGGACCCAGTAAAGCGGATTACCGTTCCCGAAATAACACAACATCCCTTTTATACGACTGATCTTCCGCGGTACCTCACCCCTCTTCCTCCGCCTCCTGGACCTGTATTGGGCACCCTCTCGTCGCTCGTCGTTCAACCCAAGGCACTGGACTTCGAAATCATCGAGGGTCTGGGTAGGATTGAGGAGGATGTCGTTGAACACCTTGCGAACACGATGGAAGGGGTGGACAAGGAAGATATATGGGAGTGTTTGCGGAGAGACGATGGTCCGCAAGGAAACGCCGTCAAGGTAGCGTATATGTTGCTACGTGATAAGCGCAGACTTGGAAGAGATTGTAAGTGTTTTGTTTCCCACCCCGACTTGCTCACTCTTAATGATAACTTAATCTAGTGGCGTCATTCGAGGAACAAGAAAGAGATGCAAAACTTGCTGCTATGGACGTAGGTCTAGTCCTTAATTGTATACTTATTCGTGAGGCTTATTTGTGTGGCCACAGCCGCGAAATACTATGTCGCCTGCCGCTCTGTCACCTGCCACTGACCTGGAAGATAACCCTTTTGAAGCTGAATTTAACGGTGATTCCGACGATGACGACCGAGACGACGGCCTTGACTTCTCCACGCCTTCCGTGAACGGCGAATGCAACAACTTTGCTGTCCTCAATTCGTCCCTTCCTCTTCCGGATCAACTACCTGAACAACATCACCTCGCATCATACGCAAATGCCAAACGCACGTGGCCGGTTAAAGAGAAAAAGCAACATCGTGCAAAATGGCACTTCGGCATTCGCAGCCGGTCGCCACCTATGGAGGTTATGCTCGAAATATACCGGACGCTGAAGACGCTCGGTATGGAGTGGAAGGAAAAACGAAACCTTGGTGGTTTGGGAGGAGTGCGACGACAACGATCTGGTACGAATGGTAGTCAAGATCGAACGAGCGACGCAATTTGATGGGAACGCACCTGTGGATCTGAGAGCGGCCTCGAGTGTCTATTTCGTTGAGACGCGTGCACGGGTACAAGATGTGGTGGTAAGGACCTTCCTATCCTTGCACCATCGCGGAAGTTCATGATTTTCCCACTTATCTAGGTTCTCATGAATCTACAATTATACATGGTCGACTCGATAAATTACCTCGTCGATTTCCACCACAAAAAGACCTACAAAGCGTCTTCAGAATCAGGCGCCGGAAAATTCGATATGGCGAATCCGGATACCGTCATTCCTGATTCGAGCTCGGACGGGCGATCCATCAAGGACAAAGATCCGCTCGCAATCAAGGAGGACGAGGTCGTATCACCGTTTGTGTTCATGGACGTAGCGTGCCGACTCATCCTCGAACTCGCCGGTGGTGGCGAGTAGTCCTCGGGCGCCGCTGCATACAGTGCAAGTATAGAGAGAAAGATACCTCAGTTTAGTCAGTTAGGTGTGTTCTCGTTGTCCTCTACATGGATGATACGAGTTCTCATCCATATAGATTGCTTTCCTTGTCTCACTCGTTTGTCTTTATTTCTTCGTTCACGACCACGAAGATGTGCAATAGCCCTACCCTCTCACATATGTACTGCTATCTGTTTCGGATTTTCTTTTTTTGCTTGTACGTTTTTTGTCATATCATGCACGTTGAGCCCTCGTGATATCTTCCGCTTTGTCATGTATTCGTGCTATTTGACTCAAATCAGTAGATGTAGCGATGCTGCGTACGAGTTTTTTCTTTCTTTGCGGTTACATGTTTGGGAATGGGGTGGAGCTTGCATCATCGTTGGCTCATCCTTCACCCGGCCTACCTTGGCACGTGTGGATGGTGGAGCACTGACCACTCTGTCACGGAGTGGCTACCCCCAGTTTCCCAGTAGAACTGAATTGAAATCGAGTCTGCATGGTACGGGACAACACACGGCATGACCTGGGGGGTCCCTTGCACCTGTTTTCCAAGACATCGAAGAAATAAATGTCAGGCCTTCCCAACACTGAAGAACCGAATTCCAAGCCGACCCCTCCCCTGACTACCATGAGAGCTCTCCATGGAGTGCGAGTAAGTTATCAAGCGAGGGCTGAGGGTAACGGTGATAGCAGACTAGCAGTCACGCGTGCTATTTTGGTCTAATCGATCACGCCCAGATGGTCTTCCTTGATTGTCCCTATAGCGAACTACCGAGCAGGTTAGACAAAGCAAAGCAGGAAATTCAGAGAACGAACAATTTCCGTGGCGTCTACACGAGTACCGACTATCTTCAATCGCACACGCGTATTTTTCTCGATGATCTACAGACACCCATGAGGTAACACCACATATGATCATGAACACCCTAATACCTGGTCATCCGAAGCGAATGATGGAGGGTTAGAATTAGGGTCGAATTTCATGTCGGGATGTATGAGCTGCGGAAGATCAACATGAGGGTGGATTTTATTAGTGCCACAGGCGAGCATATGCACCTGATGTGATACGAAGACTTGTAGAGGTCCCACGTCGGCAAAGAAACCCATCTACTTGGTCTCATTAAAGCACGCTCTCGAATTCAGAAACACAGACCAGAACAGCACCTTATTCACGTTATTCACTACACCATCGACGACTTCTCCCTTGAACGGCTTGAAAACTATTGCACGGTACCGTGTGACAAACTCTGCCTGTCCACTTCCACTGATGACCATTCCTCTACCGATGTCCAGGATCGAAACAACAGCGATGATGTAGCCATATTGACCTGAACATGTACCTTCGACGTCGGCGTACAGCTTGGACTCCAAGAATTGGAGCATGCGCGGTCCAAAGTAGGACGGGTGGAGCAGGATCGTGTGGGTCAGTTCTTTCTGTGAAAGCAGGTTAGTCTCATAATTAGAGAGACACAAAATGCTTACGATGAAGAACATGACAAAGATACAACTGTTTTGCACGACGTCCCCTGATCGAGGTGTGCGCTCAAAACAAACGTACCCCCAGTCTAGGGGTTGATTAGGTAATCTCTGTCGTCATTCCAACTTCCGAGTTTTGCGTCGTAGAGTAGGCGCTTACGTTCATGTCTGATAACTCACGTAGTGTTCCGGACGAGGCTTCGCTGCGTAGCGCAGCTGCAACCACTATATTTGATGCCAAGGGACAACCTGTCAAGTTTGGCTCGTTGTTGAGGGAGCCGGTCATTGTCGTTTTCATTCGTGTGTGATGGAGCTACCAACGCTCTACCCCCTGAACTCATCCCTGCTCCCTTGTCAGGTCATTTCTTCTGTGGGGTAAGTCATGAACCATATGTATTCCACTGATATCGATATATATATTCGCAACAGAGTTGCCAGGTACGCCAGTTGATCATGGATGTTGGACAGAAGTGCCATGTTTTTTGTGGTGCAGCAATACGTCATGCAATTGTCCTCCGTCCGACTTGAGGCACTCTCCAAAGCGAATCGCAAAGTCATCATTGTTGGATGTGGGTCCTATGAAGTTATAGCCGCTTACAAAGGTAACCTTCATTTACCCGTTGGGTTACTGTTTATCCCAGAGCTTTACTTTTCTTCATTTTGAAAGAGACCACATCTTGTCCATTCTCAATCTATGCAGATCCCAAGAGAGAGCTATATCATGCCCTTGGAATGACTATCGAGACTCTTGCTCTTACCCCTGCGAACGAAAAACGTCGCTCGTACCTACAGAAGGGTCTTTTGGGGAACATATTGAGTAGCCTTTGGGTAAGCCAATTTGATGCCAGATTTCCAACTGGAACATTTCTGGACTGGAAATTGAATAGTCCGGCCCACTGAAGAATCCGTCACTCATTGGGAAGCAAGGAAAAATTTCCCAGCTTGGCGGAGAGTTTGTCTTCGACTCAGGTATGTAAGGCTCAATTCTTGGTGATGGCGGCTGGTTCGAAAGACGTGGATTCCTTTTAGACATTACCTGCACTTTTGCATATCGCATGAAGCACACGGAGGACCGTGCGTATATCCCTTTCCCCCTAATCCAAGGTATCTGGTGTGCTGATACACTCAAAGATACTGAAGTGTCTGAGCTGATGCAGGCTGCTGGGGTTGAATACCCTTGAGAGCCCTCTTACAAGCCATACCGAACTAAGTCAACTTATTTGGTATATTCTCTATCTGATGTCCTTTGTATGGTTGTAATATTGTCATACTATCCTGTGAATACGGTGTCGCTGTAAAATGTGGTATAAGACGGTAAATTATGGTGGGTCTCGTCCAATTTTCAGTGTGCCCTGACAACTTCCCCACATTTCCCGTAGAACATGACCATTTCATACAAGCATACAAATGTATGCATATCTGCGAAGTCGTATTATACATGTGGTAAGTGAGATTGGAGCCATTATGCCATGTATTCCTCCCGCAACAATACCGACACACTGAAGTTCAACTCGGCTCTCATCGTAATCTCTTCGGCCCCTGATTGGACCGACACCCCTCCCCTCATAACAAACACTTTCGACTCCACCCTATCAAAAAGTGACATCGGAATAGGTGTCCACACATTTGCGAACCAGCCACAAACGCCATCTTTATCCTGCACAGGCTGCCAGCTCTTGTCGATGTGCACACCATCTTTAGCTTTCACGACCGCTGGTCCATTATTCGCATTTTCCAGCCTGGCGCCCTTATAGGACGTATAAAGTTGGGAAGTCCGCTTTGGTTTGTACTGCCCAGTAACCGGGATGGTACGACACGTTAAATCGATGTGGGTGACTGTTGGAGCTTTCCAAATGTTAAATTTGTCTTGTTTCAGACACCTGATGAAGAGCTGACTCGGGAATGAATAATATTCTCTGTACGTCGGATTGTGAACCCAGTTGGTGATTGGTGATGCGAAGGTACTGACCCTTTACGTCCGTCCCAGAGTGTTATGTCCGAGCGTGGAGTGTAGATGATCAAGCTGAGATCTTCGTCAACGTAGAACGTTATTTTCGGTTCGTTCATGAAGCATTCGCAGTCGCTCTCGTCGGTAGAATCCTCCAAATCAGGGCTAAGATTCCTAAGCATGGGCGGCGGAGAACGTTCTAATTCTTCATCCTGCAGAGCCGGTCTTTGAAGAGGCGAGGCTGTGACGTGGAAATCTGCACCTCCATCGTCATTCAACGTGGTTAGGTTCATACCATCGGATGATTGGCAAGGCACCGCAGCTACTAGAACGGCGGCAGGGATAACAGTGTGCCCGCTCTCTTCCTCTTCAGCTGTATTCCCAAGCACCGAACGAGAAGCTGTGAGTTCGCTCTCGTGACCTATCCTCCTTTTCGGTACAATTTTGAGAGGCTTGATATTTGCCGCAGGCTCTGATGGCACGCTGGTGCTGCTACGGTGCCCCGCCACATAAACTCGCCTCTTCGTGTGTTCCCTTGGACCTTTCTGCTCGACACGCCTCTTGATGGTCCTGAGGCTAGATACGCGAACGGTGTCAATGAAACCAGAGGAACTGGTTCCACAAAAGGACCGAGCATAGTGGACGGGAGGGTTTCTCCTCTCCCTCTGCGGAGCATTTTCAGCCCGTCGGGTAGTATTACGATGGGTAGCGGCTTCACCCAGAACCTTGATAAACGCGCTTTCTGTCCTGTGAAAGATACGCTTGAAGGCAGCGCTAATTGTGGCGTAGCGTGCCGCATGTTTCAAGCGACGCTCGGTGGATGGATAGAGCCTCTTCCGCGTGGATCCCGGCATTCTAAGAGTGGTGGCGGAGGGAAGACGTGGAGGTAGTGGCGCGTCCATGACGGTGTTTCCTGTCATTTTTTACGCGATCGTTGGTTGGGCACCCAATCTGCCGTGGCACATGCCAGTGAAAATGGATGGTTGATCGCTCTGGAGACGAAAACTACGAGATGGTCAGTATCGCAATTTATCGTGGCCGTGCAGAAGCTTGGTCAACTAGGCTTGCCGGAAGCTGTTGTTTTCTGAGTTGCTTTGAAAGGACAGAAGGCGCCACCGGTTGATGGGGCAACCTCCTTAAACCGAGGACCTGAGTGCGTACCTAAGTAATAATGTCGGATGCGGAAGGGCGACAACATATGCACTGCTTTGTCCGTCCCGGGTAGTATGGTTCTTTTATGTCGCGATTTGGTTTCAAAGAAAATGGGACCTGAATATGATGTCGAAAAAAGTAAGACTCGCTCCGGGTCGAGGAATGGATCAACAGTAAGTAGATACCCGAGACCAGTTTCTTGCTCCCACATGACTTAGCATGTAGTTTGCTTGTTAGTCTCGAATGACATGGCCAGTGAAACTGGTCGACCAGGATAAGACATAGGAATGTCGTCAAGAGCCGGGGACAATGGCCGAGACTTCGCCAGAAGATGCTAGTCGTGTGGAAGGAAAGAATGTCGAGAATTCCGTGGGTTGACAAAGCTTCTATGCGACTGGTCAGCTATATTTACTGGGTGCACAACATACTTACTTACCAGGAAATCACATGAGCCTTATTATCAGAAGAGTACTGCGGAATATTTTCGGGAGAAATGGTACACCTTGCCTGGAGTCAGGAGACGAATGACAACCGCGCAAGGTAATAATAACTTGACACACAGCACAGGTTACCATGACCATGCCATAACGTGTCCCCGGGACCTGGATATAATTGAGTACTTGCGGATACCGGGCCAGGATGGGCGCTGATTCGTTTGAAAGCTGCAACTTCGTCGGACGAACATCTCGAGACAATTTTGACTAGTCGAACCAACGTCAAACCACCGTAAATGAATGCCCTTTGGGCACCCCATGCGAAGCAGACTCAACATTCGAGTGTCAGATATTCAGACCTGGATTAATTGCACCTCGAGGAACTACTTAACAGCTCGAGAAACACTGGTCCCTCAGTCCGCGCCAGGTCGCGCGTCGGAGTTTGTAATTTGGGCGGGCACCACGGCCCTCAGAGTAAGCGATTGGTTCGGCAATGTTCGGCGAGTTGGTTCTGAAGTGAACCCCTAAGTCGACAGGAGTCTGCCACATTACAGTAGAAAAACATAGGAAGTATGTATTCTGATACATGAAGCACCCTAGACAGTCCTCTTCAGTGACCTATAACTACTCGAGCTCGGTAATGAGAATGTTAATGCAATGCGATAGTGGTAGGGAATGATGAAGACGTCGGTATGGAGGTAGACAAAGTAGTAGGAAACCCGTACTTATCGACGTCCACCTTCTCCGTACCACTCTCATTGTTCCAGACCGATGGAAGCCGTCCGACTCTGGTTTCTCCACTTCATCGCCAGTAGAAGGCGTTTGAGCGGGGAGGGGAAGGGATTTGCCCCCGACTTGGTCTTCGTCTGATGTGAGTTGGATCGGTACCAAACGTCGCTGGTGAGGATTCTGGTGCTGATTTCGCTGGCTGTGGAGTACGGGGATGGCGAGGAGTAGGCTGCTCATTGACATCGACGCCGACACCGCTTTCGTCCCGTCTCATCAATAGCAGAGCGAAAACAGACAAAAACCTCCATGTCGAAGCAGTCTCGCGCAGTGGTCGCCAGGGGCTTCTCGCGCAATATGCGGTAACCCTGTGCCGCAAATGCCAGTACGACATCTCGGTGCATATTGTGCTGGGCGGTAACGATAACAGCATCGACCAACCTCCTTCCTGGTGTTTCAATGGTCTTAGCGGATGCTGTAAAGGTCCTGTCAATGGTCGAACACGAGTGCACTGTCGAGTTTGTGCGCCTGGGCGAATGACTGAGTCGTGTTCTTGCGAGGTTCTGAGAGAGCTACGACTCGAGTGCATAACTAACGTATCCCTGTCAACGTGGATGCATCGGTAGCTTATCAGCATGCCTCCGCACAGAGGGAAGGTCGCATACCTTACCATGCTCACCGCAACCGACAACGGCGAGAGTAACCAGCTGTCTGGATTCTTTGGCAGCAGCAGTGGCCATGGTATGCGGGTGGCTGGAAAGAGATACTGTAGAACGACCTGCACCGTACGACGTCACCAGACTGCTATCACCGGAGTGATGTGAGGTTATATAGCCACCATGGCCTCGAACGGTATCGCTAAGCCAGTGCCTACATCATGTATGTTTACCAGAGTGACTTCGCGGCTAAGAGTCGGGACAGTTCATGCCTCGCCTCCTACCGCGTCTCATCAAAAAGCTCAAGGAAACCCCACTTGGAGAACCGCGACCAAGGCTATCTGGACAAAAGGGAACATGTTCCATCACGAAAGAAGAGGAGTTTTCAACCGATACCTGAACGATCCATCGTACAGCGTGGCGGGCAGAGTACAGTCTATCTTACTCGACGACCAGAGCCCGGTGACCGACAGCCAGGGCGTATATCAGACACAAAGGCCTCTCTCCTCGCATCCTCGTTCCTCCAGTCAAGGCCGCCGGTGATAATGCAGAATCTCACGTCCCGAGGGAGATGACGGCTCAGGAGCGGGAGTGGTGGTCCTAGCCCATACCGTACGTGCTACCATGTATTCCAAGCAAGCCTTGGTCTGTTCACCGGCTCGTAGTCAGGATGCTCTCCAGTCCCATACGATGGTGCGCCATCCTCGCGAAGGCACATGCCTAGTGGTAGATCCCGCAAAGTTGTCGCTAACAAAATTTGTGCTCATTCATTGCCAGACTTTCTCATTCGCCTCACTCCACTCCAATTGCCTGTTCCTCGTGGAGCCAAATCCCTCCAAGTCTGGATGCCGGACTGGGCTCGAACACCCGAAATTCAGAGGGCGGAAGGGCCAGTTGGCAATGTACCTGACGTGCTGGAAGGACATCTTCTCACCTGAAAATTTCAGTCGAAGTAAGATTGATTGGAGGTCTAGCCCAATTCTTCACTCACTCTCAGCTGTCTTTTCCAGTTGCCCCACCACGGGCGGCTCCCAAGGGAATATTCCACAAGTTGCTGGCCACACAAATTAGCCATCTCCTCCGACTAAGGATAATTCAAGAAGCTACAGTTGTTGGAAGAAAGGCTTTTGCGTCGTTCGAGACACGATGACCAAGAAGCTACTATCCTTCGTAGGCTTACACGGGCGGAATTCAAGGAACTGCGGGAAACGGGAGAAATTCCTCACCGAGATGCCGTAGCTGTCGTGGTCGCTCCTCCAGTTAATAGGGATCGGATCACGAAAAATAAGCCGGCTGCTTCGATCGAACCTGAAGTTCCGTCCGACGACCAGCTTGCACCATCCGCATCAGATTTCCACCGCGAAGGTACAATTACCACTATCAATACTACACAAAGTTCAATGCCACCTGCCTGAAGAAGAGGAACATCCATTTTCAAGCCTGGTGTCCGACTGCACAAGTCCCACTTTATAATGGGTTAACTATGTTCCCATCTGCACCACAAAGGGCCATGCTACATAAAGCACTATGCAAGGTTTTGAATGCAGAGAGGCGCAGTCGGTTGGGGCAATCATCAACCAGTTCAGACGACAACCGGCGAAAAGAATCGACACCCGGCTTGCGAAAGAAGGAAGCCATGCATTCCTTCTCATTTCGAATGAGCGCACTGTTAAACGCTGCGGACTCTGCTGCATTGGCCATTGCCCTGTGGAGACTGCGGATGTGGGAAGGCGATGCATACCAAGGTCTGGTTTGTAGCGGTGGCTGGGAGGTGGATGGGGAGTGGCGGATGAATTACTTGCAAGAGAAACCTGTGATCAAGCGCATCGTAATGAAGGGATACATTAGTTCTCTATATTACGCGTTCTTACTCGACGGTCATGAGTACAGGGTCTATGACATTCGTCCCGTCACTGCAGCGGGCAGCACTTCGCGGCCTTCCCAGAACTTGGGGAGTTGGTCGCCTGGCACGAGTGTCTTTTTACACTATTTTCGGTGGTGACACGCATACGTACGACGCCTTCGGACGAGCCGTCTCGTTTTATGGCAAGGGCGAGTGCCGCCAGGAATGTAAGTTCAAGCGATGAGCAGTGTCCCAAGTCAACGTGTTGTTCTTAAACGAATCGAATGGCCTCGTCTCTACCCTAACCTTCCCGATAGGTAGCATCGCAGTAATCATAGACGTAGGTAGAGTCGGAACCTGGGCTCTGTAGGATCAGTCTATCGGCGTCGGGCGACGTGTGGTGTTAGAAGACGGTTTGGTGAGTGTGTGCTACGCGATGGATTTGTAAGCAGGGTTTTAGGAGTTTTTCCGGAGTACGCGTTCACCGCACTGAACGCCATGGACTCCTCCTGGCAAATACGTTTCGAGAGCGAATCATGCATCACTAACAATCCGCAATAGTAGGGCATTCAAGCTTCAAATACTGTAATATCGTACCACTACACACTTTCTAGGACTGACCCTTGCAACCCCTTGGCAACTAAAAATGCGTTCCTAGAAGAAGTTCGTTGCTCCATGACATACAACGCGCAATGGCGAAAGGAAAGCCAGACATGACTAACATTTCTAGGGATAATTTCTGATGGAGCGCGGGAGGAACGGTTATTTGCCCGCATGCAACCCTGGTAACAATCGAAACCACAGTCGTTTGTTATCTGCAGTCGATTTGCTGTGTTGACAGTGTCATCGGCCCCACAATTACTAGCATTGGCACATGGGTCAACGGTATGGCTTTTACGAGTCATGAAATTACTACGTGCTGCTCATGGGCCTTCAAATCTCGCAGGTAAAACGATCATCTTCGAGGTTTAACCCACAGCCGAACTAGCGATTATTGTCCTTGAAAATTAACAGCTTGGGTGGTGTATGTGTTCTGGCCTTCATAGCTTAAACAGGATAGCCAAAGCACATGCCTTCAACCTTCAATAAAGTTCAGGAGTCGTCGCGTCGTAACGCCGCCTCAACTGTGATGAGTGTTGTACGTAGCAACGAAACTTCTATTGGGGGAGACTACGAGCTCAATCTTCACTTCTCAAGGCTTCCTTCTGCCTTGTATGACTTAGCACGACATGTCAACCTACTGCGTTGCTGCCAAGTTCGTTGCTAAACTTTGGACCATGCAATGCAGTTGATGATAGCTGTGTGCTGGGGCTGGTTGCTGTAAATCGGATTGGAAATTCTGTCGATTCTAGCACTCGAAGGCAATTCCTCATCTGCATCGGGGACAAGGGCTGATATCGCTATTTCCATCTGAAGGAGAAACCTTCGATCTGAATTACAAGGTACATTTTCCAAAGAGCCTTTATCCATTCGTCTTCGACCGCACCACATCTCGAAGCTCTATGGTCTGATTGTCCTACTCTACGCGAAAGGGAAACATTAACTGAGTCGCACTGTTTTCAGTCAAAGAAATGTTGGTTTGTTCCCACGTCGTGCAAACTCTCAACCCGTCGAATGCACGTCAATCGGAAGCGCTACTTCCATTCGAAGTATCCTAAAATTGATGTCCACACCGACTGTTGGAAGTGACTACAGCATGGCTGGTCGAGTCAGTGCCTGCCATGACAACTGGAAAGCCGAACGGTGATTCTATTGAATGGAGTAGGCTGTAGCTCGTCCGTACAGCCAGGCAACTGTAAAAATTGGTGAATGCGAAGCACCAACTTTACAGCACTGTTACGGCATGAAAAAAGCTGAGGAATAGTCGCAAGGACACCCCTAGGTGTTTCACCTTCGACAGAAGAAGAGGGAGGCGGTGAGTCTGTCATACTAGATACTATTTGTGAGAGAGTCGAAGATCAGAACGAATTATCACAGGATGGAAGACAGGGCTATGGCTGACGGCAGATATTTGGCAAGCTGTAATACAGCGATGCTCATCGCTTTGTGCAACCTTGGCTGTAGTTCCTGTACTTGGCCAATATATAGGTATTCAGTGTTTCTGCGATTGTTCATTATCTCGCTCTTGGTCTCTCGTCTTTCGCGAAGGCCATCTACTCACCTGTTGTCCACGCACGCTCTGTTTCACGCACTTGTGAATCTTACCAAACCCTGCGGTTCAAATTGCCCTGCTCACGTTCGAATAGTGAAGTAATGTCGTCTCCTCAGCAGTAAGTGGTGTCATTTTCGTTTCAATCGTTATTTCGTTTGGTTCACTAGAGGCTACAGCAAGGCGTCCGCGAACTGCCCAGCAACCCCATGCCCCTATGTGGCTTCAGACAACACTCCATGTTCCACGTACATTACGTGCACAACTGCTGCTAGACACTTCAGGTCTGTGCATGGGGTTGAACTTTCGTCTCCGGATGCAACGTTGCAGTGTAGGTGGCAAGGTTGCGGAAATACCATCGAAAAGCGCAACCTCGTGCGTCATGTACAGGGTGCTCATTTACAGCATGGGAAAGGTGGTCCCCATTCTTGAGAATTGCAGAATTTAGACCAAGTGTTCCCTACTTAATTGTGTCGTAGAACTGCGTTAGAAGTACATATGTGTTCGCATGTCACTTAGATAATTGTCGAGGTTAGGCCCGTTTTGAATTGTAGAAGGCACGATTGTTCCGCGAAGGAGTTTATTACAACGGGTGAGACGCGAGGGGTATCTGGGGACGCTGCCGCGATCGGGCCCGTTTTTCTGTCAGGTACCCAACGCGTTCTGCCATTCGGCATCACGGATGACATCCAGTATATAAGGTTGGTTTGATGACACGGCCTATTTAGGAGGGAAATGTTCAATGTCGGCATACAGCATAGAGGTAATGTCCGTACCAAAGACACAGTCGTCACCTGCGTAGGATGAACACGATTTCAGTTTGGACGCTCTATACATATGCATAGGATATAGCGCGCACCAACCACAACTTGCCACCGACCACCCCTAAGAGTTTGATACCGCGCGCCATACGCACATTCCAGAACACATTCATCGTTAAGCCGCTCATACACGAATGAAATTCTCTCTGCTAGAAAGGGTGTTGGAAAGTGTAATCGCAGCTTTGATAGACCCGCCTCTCGTCGTCGCCCAAGGCAGCCGGCTAACTCATCGATAAAGGCCTTTAAACCAGATATCCATTGATAGTTAGGCTTTCAAGGTGGTGCCAGTGGCAAACCGTGTCTGAACTCTCTGCAGAACGAAGGATTGCAATTGTGTGGTCCTTTGAGAGTGTCAAGTGACGCACAGCAGGGAATGCCAGACATAAAGACTCTGATGCGGTATCGTGACCAGGAAATTCGCGATGCAAGTCAAGATGATCAACGTTGCTGAACTTGCCAATAGCGCCCGCGAAAGTGTCATGCAGCGATGGAACGGAGCGGAGCCACCGACCATGAAATCGCTTGAGTCTAGCCGCCACGATGGCACACATCAGCTCAGCCGAGAGACCAATTTCGCACGCGAGCTTTTCGAGAAGAGGGAATCGAAGACTATTGGGAGGGAACTGCCCGAAGTCGATGGAGACACCACCTTCAAGACACAGAGATGTTAGTCTCTAGTAGTGCGTGCATTCAAGAAGGAACGTAGAACTGATTTCGCTCTGAGAAGGGAGGTAGAGTCTTAAGGCCAGCGTCTTGACGCTAGAAGGTATCTCGCAGCCCATTAGCACTCTAATTGCTCCAGAAAGGTAGATGTCTTCTATACGGGGGGCACATTTGGGCAGAAGGAATGGCAAGTCAAACTGATGCGGAGGGCAGCTAGGAACATCCGCAATCGAAACGGATGTTAACGAAGGAAGGGACAGATGGTTAAACCTTCCCAGGACTAGCAATGCTGGAAAAGAGGCATCCGACAATACAGTGAGGCTGCGCCAGCGTTCTGCGCAAGTAGCGACAAGGTCAAGCAATGGTATAAACGATTCGCCTTGAGTCATTATCCATCCACTACGAGAGTCGATTTCGATGTCCAGTAGTGATTCAGAGCTCCGCGTGACATGGGCTTCAATGAGCGCTCTGCTCCACGACGAGGATACTTTGATGGTGGTCCACAGACATGGTATGCTCCAGATCGCATTTCTCCACCGCCTCGACACCCCCGCCAGCACTCCTTTCCGACGCACACGAAAATCCAGGTCGTCCACGCCCCGAATGATTAACTCGAAAATTTGCAAAAGCATCTCGTTAGGGAGGCGGTTGATAGGAGACACAGGTAACCGCCTGATGGATTCCTCGATTTTGTGCCTCTGCAAGTCGAGGGCAGCGCGGACATCATTGAACTCTGCAGTGAGTTCTCGTTCCCGCCTCTCCAATGTGGCCAGCACTGCACGTGCCTCAGCAAGTTCATTCACGGCCAAGCTAGTATCAGGATCGCGTCAGCAACACTTGAATAGTGTCTGGACATCGAACAGGTACCTTGGCTGCTGCATTTGATCGATGATTTGTAAGCACATGACAAGAAGGGTAACGTAGACAAGAGGCGCCTCGCTTCGCTCCGGCGCTGGAGACAAAGACGAAGCCGGTAGTACTCGGTAGGACACAAATTAAGCTTCACGCAACTGTGAAGGACACAGTCTCCACACCTCGCTTATTAGCGCCCCGCACATCAGGAAAATAACACTTTACTATTTTTGACTTTTTGTGACTAAATGTGACTTTTTGGGAAGGAATCTACTATCATTACCCATGTCCTGCAGGCATGGCTGCATTGTTGGAGGTTCCAAAGAGATATTGTGATTTTTCTCTCAGACAGTGTGCATCACACCAATGGCTCAATATCTCTGAATTTTCAGACATTTTCTAGTCTTCTTGGCTTAGATATATCATCACTTAGTTGTCTCAATAGATTCTGTTCTCTTTTCATTCTTCAAAATGCTGTATATGGTCAAAAAAAAAGTACAGATAGTGGGTTCCTTCCCAAAAAGTCACAAATAGTCACAATAGTCACAAAAAAGTCAAAAAAAAGTCACAAAAAGGTCAAAAATAGTAAAGTGTTAATTTCCTGATGCATGGGGCAGGATAATAATATCTGATGGTCCTGGCAGCAGGGTACATGTGTGGATGTAACTTCAAACAATGCAGATACATACACCAAATTCAGGATTCAAATATATAGGAAGGTCAGCATGTGGTCATGTATCCCATTCCACCATCTTCTGTGTGACTGTGTACATATTGGCAGGTGCAACTACTTCATTCCTCGTCAATGTCAGCCTCAGGGACTGATGCAGTACAGCTTCCTTTGCTGCAGCAAAGTTGACTTTTGTTGCTTGCCAGTAGTGGTATTTGCACCAGCCCCAATACTGGTGCCAGTGAACTTCAATGAGCATGATCCACAAACTGCAGAACAAATTACCCACCATTTCTATAGGATTAAGCTCACAGTGGAATTTGGGAAGAAATATGCATTCATGACCAGAATCTTTGATCAGCTGTTCAAGCATTGAAATTTGATTATGGAAGTCATTTTGTTGACTTAAGAGCCAAGCCATGCAGCATCCAGTGCTTTCAAATGGGCAGACAGGGGCACATTTTTCCCATAAGCCATGCACATCAAAACCCCACTCCTCCAAGACAGACTGAAGGCCCCTAGGCTTGCCATCCACTGTTGTCACTTTTTGTACATGCCCACACTTTGAGGAGTCAGGATTTGACTGCAGTATGATTGTGTCACATTGTTTGTGTTGCTTGCTACTGTCACCTTTGTTCATGTCAAATGCCCACAATGCATCAGGAGGCAATGATGCATGTGCTGATGAGTTATCAAAGACAAAGAGTGCTTGACACTCCTCCCCATTCACCTTCTCATGTATTGTTATTGCTGACTTGACTTGTTCCATCAAGTTTTCATGTGTCCACCAACCATCTCCATTCACTCCAGGATAGATTATTCTCCATGCATCTTCAACATTGCCACTTTTGTCTTGCAGCACCAGCTGCCCATCCTCAGAGGTGATGAAGTCTGACACATGGATAAGATGCCCTTGACCTTTCTTTCACAATATCTGCTCATTCAGGCAAAGCCTGGCATCATGTAGCATGCCACCAGTAAGTTTTTAGCATCTGATAGCTAACAAAGACTTACCATGCAGAATTTGCATTGTCATTTGCATGGAAGCAGCACTTGTCATGAAAATATGCCTTAACTTTTTGCTTGCCTACTGTCAAGTTAGGTTCAACCCAGTGAAGGTCTGGCCCTTCAAAGTGGACCATATGCTTCTCGAACTCCTTCATTGCAGGCAAGAAAACTTCCATTCAATACTTGACAACATCCTCACATTTGTGACCATTGTCACACACCAAAGGTGTTTGGTGAGGTGGACATGGATACAGCTGATGAATGGAGATGAAGACCATAGCCCTCATGTGAAGAAGGACAGCCAGAAATGTTGGCAGTCATCCCTCACACAAGAATGAGTCATCAGTGCCAAAGAAAAGGAAAGGGAGTGAGTTAAGCACTGGTTAAAATTCTTAAGCACCTGTGTATGGCATTCCAGTTTTCAACATATCTCTGCTGTTTCTGCAGATACTGAGACCATTCCCACACTCACTTGTAGTGCTCAGCCACGTGATCCTACCTTCCAAAATTGGAAAGGATTTGCATACTCCACACATTTCTACAGCACTCCTGCCAAAAGATGCTCATTTCACTAATTCTTCTGATATGGCCACCTCCACACTAATTCTTCTGATATGGCCACCTCCACATCAATCATTTCACTTGTCCCCTTTGCTAGGGACCATGGCTACATATATCTACCAGGAGTTCCTATCAGCTTCCATCCTGAAGCATCCTGGTACATCCCACCCTCATCTGCACCCTCTCAGCCCATCCAGCTTGGACAGTGTGTTCTTTTTGTCAGTATGACCTCTAGGAGGATGTTCTTTGGTTGCCTCAGGTCTGTCATTCACTTGGAAAGGTCTTATGTGGTCATTTCAGTCTCTCCAGTCCAAGAAGCATATGGATCCTTCCTCCCTGCTCCCTGCAATGTCTTCATACCAGTCTCATCTGTCATTCTTCCAAGATTGTGACAGCTACAGTATAATCTACTGTTCTCCACTCTCCCTGATCACATCCATGATGAGTATGATGCACATCTTGCCTCCTTGTTGCAGGATACAGCAGAAGACACTCCCCCTTCATCCTCTCTTCCAACAGAGCCTCATTCATGAAGTTTTTATTTGCTTCACTGGGAGGATGGTTTGGGCAGGAAAGTTGTGATCCCCTATGCTCCTGTCACCCCACAGACCCCCAAAGCTCAGCCCCTGTTGACATCTGACTCACCCTGTCCACTTTTGGATGTACTGTATCAGCATCAGATCAGCACTGCCTCTCTGTCATCCTACCTTGGCCTAGAAGCGATCTCTTCAAGATGTGACATGCACAGCCTCCCCCTAATGTGATTCCAGTGCACTTTCCCAGTTCCTGACATTACTTGACTCATACTTTGATGTTTTGACTGTCTTTGACTCACCTATTGCCAATACTTACCAATCTTTTAACTTTGCTTACTGATCCTTCGCCTTTTGGCTTGCTAATCCTTACCAATGCTTACCAATGCTTTCTAAGACAATTACCCATCGCTTACATTCCTTACTCATCAGTTACCAATCACTTACCAAGTGTTTGCACCTTGTTTTCCATGGGCAACACCCCTGTACTGTATATAAATCACTGTACTTAGATAGCAAAAAGAGACAAGAAGATGTCAGAGAGCCCCTCTTGCTTGCATTTTATCATCACTCAGTAATTCATTCAGCAGCTTCAATAGTTGAGACTTTATTAAGGGTCTAACTATCATCTACTTTGCTCATCCTTGTCTATCATCAATATACTTTGCTCCAAGCCCTCTCTGAGCTCAGTGCAGCTTAGGACATCAAATTAAGTCACCATCCATCCTTCTGTAGGCTGACAGCAGTCTACCCTATCACTTTCTATTGCATCCTTGTTCCCTCTTCATCAGGAGCACCCCCAACCCTCAGCACTTGTCTTTGAGTGTTGTAGCTTGCAAAAACCCACCCAAATCAAAGGTTCTACCATCTAGGTACTGCATAGGCACACCATCACTCACTCTTTTTGTCTTTTGTGTTGGTTTTGGTTGGTTTTCACCACTGAACCACACTTTGACTCACACCATCCATGTAGACTCCTCTCCTGATGATTGTGTGTCTCCAACCAAGTCTGATGAGCCATCAATGGGCAGTCCATTCACTAATGGGATGCTTGGGTATGATCCCAAGCTCAGGGAGGATAACTGTATGCATGGCCTGCTGCATGGTGCATGGTGTGACCTGCCCAGTAGGTAGATTGGAGAGCCACAACCAACAGCAGCTCTGAATGGCTTCATCATTAAGAAATGAACATGCATTCTGAGCACCACCTTGTTTCTCCTGTGGCAATTGTTTAAACACCTTGTAATGGCATGCAAGCATACAGATGCAACAAGCAAAGTATGTGGCATCCCCATCCCTCCACTGTTTGGCAATTTGGAGGCTTGCTTCTGTTTGTGAGACTCCACACGGTTGAAGAGTGGCAAAATTCAATAAGATGAGTAGCTGATTGATTTGATTCAATGACTGTGTTCTTCCCTTTCTCTTCAGATCAGCTCTGATCTGGTTACACAGATCCACCCAGCCTCTTATCCCATCACTGCCACCATTTGTTGTCATCTCAAGTTCTTCCTCCTGGGCCTCCACATCTGATAAGCATTCAAACTCATGTTCAACTATTCTTGCTGACTCAGCAGCAACAGGCACCATGTCCACACAGGCATGGTCCTCATGATCTGTGCTCCAAGAACTTGACCCTGTGGAAAGAACTGAAGCACTGTGCACTCTTGGGATGGTAACCCTCACTGGTGACTGTGGCTGTGCCTCCACTGTCACAATGTGGATTCACTTTTGGCTTTTGTTGCAGACTGTGGGCAAAATATCAATGTCACTGTGGGCTTAGAGTTGAAAACTGAAACCCAATGCACAACCAGAGTTATGTCATTAGCAAAGCCAAATGCATCCAGGCAAGTCTGGCTCCTCCATTGTTTCTTGTATCATTTCTGTGTGCATTTTGATTTACTCATCACATCTGGGCCTTTCTTATATGTTTTTGGCCATGCCACTGGTGCTAACAAAGTGGTAAGCCCAAGCAGTGGATTCTTTGGATGTGCACTTGCCTTTGTGCTCCCACAACTGTTATGGAATCCAATCACAGTCCTTGTCATCCTCCTGCTCAGCCATCTCATCCAATCTCCTGCAGAACTCCTCATCATCCAAACCCTCCCCTGTATCTTCCTCACTGATATCTGACTTGTCCCCATCAAACTCACTTCTGTACCCTTGTGGTTTCATCCCATAGACTTCCATCTGCCAGCAGCCAGTTTCGGAGTCATCACTGACATCTTCTGCATTAGGTAAGTCAGCTGGCTGGTGATTAATGTTGAAGGGCTGCTGCTGGTGTTGATTGCAGAGACCTGATACATTCTTTGACTTCTTCTTGGGATGGCCTCCAGCCATGGTCACAGAAACTGTTCAAACCTCTGGTGCACCACTTTTTTTCATCACAGCCACTGGTCTTCTGACCTCCAAGCCACTAGAAACACAACCAGCTCAGCAAATACAGTCTATTCTGCATTTTTTTGCATTTTTAGCCTCATTTTTAAGGGTGGTGCCAAATTTTTGGCATGATCAAGGGTCAGCTGTCAGTTTTGAAAAATTGGCTTGTGCAGATGTCAAGATTGGAATGTACATTATCTGTTTAAACCATTTATATGTGTACTAGATGTTTGTCGAAGCCAGAAAATCTCAACCATGAAAACTAGTCGAGTTTGCTTGTCCACAACTGTACAATAAGATGTTGCCATATGCCATGGCCTGGAAATGATCATGTACTGAGTTCTGCGGGGGCAGGCCATGGGTTCATTTGATGGTCATAACCGCTGATTTGAATATCCTGAGGCAATTTTGATATGCCAAATGACTGGGGGTCCCATGCATGAAAAGGGGATGCCCTTTGATCATCCTATGTGAAGCAAAGGTCATTTGAGTATCAGATCTTCTGACCTGGATATGCTTACACCGCGAGCAAGTGGAAACGACCACCGGCAGCCCCAGTTTACAACCTGTGTGGAATATCCACCATATCGAGTTAGTAGCATCAAGGTTCTACATAATATGTACATGGGACCCCTCGGAAACAGTTCATGGAACAAAGGAGGCTGCAATGTGTGTGGTGCTATACTATGACCCTACAGAACTAGGACTATCTCTAGGACTAGCCTGTGACCAGGAATGCGCTGACAGGCTGCGAGCAATTTGACCGAGTTCGAGTTTCCTTGGAAGCCACATCGATAACCGTAGCAAGCCGGTGGAATACTATAACGAAACGAGAGAGTAATGCAAAAATATCGCGGGAGAAGTCGGGGGAAAACGCAAACAAGCCAACTTAGCACGCAGCGAAAAAAAAAATGCAACTACACTGTTCAAATCATGGAACTGAAGCTTCCTGACATTCCATCATAGTATGTAGGGTTTCAACCTGACGTTGATAGTATGTCCTTGGGTGTTATTTGTCTCATGACAGACCACATTTATCCCTACTACTTTTACTTATCCCACTCGTCTACGTTGACACTTCGTGCCTATCCTCTACAATATAAAAGGGCCTGTACAACGTAGCGTACTTCGCATCAACGCCACGTAGTGCCTCTCCCAAAGTATCCACGTATCGCTGGCCTGATCATTATCCCTCGTTTGCATTGAACAGGTCTACCTTTCTGAGGCTTGCGACTGCGAGCAATTTCAATTTCAGTGCCTCAACATTTGGAACCACGCATTGCCTTCCTTTTCTGAAAGACCCAAAGTAGTTTTGACTTGACACGTCACTTGATAGTTGCGTCTCCTACGTGGAGGCCTGCCGTGGCTAACTTTTCTTTTCGCTACTTTTTGACAGATAATTGGATGGAGGTTTTAGGTTTTATCACTCGACACCTCACCCGTACTCGTGGCACGCGTCGTGTGAGACCAGAAAATTTGGGCGCCCGTGGTTGTGCGGTAAATGTGTGAATCATCCATCGCCTCAGGTCTACTGTACCCTTACCGTTGAAGCTGTAGGCCAAACGCTGCGGTGTAGGTGCCACCAGTATGCATGGATGCTAAGATTGGCCTCTCATCTGCGGTCAGCATCTAAACAAGATGGTTGGTATTTGGAGTCCGAGCGGGCTACACTGCATACCTGTTGCAGCTGTGCCGACCTTGTTTTCAAAGGGGGGGCATTGTGAACTGACATTTTGTGGGGGACCTTCACAGATGTGTTGTGGGAACGAGATCATCACTTCCAAATCACTTCTCTGCCTTTCAAACTGCCGTGTGTCCAGTATCTGTGGAAACTGCCCAATAGTGGGATGGTATCGACACAACCTACATGAATCATTTAGGCGCACCCCTCATTCGAGAGAATATAGGAATAGTTGTGACGGGTCCCCTATGGCCAGTGGAAGCTATTTGAAACTATTTGATAGTCTGGAAGTAGTAGGTGGAGATCCAGGTCGGAGAGCTATTCTTGCACTATTTAACCTCCCACCCTTCTCTTCATCCATACGATCATGGACCTGTCTTCTTTACTCAAACATATCCACAACCACCTGCTAGCAGTGACTCACTCAGTCACTCCACTCGACTTCGCAGCAGTCATTGCTGCCATCTGGGCACTTAGTGGTGCCGTTCGAGCTGTTCAAGGTTCCTTCAAGACTACTAGACTTCGCGGACCACCCGGAGCCGACTTCATATTTGGCGCATCTAAGCAAATTGCCCAATCACCAGATACCGGAGCATTATACGAAGCTTGGACCAAGAAATATGGTGCAGCTTACGTTGTCCCCACTACCCTAGGTGGCAAGAAGATCATGCTATGTGACCCAAGGGGACTTGCACACTTCTTTTCCAGAGAATCATGGACGTATGTATTCACTGATTCGACCAGATTGTTCTATGAACAGACCGTGTGTACTATGTTCAGCCTTTGATGGCCTCCTTTCTCATTATTCCGTTCAGTTTGGACGGGGGGTACTGTGGGCAGAAGGGGAAGACCACAAGAGGTAGGCACAGGCGGCCTGCAAGTGGAAGTTATTTGTTAAATTTTCGTCTTCAGGCAACGCAAGGCGCTGGCGCCCGCGTTCAGCCAGGGTGCTGTAAGGAATCTCACTCCTATTTTTTACAATTGTGCTCACAAGGTAAGCCCTCCCTTCTCTACTGCCTCTCGGATCAAGAACGACAATCCAGGCGAAATCCACATGGGAAGCCACGATTGATGCTGGCGGAGGAGATAGTGCTGTCATCGAAGTCCAGAGTTGGTGCGTTGAATTTATCCTCCCCGCAACGACGGGATGCTGAGGAGTTGTCAATCAAGGATGAACCATATTTCGTAAGTTAATTTCGTTTTCAGTCACCCAATCCGATTTAACTGATTGTTCCAGACTTGATGGGATCGGGCTTGCAGGATTCTCTCATGATTTCGGTGCTCTCGACGGCAAATCATCTTCAGTAACCAAGGTGTTGGACACATTTGTGGCGTCCCCCAAACGATCGGCCCTGAGTGTTGGTCTCCTCTTGCTCGGACGAGTATTTCCTGTCCTGGGTTACGCACCGACAGCGAGGACTAACCTACTGGGTGAGCTGCAAAGATGTATGGAAGATATCTCTATGGAATTGCTAGCAAAGGTGAAGAAGGAGAAGGAAGAAGGAGTTCTTGATGAGAAAGAGAAGTCGATCATTGGAGTGCTGTGTATGTTTCATTATCACTACGTGAGATCACCTTCTCAAACATATTACGCAAAGTGAAAGCCAACGACTCGAACTCTGACATTTATCTGACTCACGCAGAGGTTCTGGCACAAGTGAGTGAGCAGAACTTTCACTGCCGGGTGTATTTGCTTTTTTCTCCCATCTATAGATGAGAGGTCTACTTATAGTTGGTTACGAAACGATGTCTAGTAAGTTATCCCTTAGTTCACGCCTCATGGGTTAAAAATCAAGGCTTGCAGTTACTTTGACATGGGCATTACTTGAGCTGGCTGGGAACCCCGACATACAAAACAAGTTACGACAGGAACTCGTGATGTTTGGTGAAGAACCGACGTATGATCAGTTGCAAAGCAGTCTACCGTACCTTGACGCTGTGTTGCATGAAACCTTGCGAGTTCATCCTGCTCTGATAGACATCGTTCGTGTGGTGCGTCTAGTGACAAGTGAAGTTGTACTTCTTGGTCTAAGGTCACTTTTCCAGGCAACGGAGGATGACATTATCCCGCTCTCAGAACCCCTCATCACTGAGTCTGGCGAAGTTGTCAATAGCATCACCGTGGCTCGTGGCACTCATATTGGTATACCTGTCTCCTGTGTCAACAGATCTACCAGACTATGGGGAGAAGATGCAATGGATTTCCGTCCGGAACGGTGGCTGGAAAAAGATGGTATTCCGAAGAAGGCGCAGGATATTCAGGCATACCGACACATATTGACGTTTATGGAAGGGCCAAGGATTTGCGTTGGCAAGGGCTTTGCGCTGACTGAGTTCAAGGTGCGCCTTCTCCGCTGCGTTTGGGCGATCAGCGATTGCCAATTAATCTCTCCCAAGGCGGTTATGTCGGTGTTAGTGAGGAATTTTGTTTTTGAGATGAGAGACGGACCCGATACGAGAGTGGAACTTAGCAGAGGATTGCTGCTTAGGCCCAGGATAGTTGGGGAACAGGGCATTAACGTGCCATTGCGTGTGCACCGGTACGAAGGATGATCGATTATGCATGTTACGGGTGGATCGCTTGTTACGAGAACACCCCGGTAATCAGCGGGCAAAGCAAAGACAGAAGAGTGATAAAATGACATTGGTCGAGCATACTTAGCGGGTGTCTTTCCTTGAGTATAAAAGGAGTCTCGGTGAAACTGGCAACGTGGTTCGGGGGACTTGGACTTGATCGAGTACTTCTGCGGATCCGGGCCTTGGGTGCAGTTTCGCGACTGCGGACGAACATCTCGAAATGGTTTAAATATGAACAATGACTTGGTGCCCGACCGTAAGTGATGCCTGTTTATCGTCCTCCTAGTGGGAAGCAGAGAACACTCGAGTATCAGACCCAGACATCCTCATGTCGAATGCAAGTACTCACCCGAGATACAAAGACCGGCAGTCACGGTTTCTGTTCTGTGTAGAATATCTAAGTACTTACTGCATCGGCTTGGCATGATCGAAGTTCTAGGCAGAATATTGATGTTGCAACACGTCGTCATTCGTGGGACCCTCGGAACAGCTCTCCACAGGACGGGCATAGGAAGCTGCAATGTATTACGGCCTTACCTAACTGGGGGCACGGGGCACGAACATACGATTATTCTTCCAGAACAACTTTCGAGTCGAACAATGTCGAGGTGTCAGTCGGACTTCACCGTTGCAAGGCGGCAGTTGGAGCGTTGAACTCTGGGGATCAGCGCTTATGCCACGGGAGTGTCCGCCAAACTTCCTTCTCACGCAGGAGTGTGGTCCTGAAATGCATCCCTCAGCTTCAGCCTATGACGTTCCATGACTAAACACAGCAAGAAAGTGGAATAAGGATAGAGATACACATACTACCACTACATCATAATGACGGTAACACGAAAATAGAGCGAAGAGGGCATGTGGAAGCGAACCTACTGAACGTGTGAAGTATAAACTGCTAACAAGGGGCGTCAGGGCGCGGAGCCTTGGAAACTACCCAAATAGAGTGCAACAACCTCCAGCCCCATCCTCGCTGGCTGTGACCATGCTTTGACCATCATCAGGAAACGGGACATACTCGCAAGGAGGGGAAGGATTCGTCGGTCGACTTCGACCGCCAGTTGATGCGACCACTATCTGCTACATAACTCGAGGTTAGTGATGATGCCACAGCTGAGAGGAATGATACAGTATTAACCTCTGCGCACTGTGCAGGCGCGATGCAAATGGCCTTCTGTGTGAGAGGTAGCTTGTCCTCACCCGGAACCAATAGTCGCCGAATTCTCCTGAAGGTGGAAACTAAGGTCAGATCAACACTGTTCTGCTGCTTCTCGGACAGAGGTTGGGCTGGCATTTTGGGGGGCATGTTTCCTGGTACGCGAACTACAGCAGGCTAGAAATCCCAGGTTTTGAACATAATGTAATAGCCTCCTTGCACGACCTACCAGTGGTGGGCTTTGCCCCGAACGAATGTCCACCTCATTCGTATTTCCATTCCAGAGATGCAGACCTCCTGAGGAAATGGACTACTCCTCCTAAGTAGCCAAGAATAACTTAGTCGTGGCTAAGCACTTACATTCATGGCGGATTCTCCTGTAGAAAGACGGTAGCCCGCGACATTCGCCCCGCCTGCTCTATCTTGAACATCCACGCGACCCGTGTGGGTACTGCACTGTGGGTCGTAACGAACACCATTAAAAATTGCTTCTCTTTCCATGATAACAATAAATCGGACAGTACTAACCGAAACTAGCGAAGCCATAGAGACTGCGTTGGATTCCACGACGACGTCCTCCGATAACTTGCGTCTTTCTTCAGCTGCATCTAGCAGCCAGGGCACATGAATAGTTGGCTGCGAAAGACATTGAGTAGAAGAGGACCGCGGTAAACAGAACATCTCACATCGATGGATTCGATCGGAGGAAGCCTCATGTCAGACATTGACCGCTCATCAGGAAGAAGTAATTTCTTGATAGACGGACCCTGCCAAAGTGATTCCACACGCGCTCTCACTTCTTACGTGTATTAATTACTTACAGTGTCTATGCGAGGCAATATTAGTGACTCGGAAGCGGTTCTTAACACAGAGGGAATTGTGTTGGTAGGAGAAGAGCATAGCCACTATAATGAAGGCGACCCACCTGGTGATGGGGGTGTCACTACTTGAACTCTGTGACCATATGCGATTAAGCTGAGAGGATGTCAGTGATGGCTCATCCACAAGAGTACCAATGCACGCACGATGGCAATGAACTTTTGGAAGTGAGTCGTGTTGGAGGGTGGATGCATGAATCACACACTGGGACCCGATTCTCCTAACCGCAGAGAAACACTTCGGGAGTGTGGCTATAGTACAAAGACAACGGATCGCTGGGTATGAGGACGCTCGGCAGCCGGAAGGGGATGTGTGAGTGATAGAGAAGAGTTGGTCCAGCATACTATGCTCGAATATAAAGCGGGTGGCTGGCATGATACACATAGCGCTTTGAGGCGTTCCTCCGAGTAGTGCACCGATCTCCGGCTACTACGTGCACCAGTGCACAATCTCCGGCACAGGTCGCGCGACTCCGAAGTTCGGAAATTGTGTGGCGTAAGTTTGTGCGGTAAAAGTGTTTCACTACATCCACTGTGGGCAATCGACACCCTCCTAATCCATACATTTTCCCACTTCCCAACTTTCCGTACTCCCCCCGAATAGCTCTTAGGAAGCCCAAACACCCCCATACCCCATACTCTATAGCCTGTCCCGAATGGGTATGGGTTATAGCCAAGCCCATTGATTGAGCTGGACTGAGCTAAAACTGATTTGGAGGAAATAGATAGTCTTTGGGTGCGGCGTTCTGTTGAGGGCGCTGCAATTGCCCAAGGCTCAGGCACATCTTGATAGGGCAAGAGCTTGTGAAAGTAACTTCGTGCACGTGACGGTTTCATCATACAGTACACTTGCTCATAATGCATAAGCTAGTAATGCATAAATGTCATATTGCAAGGACTTATGGGTGTAGCCACAGTGGCTTGCAGGGAAAATGGCAAATATTTGCATAATGCATAATGAATAGTGTCAGCACTTGGTTTATGCAGTATGAGATCATACATGTGGCCTGGGGTGGAGCCAAACAAGCATATCTCAAGGCTGTCCACAAAATTTTCTAGTCATATTTCAAGAATGAAGTGTTTTTGAGAGGACATTCACATCTAAGCCATGCCTCCTGAGCTCCAGACATGCAAACCACAGCCAAAACCAGCTCCATACCATTGGAAACCACAAGCAGAGGCTCAGCCCAATGCCCCTGCAACTTTGGCAAAGCCTATCAAAAACAATAGACACTGAGAGAACCTCACACTGCATGATTGGCTTACTGTTTTTGCATTCATTCTCTCCCATCCAGACACACCCCAAGAACATGTTGTTGACCACTTCAAGACATTGCAGGAAGGAGCCCTGGAGTTCACACAGTCAACACTCTCACAAAAATTGAAAAACTGTGCAGAATTGGAGCAGTGTGTCAGCTTGCATCCAAATGCACTGTCCAGAAAGTGTCCTCAAGCTGTCACCAGCCCCAATGTTGAGAGGGCATTGGTCTTATGGGTCAGGTCAATGGAAGAGAAGGGGGAAATGGTGAATGGGCCCATGCTTTGTGAGAAGTGGACATGATTTGAGAAGGCATTTGGAGTCCCTGAAGAGAGCAGACTTACAGGTGATGGATGGATTGCACCCTTCTACAAAGCCTACAAAATCAAGGAATATCAGAGGCATGGTGAGGCAGGATCAGTGGACCCAGATGATGTTGAAGCAGAATGAGAATGCTTACAGAAAATCTTGTCAACATTTCCACCAGAAGATGTCTTTAATTTCAATGAAACAGGCCTTTTTGCATTGTGTGTAAACTTATTCTTCCCTGTGAACATTGAAACTGAGTCATCCATAGTGCCCCTCCAAACCAAGGACTTGCAACAAGGCAGATGAGTGGCAAGAAAAAAGATAAATTCCACATCACCATTGGACTTGCTGTGCATGCCAGTGGGAGTGAGAAGCTGCCTCTTTTCTACATTGGCCAATCACAAAAACCAAGGGCTTTCAATAACAAATCACCACAGAAATTTGGGTTTTATTACCATAGCAATACAAAAGCATGGATGATGATGGAACTTTTTGAAGAGTGAGTAAACTTTACACTGTGAAAATACCACTGAACTCATGAGCCTTAGGTGGGTCAAGATGCTTGACCTGAAGATGGGTGCTCAGAAGTGGTTCATCTGTCTACTCATTGACAATTTTGCTGGACACTTGATATCATACACCCCACATCATATTCAGCTAGAGCTCTTCAAACCAAACCTGACATCATTCATCCAGCCCCTTGATGCAGGCATCATCCAATGCTTCAAGGCATTGTATTGGTGAGAATTTTGCAAGTGTGCCATAGACTTGGATGATGCTGGCAAACATTCCATCTTCAAAATCAATCTATGTGAAGCTATGCTAATGGCTAAAGGGGCTTGGGATTCAGTTACATCTGAAACAATCCAGCACTGCTGGGCTCACACTGCAATCCAAGCAGATCCTGGCAAACAATCCCATGCACCAACATCCCATCCAACACACACCAATCCACATGCATGCAGTATCCTCTGCAATGTCACTACCAATGAGAGCATGTCTCTTCCATCAGCAGAAACTAAGCTACAGCAGCTCCTTGGTGACTCATACATTGACAAGCACTGGTGTGCAGCTCTTACAGCTGTCATGGATGCAGAAGGTGACACTGCAAAGGCATTAGTAGCAGTTGAGAAGCTCACAGCTGCAGCAACTCACCAGACTGGCCTTACCATCAAAATTCCTGCATTTTGCCCATCAGGCCATCACTGCAGCTTGCAGCCACTGAAGAAGACCTTTTAGACTCTATCAAGACCTTGAAAGATCGCAACCATGTCTTTGGCACATTGATGACCACTGATGAGATTCTTGCAGCTAGGGAGGAAACCAAAGTTGGGGAGCAGAGGTATCAGTTCAACAATGATTCAGCCATTGTTGCTGAGGTCCAGAATCAAATAGCAGTTGAGCAGGGCAATATCATTGAGGTCTGCTCAGACAATGAAGAACTCAAAGACATCACACCTCAACTTGTGCCTGTTCCACATTCTGAAATTATTCAGCTCTGCAAGAAACTTGAGCTGGCCTGCATTTTGGAAAGTGATGCAGATACATCACTGGAGTTGGTCCATCATCTTCACAAGTTTTTGTTACACCTCTGTCAGGGGTCTTTCCTTTTTCGACTCTTTATGGTCACATGCATCACGTGCCTTGTTGCATCTCTCATAATCATTGCCATCTTAGGGGCTCAAATGCTCCAGGGAATGTACAGATCTCCCACTGTCAAGGTATCTCCAATACCTGTCAAGACCGTGTTGCCATTGTGATCTGGTATTCCACTGCCCTCTCTGATGGATGACTTGTTCCCTTCTTGTTCCATTGACTCATTTCTGACTCATTTATATTGCTCACTTGTTGTATTATAGTTCTGGTGTCTGGCTCCTCACTGCGCATTGATTGCACCAGCCAGTATAGCCTTCATTGCCTCCCTACCCCCATCACTGACACCATATGACTCTTATTTATTTCACTGATCATTTTGTTGATTACTGTGGATACACATTGCAACGTGTCTGTCACAACTGGTACAGTACTTGTACTTAGGGGTATATAATCCTATGTACTTTGTCCTGTATCTGCAGTTTTTTGATAGCTTGCAACTGAGCTTCATCCCTCCACTCTCATCCTTGTTCTCTCTCTGTGCAAACAACCTTAGGGACTCACCAGCAGACAGAACCTCTGTCAGGTTATTGTGATAACTCAGCCATAGGGGTTACAATAAGTTCAGCCCATAGACTCCCACCTCGCATGCTTCGTGCCTATTCCATTTGAAGAAGTCACTGCACTCAGGCATAACAAAATCGAAAAACTCCACACAGCTTTCAGGACTTGTTGACCTCTTCATGAAAGTCTACTTGTCCCTGGTTACTGAACTCCAACAAACCATCAACACTTCAATAAAGGCTCATTGGTCTCCCTCAGTGTAAAGACTAACTTGCCCACTCTACTGTGCCTTCCAACTCAACCTAACAAGATTGATAACAAAATTGAAAGGCATCCCTCTACCCTCAATCAAATCCACTGCTCTACAGGCAGCCATTAGGCTTTAATAGATCGCCTCCCTAGAGTCAGTGCTCATGTCTCCCTACACATAAAGTCACTTGTGCTACCACCTCTCTACACTGACAGGTTTCTTTCGAGAAATAAATCCTCCCTCAGCCTTCGTTCCCACTTCTCGTTAAAGTGTCTAACTCACAGAAATCAAGACTGCCTGACCCTCCTTGACCAAATCCACTTGGTCTTGGAAGGAATCCCCCTTTACTGCCCATCCCATTAGGAAGACTAGGTCCCTTGGTTACAGCCACCAATCCCTGCCTATTGTATCTATCCCGTTTTAGGGATTCGGAAGTTGCGCTTAGTTCAGAAGAAGAAGATGATCAGAAGTCTGATACTTCTTTCAGATCAGTCCTCAAGGAAGAACAAGAAGCATGCTGTCACACACCAAAGGTGTTTGGTGAGGTGGACATGGATGTAGCTGATGAATGGAGGTGAAGACCATAGCCCTCATGCAAAGAAGGACAGCCAGCAATGTTGGCAGTCATCCCTCACACAAGAACAAGTTGTCAATGCCAAAGAAAAAGGAGGAGGCAAGTTAAGTGCCAATAAAATTCTTAAGCGCCCATGTATGGCATTCCAGTTTTCGACATATCTCCACCAATTCTGCAGACACCGAAACCATTCCCACACTTGCTTGTAGTGCTCAGCCATGCGATCCTACCTTCCAGGATTGGAAAGGATTTGTGCACTCCACACGTTTCTACAGCACTCCCTCCAAAAGATGCTCATTTCGCTAATTCTTCTGATATGGCTGCCTCCACATCAGTCATTTCGCTTGTCCCCTTTGCTAGGGACCATGGCTACATATATCTACCAGGAGTTCCTACCAGCTTCTGTCCTGAAGCGTCCTGGTACATCCCACCCTCATCTGCCCCCTCTCAGCCCATCCAGCTTGGACAGCGTGTTCTTTTTGTCGGTGTGACCTCCAGGAGGATGTTCTTTGGTCGCCTCAG